AAAACGAGTTGGTCTGATTATCAGGATAGTACTGCAGATAGTCGTAGTAAATGCTTAACCTATGCTCATATACATGTATATAGCCTAACAACTGTTAGCATTTTTAAAAAATTTTTCTGAAAGTGAGAAAGTAGGCTACGGTAGGCTCATTTTTAAGTTTCTGGCACCATTTGTTTATCTCAAAACTCAACAACATAATGATTATGGTAGTCATTTTTTACTATGTTATATTATTACTTTCAATACTAAATGATTGTGCTTGTCAAGTGCCTTTAATATGTAGCTTACTTAGTACGATGCTAAATTGTTGGTCAATAAAATTATTGTTTTAAGTTAGTTACTTATTACTAATTATGTTTGGGGAGTAATAGTTGAATAGCGTAATGAATGATGTTGTCAAATGCTTGCTAAGCTGTAGCTTCCTGAAGTCTAAGGTCACTGACCAAGACAGGAGATGCATACTAATAGTTTTGCAACATCTTCCATTTGATATTTTCCTATTGACAAATATTTATTTTAGCATCCTCTATCTTTTTTTTAAACCATCATGATTTATTCTAAAATGACTGGTTTTGGCATTTGAGCGCAAACTTGAAATTACAGTGTTGGTAACTTAAACTCTGTTGGTAATGAATTTCCAAACTTGAGTTTATATAGCCTAAGATCTGTTTAAATTTTAAACATCCTAAAATTTTTTGTAGGCGATTTGTTATCACATGTTTATGGCCTTCAAGGTTTAACAATGATTAAAATATTAATTTTCTTTATATAGGCCTAGTAAAATGTAAAGATAAGTGTGGTCAACATTTAGTTAAATAATTCAAACAAGATAAAAATATTTGAAATAGACTGACCATCATGGATAAGCAAGTTAAATACTTGAACACTTCTTTATTTTTTCTGGCGCTTCACAGAAGCATAGATAAAAGCCAACATCCGTATTTTGATTATTACACGCCAGACATTTAATATACCGGTAGGCTAACAGTTTTTAAACTCTTGTTGTTCTGTAGGTCATATTAACAAAACTCATAGAACCCAGTATAAGCCAATACTTTTAGATAATAGTGTCAAGTAACCATATTTTTTAATGAAACAGAGTTACATCTTGAATACAGACATATTTTTATCATTTTTATGACCAAAAAGGTTAATATATTTTACGAATACTATTTTGCCAGAGAATAGATTAGGCCTAACTATTTTAGGTTACCATAACATAAAAAATTAGGCTCAGTACCGGTAGGTAATTTGGTGATTGTTATAACTTGAATACTTTACACCAAACTGTGATTTCCCAAATGCGGCTAGTAGAAGTGCATGTTTGTTCAACCGGCTATTTCAAGGACTTGTTCTTTTGTTTGTTGTCAACATCAATTATTCCCAGGTTCTCACAGTTGTCCTTGACTTGAGTATTAAAGTGCACCCAATGAGAGAAGAATTGTTATTTAAATAAATTAATAAAACTTTTCATTGAAGAGTGTTGCCTCTGTACAAACCTGTTTTACAGAGGAACACTATAGGCTACTACCAACAGAAAAAATACCCCCTGTCGCAGCAAACCTGCAGACTAAGCGAGTTTTCAATTGCCTGAATTTAATACAATGAAATCTATTTAAATAACATTAGGTTAAACGAGTACCTAAGTTTGCTGCTACAGGGAGGCTAATAAAGTGTGTTGTTTAGTAAAATACTAATAGCTTAGTATAAAAAAAATTTGCCAAGTTTGATCAAAATATATTCATAAACTAGCAAACAATAACATTTTACAATATTCTCCACAAGAATAACATGAGACTTTTAAATTTAGGCTACAATTTTTAGAATTTTCTCCAATAACCGCACAAAAACACTTCAATACGGTACCTATATACATATATAAAAATTTGAACAAATAGCCAAGTGTTTTTGGCCTCTGAGTACATCAAAAATGAAAAAGTAAATCAGTCCCGGGCTCAAGTCATACCATGAGACCTACGGTAATAACTTGGCTACTTCCCTATAGGAAAATTCGCTAATAGCAAATCTTCAATACTTTTGTACAGTAAGGGAATTTTGTTACTTTATTGGCTTTCTGTTCAGTTAATCTTGGATGCCAGAGCTCTTAGTTTAAAGTTCCAATAAGAGATTGTGTTAGAGCTTTAAACGAAAATGGAAAAACGCTTATACAAATTTTAATAATTTATTTAAATTATTGTAAACTGAAATTCAAATACTGTTCTTGGTCATAAATTTGAAAACAGCTGTACAAGTATTTTCTTTGATTCCTTTAGTTATTTTGAGCGTTGTACAGCTAAGCTATTACTGATACTGTGTCAGCGTATTGTCATGTTCTTGGAGCCTATCATGTTATTCTTCCGCTGTCAGAGATAATGTGATAACAATGTTCACTCTTCTGTATTAGCTGTTCATTCACTGCCACACTCAGTTTAAAGGCTGTCATTCATCTTAAATTCTGAGGAAGTTTGAAGTGAAACTGATTATGTTTGTAAAACTAATTGCATGTAAATGATTTAACTGCTCTGACTCATTTGGGTAAGCCGCATTAATATAAATTGAATTAATATAATATCTAATCTAATATATCTTTGGTATTTTAGCACGTTTGTTGATGAATAAAAAAGTGGGAGGTTTAAATCCGAGGATCTTGATTGCTGAGTATTCTTATTTTAAACGTATTTAACTTGAGTGTTGAGTGTGTAAAAAAATGTGTTGTTGAGGGTTTAAATTGTTGAATATTTAAAACATTTTAGTACGAAAATATAAGTAAAAACACTTTACTAGTCTCTAGCTCGGCTAGAATCTCACAACAAAATACATAACAATTATCCTAAATTGGAATAGGCCTATTTCATATTGTTGGTTTCCATCTAAAAATATTTTAAACATTTGAATTTTTTTTGTTCTCTTTTAGGTACTTTACTCAATTTTTTTTTACCGTAAAATTTTGAATTCTAAATGTAACGGTTAAACTCTGTAGATTATTTATGTTTTAGATATGCACTCTGCTAAACCCCTTCATTAAATTGTGGTGTCTATCTTCTTCATTACTGATTTTTGTACCATAAACAATGATGTCCCAGCCTCCATATTCGCAAGACATACCTCCGTGTGACTTTTCCTATTTCCTTAAATAAAGAGGACCTCATTGTTTAAAAAAAAAAAAAAAAAATAAACATAAAAAAAAAAAAAAAAAAAAAAGTGTCATTGTTTTACAACCTTTGTTAAAAGAAGAGCACTGCTGAAAAGAACTAAAATTTATCTAAAAACAATTTGAGCATTTTGGGATTAGAAGAAGCGCTGGCACAAGTACATAGGAGTAGCTATAGGAACTATTCAAGGCGACTACATCACTGTAGACAAATAAATAAATATTGTGTTCAAAAAAAGAAAATTTATTTTCTGATACTTATTTTAAGCACACCTTGAATGCCTACATAAATTTTATTGCAATAGCTATTTGTGTATTAAAAGCATAATGCACGCCATTGCTGCTTGAGAACTCGCACCAATCTTAACTGAGTGCGGTCATACATTTTGAAAGCGGCAATGACTGCGCTCGTTATTCACACAAGGTTTTTCCCACCACCATAATTAACTAACACACAGATTATTTTTTTATCTATAGGCCTACTGTATATAAAATACCCCCGCCGCAGCAAACCTGCCGTCTAAGCGAATTTCCATTTGGCTGAATTGATTTTCAAATGATCTATTTAAATAACATTAGGTTTAACGAGTACCTAGGTTTGCTGCTACAAGGATACTAATAAAGTGTGTGTTTTAAGTAAAATAATTATTGCTTAGTATAAAATGAATATATTTGCCGAGTTTGATCAAAAGATATCCATTTAAACAAGCAAACTACAACATTTTACAACATTCTCCATAAGAATAACATGGGAATTTTAAATGTAGGCTACCATTTTTTTAGTTTTCCCCGTAACCAATAACCGTACAAAAACACTTTGATATACTGAATTGTTTGTTTTTTAAAGCTCTTTAAGAAGGTTTAGAGAAAAATTGGGAAATTTTGTTTTTTGAGGGTCAAAAGTGAGAAAAACCAATTTTTACCCCATAAAACCCCGTTCCCATGGTCCGATCATGCTGGATCGCAAACTCATTCAAGTTTATCCCGCCTTACACCTTCAAACCAAATTTCATCAAAATCGGATCAAAATTACTCAAGTTATCGTGTTCACGGACACATATATATATATATATATATATATATATATATACATATATACAAATTTGAACGAATGTTGTTTTTGGCCTCTTGGGACACCAAAATGAAAAAGTAAATCTGTCCCGGGCGTAAGTCTTACCATGAGACCTACGGTAATAGCTACTTCCTTATAGGGAAATTCGCTAAAATTGGGAAATTTTGTGTTTTGAGGGTCAAAAGTGAGAAAAATAAATTTTTACCCCATAAAACCCCCCGTAAAGCCCTGTTCCCATGGTCTGATCATGCTGGTTCGCGAACTCATTCAAGTTTATCCCGCTTTACACCTTTAAACCAAATTTCATCAAAATCGGACAAAAATTACTCAAGTTATCGCGTTCACAGACGTATATATATATAAGTCTATATATATATATATATATACATATATAAAAATTTGAACGAATGGTGTTTTTGGCCTCTGCGGACATCAAAATGAAAAAGTAAATCGGTCCCGGGTCTAGGTCTTACCGTGCCACCTACGGTAATAGCTACTTCCCTATAGGGAAATTCGCTAAAATGTAATTTAGGTAATGTTGGCTCTTCTACTTTCTCAGATTAATTACTGCATTTTAGTGTTAAAAGAAACGACGAAAGTGAAATCAGCTGATTAGCGAGTGAGAATGAATAAAGCTAAAAGAGCTATTTTGCAAACTGTTAACTTGTATGGCAATTTGATCAGTTCCATTCAGTGGTAGGAAAACATAATTTATCTGCTTGTAAATTAGTTTCCTGTTGTTTAGAAATTCTTAATAGTGTGTTGTGGTTGTTTCAGCCATAAAGATGCCTGAAGAGAAAACAGAAGAGAGTTCGCCAGCCAAGAAGGTTGTGCCTGTGCCCAAGGGTAAGGCAGTTTTGGCTCGTGTAACTCTGTTGGATGGATCCTTGGTGGACATCAGCATTGATGTAAGTTTATCTCAAACGACAGATGTACAATGTATTATACCAGTAGTAATTTAAGGTCCAAGTAGTTTGTTGAAATTTTGTTTCTAAAATGCTGTAACATAATGTGGTCTTGTTTTAGTGGTTGAAACTAACTTGAGTTTCGCTGGTAGAATGGATCTGAAAAGTATTGACAGTGTGTGTACACGGTTGTTTGGTAGCTAGTAGATGCTTGGTAGCTTGCACAGGTTCAGTATTAGGGAATTTAGTGTGAATTGGCTTATTCAGAAATTACAAACTACAGACCAATTAAATGTGGTTAGCCTGTTTCTTTGCTTTAACCCTTTCCAGACGGCCTACAGTATATATACAGACAGCAGAGTTATTTTAAATAAATATAAACTAAAAAATATTTTTTTTACTGTGTATCCATAATTGGTACCCCATAATTTATAGAATGTTGCCCTGCCCTATATAGCACTTTTGTCCAAAATAATTGTTGTATACTTTTTATTATTTTTCTTTCTTTTAGCGAATTTCCCTATAGGGAAGTAGCTATTACCGTAGGTCTCATGGTAAGACCTAAGCCCGGGACCGATTTACTTTTTCATTTTGATGTCCCCAGAGGCCAAAAACACCATTCGTTCAAATTTTTATATATCTATATATAGAGATATATATATATATATATATATATATATATATATATATATATATATATATATATATATATATATATATATATATGTCCATCCGCACGATAACTTGAGTAATTTTTGTCCGATTTTGATAAAATTTGGTTTGAAGGTGTAAGGCAGGATAAACTTGAACGAGTTCGCGAACCAGCATGATCGGACTATGGGAACGGGGGTTTATGGGGGGTTTTATGGGGTAAATATAGGTTTTTCCCATTTTTGACCCTAAAAACACAAAATTTCACAATTTCTTTCTAAACCATTTTGTAGAGCTTAAAAAAACAAATAATTTAGTATATTGAAGCGTTATTATGCGCCTAATTGTTACGGAGAAAATTCAAAAAAATTGTCATTTTAAAATTCCCATGTTATTCTTATGGAGAATAAGTCAGCTGTTGTAGTTTTCTTGTTTATGAACATATTTTGATTGATTTTGGAAAATACTTTTATTTCTTACTAAACTAATTATAAAAAAATCTTTTTTACCCTCCCTGTTGCAGCAAACCTAAGTACTCGTTAAACTTATTCTATTTAAATAGGAAATAAGTGCTATTTTTATGAAGGCATTTTAGTGTAAATCCAATCAGGTTAATGGAAATTCGCTTAGTCTGCAGGTTTGCTGCGGCGGGGGTATTTTATTTTTATTTTTTTATTTTTTATTAAATTTCTTATTTATCTAGAAAAAACATTCCTAGTACATTGGTTAAAGATATAATTGATAAAAGGGTTTTTTTACGAAGATTAATGATGTTAAAAATAGACAATCAACTAGGGCTTATAAAAATAACTTTAGTAATAATTGGCGGATATATATATACTGTCTGCGAAGCCCAAAAAGATAGGCGGATATATCCACCTACCATCCGCTATGGACAAAATGCTAGCCATCCGCCTATAGTCTAGGAGGGTTAAACAACATTGGAACAGTTAGCCTAGGCACTTTAGAACTGAAACTGTAGTGTACATTCTTCTGAAAATAAATAATACAATTTTGAAAACGTAGTTGCAACATATTAGAGGTAATTGAATATTTAATCCATCTTATAAAACAGATTGTGTGACTGTGACGTAGTTTTAAGTTACAAAATACTTCAAAAGTATTCAGTCTATCACTATTTTGTTTCAACAATATCGAATAACATTAAAAAACACAATTTGAAATAAACCAAAGCTTAATTTAATTTTTAATTAATTTCAATCTAATTTCAAAGTATTTTATTTAAAAAATATATGTAATGTTTCTATTTCCGAATAAAGTGATTTGAATTGATTGAATTTGTTTGTGTTTAGGTATAATTAACTCTACAGTATTTTAAAAACAAATTATGTTGTACCTTTTTAAAAACGATTGGCGAGTATTTGGTATTTGTAAAAACGGAAACACATTACCTTTGTTATTTTTAATGTAGCCTTATACACAGTATTTATTATGCATGTTTTTGAGTATTTTTTTCAAAGGAGGTTCCAGATTTACATTTCTGTAGAACCAAAAGATATAGTTGACCCTCCTTGTTTTCCAAAATTACTAGGTGGTTCCTGGCAAATTTCAATCTGCTAGTAGTGTATATCAATGAATATTCCCTACTGTCAAATTTAATTATAATATATAGCCTACTTTGTTCACAATCTTTAGAACAGTTTCTTTTATACATGTAAACGAAAATCGCTGTATGCTGTTTTAAAGATTTGTCTATTCTATAAAAGTCTTTGATTAGACAAATGCATTTGAAACAGCGGGTAAAGGGTGTGGAGACGTGTCAAGTGGTCTGGAATGTTTGGAATTATTGGTGTCAGAAGGTCATTCCTGTGAATCATCAGTCTGTCTGTCTGTCTGTCTGTCCATCAGGTCTTCTCTAGGCTTTACTGCCACTGCAGCCTTCCAATCATTACCAACCACTCACCAACAAATACAATAGGCTATAGACTGGTGCACTTAATGATTTTGAATTTCATCTTTTTTATTTACGTTTTTAAGTATTAATTTTTTTAAATTCAAAGGCTATTGTGCACTTATTTTTATATATTTAAGGTAAAGATGTTAACTATGAGCATGAGTTTCACGTTCACTTTATTTTATTTTATTGTTATTTTGAAATAATTGACCTACTACATAAAAAATTATTACAAAATTATTAAAAAAATGTGTCAGTGTCCTTTTGTTCCTATTAAAACTATTCCCCCTTATAAAATACAACCTACCATGTAGTATTTTACTTATTTATAAAGTAGCCTACATATGAATATTACAGAAATAATTGTACATGTTAATACTAGATACTCATAATCTATTCGGACAAATAAACATGAAATAAAGTAATAAAAAAATTAAACTGATCAGAACTATTTTTACCAAACATCCCAGTAGGCCATACAAAGGTAACGTAGGGAGTTTACATTATGTATGTACAAGTGCTTTGTGAAGACTAAAAATCTCTTTAGAACTGTCCTTCTTTCCTCTTAGGCTTAGTAAAATAAAAAAATAAAATACAAACTACCACTTTTATCATAGGATAATAATCCATTTTTGATTACTTTTTTCCAACTAAAAATCTAATAGGCTACAAACAATACCAATTCTAGTTGTGTGATAGATTTTAAAAGCTTTATCTTAGACATTGGACACTTGTCGCATTGTTCCAAAATATACCTGCTAATTTGTTTTTAAACAAATGCAAATCTGCTTTAGGCTACAGTGTAACCAATGGTGTAATATAATATTTTTCAAACCTTTATACATCTCTGAATAATGAGATTTATTTTGAAAATCGGGCTTATAACTGTCATCACTGTAAATATAGCAATTGTGCGTAATATTCTTTCATAATATTACTCTTTATTGGCCTACTAAATAGAAATTTCACACATATTTCAGAAAATATATTTACACAATAATTTAAGAGAAATTGAAATATAGCTACATATTAACCCTTTGAGGTCGAATTTTTTCCACATTTTCCGGCGAGTTTAGCTTGCCATCCGAGCAGTCAGGAAAGTGGCGCCCAGCGACCTATACTCGCCATTCGACCAAAAAAATTAACTTTTTTTAAGATTTTTTTTGTCCTTGTAGGTTGCCATTGTAGCAGTCGGCAAAATGACAGGCGGCGACCTATGCTCGCCATTCGACCACAAAGGGTTAAAAACAAACACAAAGTAAAAACATTATAAACACAGCTAAATATTAGATGCTAAACTTGTCACGCATAAAAAAAATCATACCATGGTTTTCTGAGTAAAATTTAATGTAAAATCTTTTATTTGCTCCATTTAAAGAATTTGGTGTAAAACGGGTTCACTGGAAGCAATTTTAGTAGTCTTATTTTGAGCAAACTTCACAAATCTTTTTGGTTTCACCCAATATTGTTTTTTCAGAGGAAGGCCAAAGGAGAAGATTTGTTAGAGAAGGTTTGTGACCACATAAACCTGCTGGAGAGGGACTACTTTGGGTTGACGTACGAGGACAGACACGACCCCCACAACTGGGTGGAACTTGACAAGAGGATCGGCAAGTTTGTCAAGAGTAAGTTATACTTGTCTGTGGTGTTTATAGGAAAAATTTTGAACTGAAAAGTCTGCTTTTCCAACTAGCAGAGGTTTGCAATCCTTGTTTTTCTCATTAGTACGGCAGTCTCCGTCTTGTTTGGATCCATTTGGTTTGGACTTCGGAAAGGATCAGATGTTGAAATGTGTATGACACACATACTAGCATCGAAATAATGATAACTTAGTTAAGAATCAATTTACGTTCATCTAGCCTTGATCGGTCTTAACAGATTTCATCTCCTTACTGTATTATTTGAATAGCTACTGATCACATAATTTGTGGTTTTGAATCATATTCATCGGATTATGCATTAACTTGTGATGGTCCAGACATTGTTTGGCACTTAGTTGTATGAACAAAAGGGAGTACTGATGAGTCAGCGGATTATTTCTGTCTAAAACTTTACTTTCCAGATTCTCAGTATCATCTTTTTAGCGAATTTCCCATATAGGGAATAAGCTATTACCGTAGTACTCATGGTAAGACCTGGACCCGGGACCGATTTTTTTTTTTGTTTTGAGGTCCCTAGAGGCCAAAAACACCATCCGTTCAAATTCATATATATATATATATATATTTATATATATATTTATATATATATTTATATATATATTTATATATATATATATATATGTGTCCGTTAGCGCGATAACTCGAGCAAAAATGATCCGATTTTAATGAAATTTGGTACAAACCTGTGAACCTACGTTTATTCGAACGAGTTCGCGAACCAGCATGATTGGACCATGGGAACGGGGGTTTATGGGGGCTTTTATGGGGTAAAAATGGGTTTTTCCCATTTTTGACCCAAAAAACATAAAATTTTGCAATTTCTTTCCAAACAATTTTGTAGAGCTTAAAAAAACAAATAATTTAGTATATTGAAGCGTTATAATGCGCCTAATGGTTACGGAGAAAATTCCAAAAAATTGTAAATTTAAAATTCTCATGTTATTCTTATGGAGAATAAGTAAACTGTTGTAGTTTGCTTGTTTATTAACATGTTTTGCCCAAATTTGGAAAATGTTTTTATTTCTTACTAACTATTAACATTTTTCATAAAAAAACACTTTCACCCTCCCTGTTGCAGCAAACCTAACTATGTGTTAAACTGATTCTATTTAAATAGGGAATAAATGTGATATTTTTAAGGAGATATTTTAGTGTAAATCCAATCAGGCAAATGGAAATTCGCTTAGTCTGCAGGTTTGCTGCGGCGGGGGTATTTTCCTATCAGAAGTATTTATTCTCATAATAAAAGAAAACAATTTTGGTTTCGATCAGCTGTGACCATATCACTGAAATTGTGAAGATTGAATTCAAAACGGTTTCAAACATTAGTATAAATTTGATTGCATTGTGATGTAAATCATTCTTCATATCTTTGAGGCTATTAATGGAATGTAGTGAAATTGTAAAGCTTAGGCAATCTGTCAAAATACATGGCAATAAATATGACACCATTTACTTTGTTTGGTTGAAAACCACAAGATTAAAATAAATGTTAAAATATTTATTTTATTTATTTTAATTTATTAGTCTCAAGTTAATTAAAAATATTAGGATTTTCCTTTGTTGCTTACTATTCCAGTATTAATGTGCAACACATAACGATTCATGTTTTTAAATTACCTTGCAATGCTTGTTAACTTTTGCTTTTTATTTCACCAGCAAATTTTCGTTTTACCAAATGCTGTGATACAAATTTCCGTAAGTTATAATCTTTCATCGTTGAAACCCCACCTTTTAGTATAGTTTACATTTGTGGTTTTTGTTATTGTTTCCATAGATTAGTGACTGGGTACTTTCCTAACACATTTGCACTATGGTGTTGTGGTGTATATTTGTTAAATCTGTCCCCTATATTAGTTGTTTATTAAACCTTGGTATTTTTAATCACCAATTCCTTCCCTGAATAAATATAATTTATATCAATTGATTGTGTGCTATTGTTGAAATGTCTTAGACGAGGCTTGTCAATTAGTTAAAGCATAGGACATTGATTTTGAAGCTGTGTGTTTAAACCCTGTAGCCTAGAGCCATCTTATTAGTGGGTCCACCAATGTAAGCAATAGGCAGATTCATTGGTAAAGACAATTTTTTTAAATGTTTATAGTAAAAATTGCATTTCCATATTTTAAACTTTGAATGTAGGCTACTGTAACTTCATAATAACTTCAAATAATTTATATTCATTCCTGAAGCTTTTGAAACATAACTTTTGAAAGGTCACGGACATTGTTAACTTAAAATTTACCTTTTTTAGATGAACCATGGAAATTCAACTTCGAAGTCAAGTTTTACCCTCCAGACCCAGCTCAACTACAAGAAGACATCACGAGGTGAGATTGAATTGATTATGTTAATTATGTTGTTATGAAAATAATTTTAATCATAAATATGATTCGTAATTACTGAAATGATAATTTGTATTCAAGACAACTTCAATTGAAACCAATGTGGTTGGTACGGTACTTAAGATAACAGTAGCAAAATATACCTATAAGAGTCCTCAAAAGCAGCGGTTTCATATTGTGGGTCCGCTAAGGTTTGGCAGATTGGTGGTTTTAAAATTAATGGTGTTTATTATTTGAGTATTTGGTTGCCATCTTGTAATTTTTCCACAAGACCAGTTTTTCCTAACTGGTCAGTCTTCTTCATTCGATCAAATCTCGAAGATGTGGTTAAATATAGTTGATTGACAACTGAAAACAGACCTTTTTTAAAGCAGAAACTTGTGTGATACTTGATAGAAATATAGCGATTTTTATATTAGTTCATTATACAAATATCAATGTTTCAGATACCAGCTCTGTCTACAGATCAGAAACGATATTCTCAGTGGAAAGTGAGTATTATTTTGTTTTAAATTAGCCTTTAAAGTGACAATTACAATTATCACTTAGGTTCAATTATTTGTTCAGCTATCTTTCAATAATTTATTCAATATTTGCACTTGCATCTACCATCTAATCTCAAGTATTGTTGTATTCTATTCTGTAATGGGTTGAGCAAAATGGTAATCCTTGCTTAAGATTTCTCTCCCTAGTTAAAAGTATTATATTATCGTACTACAGTAATCCTAATTTTCAGATTGCCATGCTCGTTTGTGACGTATGCACTCCTCGGATCATACCTGGTCCAATCAGAGCTTGGCGACTATGATCCAGCAGAACACAAGAACACCGACTATCTCAAAGAGTTCCGCTTTGCTCCCAACCAAAGTGCGGATCTCGAGGATAAAGTCATGGAACTACATAGAACACACAAGTATGTATCATGTGATTGTGATTCCTTCATGTCTAAGTGACCAAACTATATTATTTATAACTACCTACTAACTTTCCTGCGTAATTTGCACATTGCACTTTTCATTGAGATTTTAATTAACTGGCAATAAATATGTGAAGTAGCAAGACAATTTACGGAACAAGAACATAAAACAAGGAACTGAATTGAAAACTGTTTTTTGTTCTTAAGCAAGTTTTTCTAAGGGCTAGGTCATGGACTAAAATAAAGTAAATAAACCAAACATCAACAACTTAAATTTAAGTTTATGAGTTAAATTAAGTTATCAAAAAATTTGCATTTAAACGTTATTTTGAAATAAATATGTTTTTAGCAATCAACAAAATTATTTAAAAAAAGGATTAAGGCAGATTACTATATGTACTTAAGAAACAAATCAAATTTAACCATATTATAGCTGTAACATCCTCCTACCTAACCCATTGGAATTGTGTTCCAAGATTGACTTGATTCAAACGGCAACAGTTTAAGTGGCCAATAAAACTGAGTTATATTCCTTAGATAAGTCGTTGTAAAGCTGTGTTTGGTAACTGGATGCCTTGACCCATATAAGCAATTATTACTACCCTACATAACTTTTTTAACATTATTTCCTCATATTGCATATTTTTAACATTTTTGTTTAAAATATTATTTTTTAATTAACAAAGTTTTGTAAAAATCTACGTTAGCAGAGTAGTAAACGAGATGTTTAATAGAAAACTTCATTGAAAAGTACCTAATACAACCTACTCCAGCATAACTACTTTTTGCAAAATATTAATACATTAAAAAATATAGACTACACTAGAGAAGTATTTTAACATTGAAAAAATCCCATTCAACTCGAGCAATGCTGCTGATTTTTTTTTACTCTTACTAAGTCAAAGTCCCTTAGCTTTCACAAACCCCAGAAAAAAAAAAAAACTCACCACAGATTTCATAATAAACCATTCAATACACTCTTGTGTACACTCAACTGGACCTCCATATTGCAACTTAAGGTTTTGAAATTCAAACATGTTAACAACAATGGAACAGCTGAAGGGTACCTACTAAAGAAACTTAAAGACACCAGCTTTAAAATTAGCCATAGTTGAATTTTCTATGACCCTTTGTAAAACTAATAGTAGGCTATAGATTTGACCCATTCTTTTTGGGACACTCTGTATAATAAGCTGTACAATTTCTATCAGACCCTCACCCCTTCCTTACATTTGATTTTAGCTCATGTATGATTGTGTTGGTAGTAGCCTATAACTGAACATATTTACAATACTGTACAGTAGAAAGGCAATCTCTCTGTTTGTTATAATATTGATGTAAATTTTACTCTTGAAAATCTTAATATTTTGTTAGTGTAAAACGCTCACAAATTTTAATTTTAATTATGATACTGATAGTTATTTCCTTATTTATAAATATAGGATGAATCTTGTTAGGTGTCCAGTATTCATTTCAGTACTGTACAGTAGGGTGATGATTAAATAACTTTTTTCCAACAAAACCAACCTCAAGGATAACGTTGAAATGCTTAAAATACTTGTATATACAGAATGTTCCAAAAACGGAGGATCTGTAATTTGAATCCAAGAAATTTTGTTGTACCAACGGTTTTCAATCAATACTGGACGACATCCTTCAAGATTTACCCTGCGTACACATTTTATTGGCAGAACATTATTTATTTACACAATTAGTTATACAGTCTTAAATCTTTACTTGAAACAGTCAGGTACATACTAAAACTAGACCTGCATGAACATAGTTCTATTTAAGTACCAGTGCAATTAAGATGGGGACTGATGTTTCTAGATTCCTAGGACAAACTACAGTATTACTATTTTTTAAATAGAGCGGACAAACCTACCTTTATTTTGTCCAGGCAGAGGCAGTAAATTTGGTTGGTGAAGAGTGGGTAATACTTCCAGGTATTTCAATGCCGTTATGTAACTGTGTGTTTTGCCTGTTGCAGAGGTCAGACCCCGGCGGAGGCTGAGCTCCACTACCTGGAGAATGCCAAGAAGCTGGCCATGTACGGAGTAGACCTTCACCAGGCCAAGGACTCTGAGGGTGTGGACATCATGCTGGGCGTCTGCTCATCTGGCCTGCTTGTCTACAGAGACAAGTCAGTATTACTCATCTCCTCGTGGCTTCAACGTAACTTTTATTTCAACCTTAATCTTTAGATTCTCTTGAATAGTTATTTGAGTCGTTTATGTCTGTTGCACAGAAGCATATTTGATAATTATAGACAGTGGAACTAGTACAAGGGCTGTCTGTAAATTAAGATCTCCAACGATTACTCGTCTTTCAATGTGTACAAACTTTTCCTTGTAAATTTTTTACATAAAATACACTTTTCTCCTAGCCATCTGTCATCAGGCAATGGATTTCAATAGGGATTGACCCCTTAAGTTACAAAAAATGTAATACAAGGTTAATCTATAGGTAGAGGAAGTGTAGATTTTCTCTGTCATTAACGGCTCTTACTTGAGTGTCGCATAGGTGAGGTCTGGCTAGAATAATTATGAAAGTAATAAAGAACACAGCATTGTGTTAAGATTAGAACTAGCTAGCATCCTCTGTAGACTAGGAGCGCAATTTCCAAACAATTTATGCATAAAATACACATGTTCGATAAAATGATAAATTTGTACCAATTTCACTATTGTTTTTGTGAGTATAAAATAAATATTTAGATCCTTTGTGGTATATACAACTTGTATCTATATTATTAACAGTAATCTATATTGAATATCAAATGCTTTTGTTTTTATAGGTTGAGAATAAACAGATTTGCTTGGCCTAAAATCCTCAAGATCTCGTACAAACGTCACAACTTTTATGTCAAGATTCGTCCTGGAGAGTTTGAACAATTTGAATCAACAATTGGGTTTAAACTCGCAAATCACAGAGCAGCTAAGAAACTTTGGAAAGTTTGTGTGGAACACCATACTTTCTTCAGGTATGTTAAGCAGAATTCAAGTCTTGAAAGATGTTAATTAAAATTTGATACCTCGTCAGACTTAATTTAGCTCAGGATTAGCAGTATTTCTGAAGTTGAACATTTTGAGTAGAGTTTACTATTTTCTGTTAATTAAAAACAGACCAATATTAGTCTAATTAAGTCTAATTATTAGTCTAATAAATTATGGTTAAAGGTGTCCTGGATCTAGATAAATAAAGCAATAAACTGCAATAAATCCTAGGATAAAAAAATTTTAACCTTGTAAATTTTAAAATCAAATAGTAAATTTTGAGTTATTTCACCTAACCTTATTCTCCCTGTTTTAACCATTTTGTCTGTATTGTTGTAGGCTTGCGACCCCTGAACCACCCAACAAGGCAGGTATTTTCCCTCGGCTCGGCTCCAGATTCCGCTACTCTGGTCGCACTCACTTTGAGACCAAGAGGAACCCAATAGAACGCCCGGCTCCACAGTTCGAGCGTAGTCTTAGTGGCCGACGTCTCACCTCTAGAAGTATGGATGGTGAGTAAACCGTAAATGGTTTTCAATGGTCAAGTGAATTCTTCCTTTTTTTAAGCTCATTGAAACTTAATTTTTGCCAAGAATGGAGTTGACGAGCATGATTGAGAAATCACAGTTTAATTGCTTGTATGTACCCAATATCACACATTTCCCTTTGCAGTAGGACTTTTACAAATAATATATTGATAAGAAAATTTCTAATTAAAAAAAGCTTCAAATGATCAATATATCACTTTAACTGACAATCATTATCATCTGCATTCAAATCTTTACGGAAGTCCTACACATTCAGGAGTTGTGTAGGCCTAATAAGCCCATTTCTACTCTGGCAAACCAGCTATTCTAGAAATCCCCAAAACATAGGCCCTTGTGCTCTATGTTACGTAGTTAAAATAGCGGATAATATGTGCAATTCTTTTGTTTCTCTCTAAATATATTTTTCCCATTTGTATAATGCTTTATCATGCATTGCTTCTTATCTTGTGATTGACAAAGATTTTCTCACATAGGTACAGTAGACTCTGTTATCCGAATATCTTATAACCATACATTGTTTAAACCGGTCTGAATAAGCAGGAAGCCGGTATTACGATATAAAGACTTTTCGCAGGGTAGATTTGAGACCTGTGACCACATGTCTTAGATATAATAATATCCCAAATAGTTCTCAAGTGATTTCTGTGGCGTGCACATGTTTCAGGGGATGTCGGTTTGACCGGAAAACTGTTATCCAGACTGGCCTTTGTCCCGAGGAGTCTGGATAAGAGGGAATCTACTTATTAGCTTTTGGAAAATCCTGCTGATGGAATATTCCAGGTACTTAGGAGAACATAAAGTTTTCATCAATATCTTTTAACTTGCAGCTCTTGGTGTGCCGAGGACAGAATACAATGATGCAAGTAAGAGACACACTATGTCTCACCCTCCAGACCACATCCCTGAAATAGACAACAACAAACTTGGGAAACTGTCTCCCGCTAAGTCTAAGATCAAGGAGAAAGTCAAAGACAAGGTATGTGTTTATGTTTATATGATGCAATTTGTTTTTGTTAGCTGCACCTCTTAGATGAATGTTTTTATCCAAGGATATAAATACTGCTGGAAAGTGTTTAAGGGTTGCTTACCGATTGGATAGTGAAATACTTTTTTTTACTTAAAGGAGCTTCTAATCCTATTTAATTAGTGAAAGAAGTTCTCTTAACAACAAATATTTTTTGTTAACTTTATTTTTCTCTAATTTTGTATTCAAGTTTGTAACTTTACAAATTTTTCATTCTTGAGAACCCCATACAACAAAAACGTCTGAAAAACCACTTGAGTATTTTTTATTGTCCTAATGTTACAGTAACTAATATAAATTAAATTAAAGTCAATCCAAAGAATGGTTTTCAAGTCCACCGTTACAAAGAAAGAATTTGTAATATTTGTACAAACAATTGGTCAAAACAATTAATTTGTTCATAGGCTTATAATGTGCCAGTAATGTGAGTGTGAGTGTACAATTTAATTTATTTCCACAATTGAATACATTTTACCCTTTTAGTTGCCCTTTTTCACTTGAAAATCCACCATTATATTCAATTATTTTGTAACATTTCCAGAAAAATAATCCCTTCCTTCAATAGGATGATGGGTGGTGGACTTGCATATTCTTTTGTGTTGCATTCATGCACTATTGATGGACTAATGCAAAGTCAAAAATGATGAGTTTGTGATCTGTTAAGGTGAGCGAGTTGTTTTTGAATGACAGTTACTATTGAAGTTTTTATAAAAAACATAACAACCATTCTTATCTCCAACCTTATGTAGGAATTCAGCTGGGAAATTCCTAATAAGCCATATCATTTTTCTAAGGATTTTATTATGGTTAGGTTTAAAAGCAGGATTACTCTACTGATGAGAATAGATTTTAAATGCATAAATTTAAAACAGAAACACACAAGTTTTTTAGCTCCGAAAATTATGTGTTTATTTGTGTATTTTTGTCAGTAAGGATCACCTGTTGTTAAACTGATCCATTAAAAGTTCTTTATAAACCCTGGCTATCTATACCAAATAACGTCATGTAATACAATTTTACAATTTTTTAACACAAAATTTTAGATTTGTTTGAAAATTTTTTCCATCATAATACTGGACTCAATTACTCGCTCACCATTTGAGATCTGGTGACACTAACCATATGAGTGTGTGTTGACTAACCACTAACGGTACTAACAGCTGGGCAGTGCCAATTCTTCCCAGTCGTCTGTCAGCTCGACCGAGGGCGAGTATGATGCGGAAACTAGCAAAGCCGATGATAAGCCTTCACAGGTTACGTATTCTCTCATCACTCGCCTGCACTAACAGCCTGATTGTACTCATGTACTTGCCTATGCAACTGTTGTCTTTTGCCCTTTCTGTTATGTTTCTTTACAATAGATATCGATGGTTCAGGAATATTCCTTGCTGTTCTCTCTACTTAAATATTTTCCTAGAAGTTGTTTTGTTACTTGTGTTTCAGGAAAGGTATTTCTCAAGCTAATCCATAGCCGTTGTATTGGAGTGGTCGAATTCAGAAATTTTGAATCTCGAATCTGAATAAAAAATTAGTGCCTGTTGTTGAGTTCTTGTACAGTTAATGTTAAATACAACAATTAGTTTTAAGTACAATAAATTAAATATAAACAGTGACAAATGCATTTTCACCACGGTTTACTTAATTTTCAATCAATTCTTATATACAGGGTGTCCCGTAACTCTCTGGACAAATGTATATAGCGTTATTGCTTAGGTCAAGACAAACACATTTCACCATAGGAACATGGGTCTGTGGTGCCTAGTTTTCCGTCTATCTGTATTTATGTGTTTTTTACAAAAAAATTAATAACTCCTAAACGGTTTGAGATACAGAATTGAGATTTTGCAAAAATGTTTATCTTATTTAGACCTATGTTTGTTTAAAATTATACTACATAACTACATAAAACTACATAAAATTTACTATTTTTTTGTGAAATTTGGCATCAAACACTTTAAACGGCTGATGCTTTTTTAGTAAAATTTTAAACAAAGATAGGTCTAAATAAGATAAACATTTTTGCAAAATCTCTATGCTGTATCTCAAACCGTTTAGGAGTTATCAATTTTTTTGTAAAAAACACATAAATACAGACAGATGGAAAACTAGACAGCACAGACCCATGTTCCTATAATGGTGAAATGTGTTTGTATTGACCTAAGCAATAACACTATATACATTTGTTACGGGACACCCTGTATATTTACTACACACATATCTTGCAATTATAACAACATAGTGATCTCATCCTGCAGTTTTGGCAACATCTGTAATATCCACTACCAATGCAACATCTTAATCCATTGATGCTATTGAAATAATATCGGAAAATGTTTTGATAACAGCGCAAAAAACATTTTCTCAAAAATTACTAATCACTAATTTTAAATACCTTTACCGAGCAATATCCTCAAACTGTGGAAGTTTAGAAATGTCAGCTGCGACTTAGTAAGCTACAAATTGATCATAAATATGAAATTCGGGGTTTAAATATGTATGTTCTGTGATTTAGTAGATTCAAGATTGAGATTCGTCACATCACTAGTTACATTATTTTAGTATTACAATGTTTGCAGTTAATGTAATGTTGATGGAGTAGCCTATTATTAGAGGTAACTAATCATAACATAATGTGGTTCTAATTTTGTTTGATATATTGCTAGCTATTTAGTTCAATTTCTAAACATTGATGTTTTCCATTCAATTTTACATCGAAATGGTGTTAGGGTACTTAACTGACTGTCTTAGCTTTTTGTGTCAATGCTTAGGCTTGCTTATAATGTGTAATTTTGAATAAATTCAACTTGACCAAGTGTATTCAGCTTTTTCTGAACGTGCCTGCAGATGCTGCTAAATTTGTTGTCAGCTCTATTTTTGTAAAAGTGTTATATGTAAAAAAACTAAATTGTAACAATAATCTTAAGTTAAAATGTTATGAATTGGAGTAATTTTATTATTCGTTATAGGTGTTATATTAGGCTATGATTCTACGATACCATAATTATCACTTTTGTTAAAAACAAAATCATCATTGGATTAGGTCTTACAATCAAAATATTTGAGTATGGTTCGAATTTTATAGATCAAGACTGGAGTGGAAACTCATAAACTAGTCACGCTATCTTAGAGAAGAAGAAGAATCCTCTCTGTGATACAGCTTTATACACAATCACTTTTATGTTCAATAATGAATTTGTCAGCTTTCCCACAGCTTTCAAACTTCTACTTTTCTATCAAAACAGCACAGTTTCACTCACTAATGGATTTTATTTCTGCTTCTCAATAAAGGTTAACACTGTGGTAACAAGATAAAGTGGATGTAAAACTCCACAAAACTGTTTAAATCAATTTTACCATTTCTAACATGGCATACTTTGTAATATATGCCCAACACAACTATCAGAAGGACTTTTCTGATAGTTAGATTAAACATTAGTCTTACTACTGCACTTTTTAGAATGTTTTTCGATTGTCAATGTTTTTTTAAATTTCCATCCATGAATGACAACTCTTAATCAGTTACTTCCTCTTATCAATATTATTATCTGAAGTCTTAACTCTTATGCTATTGTGTTTTATTTTATAGTAATTTTTTTAACAGAAACCAATCGGAGGCGTAGCAGTACTTCCAACCAAGGCGCTGGGTCTCAACAAGTTGAAGGAAAAAGACAAGAATACTTCCAAGTACGTTTCTGTTTGTTACTGCTTACAAAACTGTTAATTTGTATACACTTAAAAATACAGAAAAACCTCACTAACTCGACAATTTGTCCAGAGGTTATCGAGTTTGGCGGTTGTCTAGTTATCCAGAACATATATACTCATATATACATATATACATGTAGTGTATAAATACATTAATAGAGTTTCTCTGTTGTCATCTATATATAAAGCTAGGATGGATTTGAACTTTTGAGGAAACCGTAAGCCGCACACCTATCCAGCGCATACTTGAATGATAGGTCTTACTGTGAAACTTCCCCGTAAAATATCAGTTTTTCGACAAACCCTTTCCTAAGGGCAGGAACATCAATTGAAGAGCAGTACTTAATCACATTTAAAATATTGAAGATACATCAGCTGTTAGTTTTGTTTTAGTTTGTTTGGTTACTTTTCCTTGAGTCAACCTTTTCTATGTTTCATCAAGAGAAGTGACATTATGTTTTTCTTATAATGTGGGATAGTGTTCAAACCTTTGAGCAATTGATGTTGCATTTAAATGTTATCTAATAAAGTGACACAAGAACCATAGAGTTTGGAAGGAGCCCTTATGTGTCCCAACTGGGAAAAACAAAACGCATCAGTAGAGTATTTTTCCTTGTGACATGGTAATTGATCAAATTAAATTACATCAAGAACAACCGCTTAAACATCCATCATTTTGCATTGGTTGTGGCAGTGAAGAATCTCTGCCATAATCTCTGCGTTTCCTCCCTGTGGGGAGGCACGGGCAGAACAACTAGTACATACTATCTGGTAACATTTTATTTTTATTCTCTTTGTTAACTGACACATATTGCTTGATGATAATAAATTGTTAATTTATTTCGCTATTGTAGTGGCCTGTCGAACGAAAATGAACACGATGACGAAGAAAAAGAAAACAGAGCAACTGAAGGTGTTGTAATAAATACTACGAACTTGATTGAAAAAGAAAAAGAAGCCGCAGAATCTCCAAAGGGCCAGGAAGATAAGAAAGGAAGGGAAAGCTCTCTTTCAAAATTGAAGGTAGGACATTCCAATCGTAAAATATGGTTTGAATTTGTGTACTTTTTGTCGTACCTTTGAATTGGTGTAGCAAATTTTTATAGCGATTTGCCTGTATCTTTTTTGATCTTAGATGCTCTTTAGTGTGTCTTTTTGGTTTGAATAAATCAATAAAATCGTCAATAAATTAACAAAATTAATTTGAAACATTCCAATCAGAAGTTTAAATGGTTAAAGGGATGTTTTTATTTATTAAAATGACTTAAATTTAGTTGATCTGAAAGTAACTTGGTAAAATTAACCTTGAAATAGTGATTCAATTTTAATCCCTCCAAACCACCAATGGATTTTATCCAAGTGATAATTCCGCGGCCTCTAGGCCTAGCCTGAAGTAATAGTGAAAAAGATCCCAAGCTAGAACCTTGCGTCCTAGGATGAAAATAATGAATAAATAAATCCAATGTGCAAGGTTAAAAAAGCTACTTCCCTTTGAAAGTGACCATTGAAGAGCTATGCTACTATGTAGACCTATCTATTTTGTAAATATATTTTATTGTCAAATCTTTACTGGTGAATACTTATTTCTTGGTGATCTAGTTAAATGCAGATGTTTGGGTGTTTTAAACCTCATTCAGAAAAATAACTTTATTAAATAAATTCTAATTATTGACCTGATCTATAAACAACATAAACTTAAGCCAACTCATTAATTACTTCTCGATTTTGTTTAGTGAATAATTTTTTCTGCATTTTAAGACAGATCAATTTTGCTAATTTTTTAAATTGTTATATGAATCTACTCATTAGATGCATGATTATGAATCAAATTGCAGTTATTTTGCTCAAAATTTGTTTGCTTTAATAATGTACCGTGTGTTGTAGAATGGATATTATTTAATATTTTAAATTGGAAAAATGCTGCTTTTTTTAAAGTAGACCTAATGGTTTATTAGTAAAAGTAAATATTTTATTGTGATTTTCCCTTTAAACCATTAAACTGATGCCAGTGATTATAATACTTTATGTCACATCATGATATAACTTTTAACTGCACCATTTTAGAATCTCAGTTTACCATCCTTGATTGCTAAAGAATTTCCTTATCAATTTTCCTTGTCAATTGAAAAACTTATATTTTAAAGCAGCATTTTCCAATTATTGCTTTTTACATGATTTTATTTTGCATGATTAATTGTTGTTTGTTTTGTCTCTTTCTTTTTCCGTTGGTGTTGTAATTGAAGAGCCCAACATTCCTTTTTGGACGCAAGGAAAAAGATAGTAAGAATGTAGCTGATTCCAAAAATGCAAAGGAAAAAGATGGCAAGGATGAAGATGGTACCGGTAAAGAAAAAGATAAAAAAGATAAGGAGAAGAAAGAAAAGGAAAAGAAAGATAAAAAGGACAAAGAAAAAGAGAAAAAGGCCAAAGAAGAAGAAAAAGAAAAGCTCAAGAAAGAGAAAATTGAACTTGAATTACTCGCTAAAGAGTCAAAGAGTAAAAAGGACAAAGACAACAATGAAAAGAAAGACAAAGAAAAGAAGGATAAAGATAAGAAGGATAAAGATAAGAAAGAGAAAAAAGAAAAGGAGAAAAAAGAAAAAGAGAGCAAGAAAGACAAAAAAAGTAAAAAAGACGAAGGTAAGAAAGATGGTAAAGACACGAGTTTTGTTAGTGATAAAGACAGATCTTTGACATTAGAATCCTCCTTTGACACATCCTCGTCTCCTTCAAGTCCAAGTCAATTCAATGAAAGTGCAGAAGGAAATATTCCAGAAGGATCACCTCTTCCAATTTACACTAAACCTTATGACTATCTCGAGGATGGTTCTGACCAGAAACATAAAAAAGCACTAGTTGGAGCATTTTCATATGAAAACAAAGATAAATTAGAATCACCGAAGGATGAGCATGGCAACTCTTCAGGGCGTAAAGCTGTTGGCATAGCTTTCAACTACGCCCCAGGAGAGGCTCAGAAAGTTGCTGAAACTGCTGCTGAGAAAAGAAAAACTCTCTTGGAAAAAAGCGGGAATGAGCCTGATGTAGTACCTGTTGGATTGCGAACACCGGGACTTGATTATGTGGAATCAGCAGCTCGGAAAGAGCAATCCAAGCCTGGTGGTGATTTGTCACCTACGTCCAAGCGTGCTTTGGATATGAAAGGAGGAGGAATCTTTCATTCCGGTAAAGACTCAAAGCCCGGATCAACTTTTGGATCAAAAACTCCTTCAGAAAATCTTGTGACAAAAGTGACTGGAAAAGAAACATCTAAAGATCCCAAGTCAGGTCAACGAGGCACTGATCAATATGGCAGACCACAATTTGATGAAGGAATTATCAGTGGTGCTTATCCTTATGGTGCAGCCGGGGAATCTCCGAAACTGTTGCAAGATATCAACAGAGATTTCCTGAGTGCCGAAAGGAGTCATTTATCTCCAGCTGGTGGAACTGTAGCTCAAGCTGGAGGGCCGAAAATTGTGAAAACGACTACAAAATCCAGCGTGGTTAAAGATAGGGAAGGCGTCACTCAGAACATTGAAGAGAAAGTAGAGGACTTGCAGTCTGGAGAAGTTACTGTGTCTACGCATGTAAATAAGGTATGATTATTAGCGTTGATTTCCCTAGTTCAGCTTTATTTTGATTAATTAGAGTAGTTAGATTTTTAGTGTAGGATAAGATTTATAGTTAGATTTTTCAGAAGGATTGCAGGTTTGAGAAGAAGTAATTCTGCTATTTTGAGTATATACAACATTATAGAAATGTATGATTTAAGACAGTAAATTCAAGATTTAATTAACACTTGTTGCTCAATGAGGGTTGTCTTTTGTCAACGAGGTCCGCCAAACATGATTCACATTCTGTGGTTAGGTTTCTGTGGAAGGGGAGCCAACCTCTACTAAAATTTATTACCAGTTGACGGACATCAATTAGTAAAATTGCTTGTGAGCGTTGAAATAGGCAGAATTTATCATGGAATTTAAGGACAACTCTAAACTCTCTATTTATTTTTATTTTTGTATTAAATTAAAATTACATTCACTAAAATTAATACAAGAAATAGGTATTTAAAGTGAATGAATATAAATGTTTATGCCTCAACAAATACTGAAGTTATTCAGATTCGACAAGACTTACATTGTATGATTGATTAGAAGAATCACTGCTCTTCCATTCCGTGAATATTTACTCATTCCTTGTTTTTTGCTGCATATTTGATCTTAAAACCTTAACCTAAAGCTTGACAGTATGGCTAGATAACAATTATTTCTTTATTTAATAAAATGAACATATCCGTATTACCTGAATGTGAGTTTGCTCTGACTGATGATGTTATTTGTGACAGGCTGAAGGGTTGGAAGACGCAGGGGGAAGATCTCCGTATGTTACAGCCACTGCTGTCACCACACGGACCGCCACCACCCATGAGGATCTGGGCACCAACGCTAAGACTAGTCAGGTTAGAAATAACCATCGTCTCATTCACTAAACTAAATTAGACAAATATATATCCAGGTGTATATAAGATAGTTTTATTTGTAAATTAAAGTCTATAATTGTGCAGCAAATTGAATTGCAGTTGTGAAAAAGTAGAATGTCTTAGTAGTCATGAAGTATGTCTTAGTATCAAAGTAACGTAGCCTAATAGACAATATCACATGTATTTGGTATCGTAGGTGGAAGAAACAACCGTCGCACAAACAACAACCCACAGTGCTACCCGACAGGAGAAGAGAGTGGTTACACAAGAAGTACGAACGCAATCAACAATCGTTAGCGGAGACAATCAGGTAATATTTTTAAAATCATTCATAAAACCCTGTTTAAAACTTGAGTTGGTTGGTAATTAAAAATTACAGTCGGGTCCACATAAGTTTGCAGTTGAGGGAGGAGCCTATTTACCATATGGTTTTAAATGAACCAATGAGAACCGTGCGGTGTTGCCAAATCTAATAGTACCAGCTGATTAGAAAAAATTGCTTAGTATATTTTAATTAGTGTTGTCAACAGGCGATGTGGCAACGTCGCACTAGCCTTGTCTTGTGATTGACTACCACCAACTGCAAACTTACGTGGTGGATAAATGCTTGGATGATAAATTCTCAGAACAACCAAGTAGAAGAAGCTGTTTATCATTGCAATATCTTATAACTCATGTTTTGAATATTTAAAGATTTTTTTAATTCATTGCTTTGACTGGCCTATGTCTTTAAGACAATCGTTTTTACCTTTGTCCTGTAATTTTTTTTATGTTTTGATAGTACATTTTTTGTAGTGAATAATGCAGCGAAGCTATTACTTATGTTTTAGTGCTATGTATGTTTTCCGTTGTTAATGATAGCTAAAATTTATGTTTTACCGTCAATTGTGATTTGCTTGCAATAATACATTCATAGTTATTATTATCATCCCATTAGCTTGTAATGCTGTATTTTTATTTTTGAAATGTTGAAATGTGGACTCACTATTAAAAATTGGAGAGTTGATCACCACAATAAAATGATTTATTAAATGGAATTTTTTTCTTTCATATTCTGTATAATGATCTCTTATACTAGATTACACAAATCTCAATGGTGTCTATTTCTCTTGATCTTGCACACATTCGACTGAACTTGTATTGTCTGATGTCTTTTATAATTTTATTTTTACAACTTAGTCGTGAAAAGAGGCTTTATGAGTTGTGAATAGTAACTAAAGTAACTCATTGCTACAACAGTTTGTGGCAATACAAATGAGTTTGTTAGCGTGTGAGTCCACATTAGCATGTTTGGCTGATCGTAGCATGTTGTTGTCGTAGCTGAGTAGACGTTCCAGCACGTCCTCCTCTAGCTCAAATGACTCCGGCACTCCCGTGGACTTTGACGGATACTACGTCAATGGCAGCTTCCAGGTAAACACCACGTCACATGAACACATTAGTAGAACGTTAATATTTGTTGTTATTTTGATATAGGCCTGTGTTAAAACTAGGTGTGGTCGATGACATATGTTTTTCTTTCAGTAAAATCTTTTTTTAGACTCGAAACACTAAAGGTAGAAAATATGTTGTTTTGTCAACTTATATGCTACAATTAAAACCAACCTCTTCATCAACTACAGTTTTGTATTGAAAAATCTGGTTTACTTTAAACATTAACTACTCACTTATCAATTATGGTAAATTTTTAAATTCTATATCTAACGATGCATAATGGTTTGTTGTGTTGTGATACAGTGCTTTGTAGTGTTATGTATTACTTTTACACTTGTTTGTTGTCGCTAGAAGGAGCCGATAGTCCATACGGAGACGATTGTGTACACCAGTGGTGGGGAGGGGAATGGTGGGCTGCGGTCCACGACGGAGGTGCCTGTGGTTGCCACGGAGACTCGCACTGTCGCGCTAGAGAGTGACGATGGCACGTACTCCGCCACGGGAGAGATTGTCAGCTCACAGACCATCAGCAGCAAGACACGCACAGTGGAGACTGTCACAGTAAGTGGATTACCATTATCAACAGCTTCTGTTATTGGGTTTTGTGACATTACACAGTAAAGGCTGGTTTATCATCTCATATAGGCCAGAAAGGTTTTTTTTACAATAAAACTGATAAAATCCGTTGGAGTCTGGCATATTTACCAAGCAATTTTTCAAAAAGGCTTAAGAAAAAATTTTGAAAGTGAAAAAGCATGTTCTGATGGTTTTAGGACAGTTTGACAATCGTTAATAATATGTGGAGCTTCTACATTTTGCACATTGAATGTGGAATTGACTGTAGGAAGAAGCTTGAAATTAATTTGTTCAAAATTATGTAAAATTATTGCTATCTGTGAAAACCTTAAAAAAGCCTCCGAAAATCATTTTAAAAACCCCATTTTTATGTGAATTTTTTCTGTGTGATTAAATTGTGGATCTAATCCATTTTGGTGTTCACATTCTGCCCAATTTTTCACAGCCTATCTGTAATGTATGTTTAAACAAAGATTTTTCATTTTCTGAAACATTCTTTTTACACATAACTATCATTTTCAGATACGTTCTGATAATTCCCTTCCACTGGGTTTTTTTTTTTTTTATGTGAAAATGTTATAATAGGTATCATCTACATTTACGAATCCTCTCTAGAGTCAGGTTGGGTTAGGTTAGGTTTGAACCGTGGCATAACCTAAACTGATTCTGTGTTGTTACATACAACTTGTATAGTGGCAGCGAATAAAAGGAAAAGGAGCTAATTTCCCAATAAACGTGTTGATTTCAGGCATCAATACGTCTTTAGTTTATAAGTTTGTCAATAAATATCTATGTTTTAGTACAAGACAGAAAAGGATGGTGTGGTAGAAACGCGGGTGGAACAGAAAATCACTATCCAGAGTGACGGAGACCCGATAGACCACGATCGGGCTCTGGCAGAAGCCATCCAGGAGGCAACAGCAATGAACCCTGACATGACCGTGGAGAAGATCGAGATTCAGCAGCAGCAACAGCAGCCGCAGCACTGAGGTGAATCAAATAAGGCACTCGGTAACCTGGCACTACCAGATAGTAGTGTGTAACATCTACTGTACATTACATGTACAGCCCAACCCCAAAAGAACATATCAATTTGTAGTCGGTATAACCTGACCAGTCTTTGGTTGTTGTGACTTAATATACTATAACCTTCAGTGGCGGATATAGAATATTTTTTTGGAGGGGGCCGAGATTAATTTAAGGTTAGGTTAAGTAATTTCAAGTAGACATGCCTTGATACTTTATCTCAGTTTTTTATTCATGATAAATAATAATTTATATAGGGGTGTGCGATGCAGCAATTTTTTTTCGATTCGATGCGTCGATGCGATTCAAAGAATTTCGATTCGAATCGATGCGATTCGATTCGATGCAGCACGGCATGATTTTCTTTCAAAATGATTTACTGCTTGTGTTTCTGTAATGGACCATTTGCCTTAAAGAGGTTCAAGTAAAAAAAATTACTAAGTTAAATGTTTTATGAACAAGAGGATAGTTGTTGACCTAACCTCCTGCTGATAGACACTGCTAATTTTATGGTTAGCCTAATAAAATTCGGACTTTTCAAACAATTAACAAAGCCTTTACAGCAAAGCAATTTTTACTATTAGTGACCTGTATTAAATTAAACTGAGTAACTTATTTTACAAATGATGTTATTTTATTTCCATTTTTATATTGTTTGCTTTCAATACTTTGGGTTTATTCTAAAGGAGTCAGAAAAAAAACAAAAAGTAAATAATCAGTGTTTATTGTCTCTTTGATACATTAATACATTATGTATAATAAATAGATGTAAAACTAAAAATAAAATTGAAATTAATAAAAAATTGTGTTTAACTTAAAAAATATTCAAAGAGATCAGTGAGTAGGCATATCAAAAAGATAATCTATATATTAATCAAAACTTAAAAATAAACTCTTTGTAAAAAAAACATTACTAGATGAATTGTGAAATAAATACATTTTTTAAATAGTCTAAAAGTGTCAAGAGAAAATACACTGAGGAAAAACAAACAAGTAAATGGCAAGAATGAGATCACCTATTCTCAAATGACCACGGAATATAAAAACAACTAGTAAACTAAATGACTACCCGTGATTAAAAATTAAAAATAAAACAAAATATTTGAACAAAACCACAATAGAAAAATAATACTGAGATCAAATAAAGTATTAAAAATTGACTAAATAATATAGATGATACTATTTACAAAACATGAAACAAATAAATATATAATAAAGACAATAACAGATAAAATAAGAACTTACTAACAGGAACAACTTGAGGAAAATACTTGACACATTTAACCTATTTAAGAGAAGACACAAGTTTGATATTGCATTGTTCTGCAATTAAAACTACTAATAAATCAAATAACTATGGGTTGGAATGCTTTTAAATGTACAAAAGATTCTTTCTAGGATAATGAATACATTTTTTGTCAATTACATTACAGATATGTTAGTTTTATCATTTTTACATTATTGTTGGTCCTTTTCATAAAGTGAAATCTAAAATAATGTAATCAGTAGGTCTTACTTGTTTAAAAAAGAGTTAAATAAAAAATAACAAATAAAAATGAAACAAGTAAATGCCAAGAATTAGCTAACTGTTAGTTTGTGCAGTTTTTTTCTCAAATTATTAGACTATATATATATAGATCAAAAGACTAGTAAATGAGTAAATGACTATTTAAATATCACAAATAGAACAATATATTTGAACAAAACAACAATAGAACAACAACAATAATAATAATAATATACTGAGATCAAATATGAAGTCAATTTATTAGAAATTAACTAATAATATATGATAAAATAAAAGAGATAATATTATATCTACACAAAATGAATCAGATAAATAAATAACACTCCTACTAATAAATAAAATAAGAACTTACTAGGAACGACCTGAGCAAAATAGACTTGACACATAAGCTGTACCCTAAGCTCTAAGAAACAAGTTTGATATTGTCATGCAAAATAACAAGTTGTTCTGCATGTGCAGGAAGCAATTCCCTGCGTCTAGAAGTGATGGTGTTTCCAGCTGATGAAAATAGTCTTTCACTTGGTACAGAGGTGGCCGGAATGCCCAGATATTTCAGGGCCACTCTTGCAATTTTGGGAAATAGATATTTGTTTCTGTTCCACCAAGAGAGTGAACATTCATTTTGTTTTATTTTGGGTGACTTTAAATACATTTTCACCTCAATGTCAATTTCATCATCCGTACTCTGTGACAAAATTTCTGGTCCTTCTTCGAGATACCTAAAAATACTTCTTGAATTTGACGGAGCTGTCTCTTCACTAGGCGTATCTATTTGACTTGGGGTTGATTGCTGGTTATCCCTAAGTTCTTTATTGAGGTGTGTCTGAGCTCGAAGGTGAAGCTCTGGGTTTAAGCCCGCCAGCTTGTACTTAGGATCAACGAGGGTTGAGATTAGGTAGAGAGGGTTGGATTCAAGAGGTCCGAATCGTGTCCTTAGAGATCTTCTAACAGCTTCCCCAAACTCGGTGCTGCCATCTTTTTCATCTATATCTACTAGCACCTTCTCTATTCCAAACATCATTGGCAGAATGGAAGAAATTGTCGGATACGTTTCCCCACTTGAAAATGAAGTAGCTTCAACGAGGGGTTCAAAAACCTTTAGGACACTTTCAGCCAAAGCCCACTCGTTGCCTTTTAAGGTGTTTATTTGTGTGTTGCTCCTGCCCAACTCAAGGTTTATTGCATTGCGGCATCGAACTAGTCTTTCCAACATAAAATATTGGCTATTCCACCTAGTTGGAACATCTTGGATTAGTTCTAATGGCTTTTGCCCAAGATTTTCTTGTTCGCTTCTTAATCTTGCGTTTGCCACACTGCTGCGTGTGTAATGGCCAACTATGGTTCTGCATTTAGCCATTAGGTGGCTCACAGGAACTGTTGCCTTAATGGCATCCTCAACACACAGTTGGAGAACATGGCCAAAGCAGTCAATGTGAGTCCACTGTTTCCATTGGGAAATTGCTGATCTCATGTTGTAGGCACCGTCGGTCACAGCATATATCGGAATTTTATTTACACCAATGAGACTCTCTATCTCCCATTCTTGGATTGTGTCTTTTATTCCCTTACAAAGATTGGCACCGGTGTGCTGAACAGTTAATTGTTTCAGTGCTAGACAGTATGATTTTAATTCAAAATTGTCAGTAAGACAATGAAATGTCAGCGACATGTATCCGTCATGTTTTTTAGATGTCCATCCATCTGTAGTGAAACTCCATGACTGCAGGTCATTGAAACTTCTCAGTTCATTTTTTATCTTCTTTGTCAATGCTTCATGCATTTTTGGAATCACACTTCGGGAAAATGTGGTCCTGCTCGGTACTTGGTATCGAGGGCTAGTGAGCTTCATAAGTCCCTTGAACTCCGCCTCTTCCACGATTGAGTAGGGATGGAATCCGGCAACTATAAATTTTCCTATTTGGTTAGTTAGCTGGATGGCCTGTGCATTGGTTGGGGGCCATAACTCCTGTTTTTGGAACGCGCTCTTAATTGTAGGTTGAGACGTAGGCCTACCATCATCAACGGATTTGTTCGACTTAAGTGTAGATGTTTTGCATTTTTTCTTCATCCATTCGGATTTTTTTAGCTCATAGTCTTTAAAGGCACTTACATGTTTTCTTTTCAAGTGATTAATTATTGCAGTTGTCGTTCCTGTAAAAAAACGTATTGCTGTAAACTTAGCCAAATAATAATATTGAGTCAGTCAAGAATGGTGAAATCTTCACTCTCATTATTTCTTATTGTTTAGTTTAGGTAACATTAGGGTACACTTCCATATCTGTTGGCACAAACAACCGAATGAGTAATATTTATTATTCGATTGTTTAATTCGATATATCGTTTGGTTAGTTAGGTTAGGTTAACCTTACCTAACTAACCAAACGATTATCAAATAATCAATATATCAATCGATATTTTTGTTATGGAAGTGTACCCTAACATTATTTGATAACGGAACTTGACTTTAATTATTTTATTTCTTTATTTATATTTTTAAAAAACTTGTAATTTCTAGCATACAGGTCAACTTTCACTGGATTATTTAATAATTATTGCACAATGATTCATTTTTATATACCTAGCCTGATTCATTTCAGCCAAATTAAAATACCCAGCTAAATTTAAATATTAGGCTATAGTTTATATTTTAAGTTATGTTGATGATTGCAAGTTTCATTTCATGTTAAAATAAATAAATGCATTTAATTCAATCCAGCCTATCCATTATCCAATAGATAAAAAGCATTTTAAGCATACCCAAACTTATTCTATAACAAATATAGACAAGTGCTTATGAAATTTTTTAAATAAGTTATGCACAGATGCTGGGAAATTAAGTGGTTGAATTAAAAATAAAAGTATAATTAAAATATTATTAGCATAGCATGGGATATGGTACATTTACACCATTTTGACTTTGATATTGATTCAAAGCCTATATAAATAATTTTAAGATTAGCTGACTTAAAATATAAAAAAGTTGAGTTAAACATTGTTTTAACTAACTTTAATTTGTAACTTAAACATAGTAGGTCTAAAAAGACCATATTAACAAACTTTCAAAGTGGAAAAAGGGCACAGTTAAAAAAAAATCTGGTGGTAAGACTTTCCATATAAAACTATCTTAAATTAGGCCTTTTTGTGATTTGATACATAGGCTATCTATGCTAAATGAATGCCTATTTCGTTGATTTATTTTCAACAGTCTAAAGACAAAGTTATTATCAGTTTTACTTTTTGGGCGAACCAAATTAATCTTTCAAAAGTTGATTTTTAAGTCTACAACTAGGTTAAGTAGGAAAACAAGACGTACCTGTTTTAGCAGCTATTTTAGTTCTGCATGTCTTACAAACTCTTGAATCTTTGCCTTCGCAAAGAAAATACTCATATATCGGGTTTTGGTTTGAAATAACCACGGTACTGGGAGCGGGAGCCGAAGTTCCCCTATCGGTATCGATAGGGGTAGGCCTAGCACATTCTGTATCTGATTCTACCTCTACAGGCACAACGTTTTGGTTTTGGCTACTTGTGCCGGGAATAGCCCAAGAGGGATCGTCTACTATAGCTTCCTCCAACTCTTCAAACATTGTGAAATTTATTTTAAAAAGTCCACATAAGCATCCGCGTCGTGTAACGAACTAAGCAGACGTACTGTCACACACCCTTATCAATCACTACGCAACAGCTGTGGCCCTTGGGGGTGTGTCTGTAGCGTAGCAAACACGGCAGACAGCTCGGCTCGGGTATTTACTCAAGGGAGGTACAGAAGAGCCTTCGATGACGTCAGCTGTCAGATCTCTTGAGGTAACACCATTACCGCAACGATACGGAATTCAGTCATCGGCCACGGTGGTGTAGTGGATAGCGTGTCGGGCTGATAATCCGATCAACAATTTTTTTCATATCAGCAAGTTTGGTTGGTTTGGTTACGTTATGACAGTTTAATGTTAAAAAAAAGTATAACATTGAGTTTTAGGCATTTATAATTTTATTTTATGAACAAAACTATTTTTTTAGATTAGTAAACCTTCATTTGATTTTTTCATTATCAGCACGTTTGGTTAATTTGGTTAGGTTATATCAGTTTGATTTAATAATTGGAAAAAATTAAGATTAATTTTATAATTTTTCTTAATTTTATAATTAAGTAGACCTAATAGTGAAGTAAAAATTACGCGCTCTGCTCTCTACTACAACGCTGTTAACGGAGGAATTTTGCACTAAACTATGATGTCATCGTTGCCTCATTTTTACCTCCCTTAAGTCAGACCCCTCGGCTCGGCGGCTTTACGACAGCTGGTTATACAGTATTGCACAATATTGTTGCTAGACTGAGGCTATTCGCACGTCAGACATCACGTCTGTTCCAAAATGGCACCATTTTACGTTCTTTAATCCAGTTATTTTTATAACTGTTTATGAACATGTTGCACATAAAAAACCCTAGTATTAGGAATGGAAGTAGGCCTACATCTAAACCTCATTAGCCGAAATGGATGGAATAAACTTCATGCTTCACGTTTTCTGCCAGAAATATAAATACTGATTATGAAATATGAGACTGTTCTAAACCAACGTCATATTGATGGTCCATTGGTTGGTAGGTCCATAGCGTCATACTTAATTATAAAATTATAAAATTAATATTATAATTTTAAAATTAAACTGTCATATTTCATAAACTAACCGGACTTGGTGATGATAATGAAAAAATCTAATTATGGTTTACTAATCGAAAAAAATTTTCTGTCCATAACATAAAATTATAAATGCCTCAAATTCTAACAAAAGATGTAATCGCACGCATGTCATCGATGGGACCGGCCTGGCCTTGGCCCCTTTACATTATTTTATAATACTGGAACTACAACGGGAACGGGCTGTGACGTCATTTTGACGTGCGAATAGTCACTTCGCTACCCGATTTAACTTGCTCGGCAGCTAGGCTGCTGTGTTGTGTTGTAGAAATGAGCATCGATAGTCGATTTTCTTACATCGAGTGTAGATTACCGATTAAAATCGATGTTTTCGTGGATGCTACTGCTATTAGGACAGCGATGGTGGACTTATTCATCCCTTTTGTGTGTTGCGATTCCGATTCCTCTGTTGTTATAAACTTGTAACCTAGTTTTATACTTTAAGCAAAAATACGTCCGATATATCGGAATTCGATATTTATCGTTACCCTTCCCACAGCACAGACTAAAACACTTTTCAACATAAAACGGCGTAAAAGCAATCGTCATTTGCTCCCGTGAAACACGAATGTCGATTGGCTGACATGACGATGCAGCGTCGTCTCTCGACCAATGGGAACTCTTGTTACATACTTTGATTTAACTTAGATTGTCAACATTCACCATTCATTATATATTACAAAATCGACATGGACCTTGCGTACTATAGTTTTTAATCGATACACTATATTATAGTAGCACATAAAACTTCACTAAACTCTTTAACTAGTTAAGTAATACGGATAAAATATGGATCTACTTTTTGGCGCAATGTAAGGCAAGCCCCCAACAACACTGACGTTACGGTTACGACGATGACGATGTTGAATCTAATTTTTATTTTTCTAATGATGCGTAATGCAGGGATGAAACTGAACATTTTGACGTGTTTAGGTTATTTATTTTGTAATGAAAATAATACAAAAGTCTGACTTATTGATACAGACATTGTTTTGTATAATTAATTTCGTGTTGGCAGTACATTCGCGCGCCGGTTGTCCAAGTCTGATCTCGCTGTCTGACATCTTGAAGAAACGTAGATTGGGTTGTGCAATATCATCTGCCTGCAGAGAGAACAGCTGAAGCTAAACTTTAGCTGTTTTGAACTAAATAGTGTGCTAAGTTGGTTACTAAAGTTGTTAGCGTGATTACAAAACTAATAGCTATCAAATAGAAATAAATAAATGTTAAAATAAAATATCTATCCATCCCTATCGGGTGTCTGTATCTGCGGAATCGGGTGAAATCGACGTTTGGCAATCGATTCTTGATACCGATATTCCTAGTATCGGCAATGTCCGAGTATCGGTGGTAGCGATAATTGACACTTCCCTATCTAAAACTCATTTTGGAGTCCAAAATTAGTTTTAAATATGCATCGGGACGTATTCGTTGCATCGGGACTTAATCGATGCATCGGTCTTTTTCGATGCATCGAGGCCAAATCGATGCATCGTGATTTCGATGCGTGCTGAATCGAATCGCGATTCGATGCATCGAATCGAATCGAATCGAAATTTCGATGCATTTTCGATGCATCGCACACCCCTAAATTTATACTATGGTACCTATTTTTTCTTGCCCCCGCCCCCCTTATATTTGCCCCTAAAACCTTTAATGTACAGTAGATAGCACTGGGAGTGAATGTGAATTTTCAAGGATGAGAGCTTGCTGTTTTGTAGCGTAGGTCTGCTCATCTTATCTAGTTTTTAATTGTTGTGTAGTAGAGTTTAACCACTTCCACTCTACGTTTTAACAAATTTGTTTGTTTTAACAGGCCAACTGTGTTTTTCCAAGACAATGGAGAGAGCTCCATGAAGTTGTAATAGGTATAATGAATGTTTTTATACAATATAATACTTATGACTTATGTTTGTGAATGTTTGAATTCTACAACACATTAAATTTTGGGTGTTACAGGTTTATAGAGTAAACTGAAGCTTTGCCGAGCCTGCCTTATCGCAAGGACGCCAACTCGCCGGTGTCAACGCTCTCATGACTGTCGCTGGTTTTTTTATCTCCTATCCGAACAAACTTGTGTTATCGTTAGCTATAATTTTTCCTTTATCGCTTTTGTTCATGAAATGTATATTTCATTTAACATGTGGCATTAGTAATTATAGGGGGTTGGTCACTTGCTTGTGCTATCCACATAAAAGGTGTTGTCTAGCAGACCGAGAGGCACAATAATAAGAGATATATATAATTTAAACTTTTGGAGTTGAAAAGGCAATATGCAGGTATGGTGTGTTATTTGTGTTGAGAAACACAGATAAAATGTATATATAACAGCAAGGGGTGGTGGCAAGCTAGTTTTCTTATGTATAGCTCTGGGTTTTCACAGGTATAAATTCATAATTTTTTTTATAAAGTGCCTTACACTTGGTTTTTTTCTGATTTGTGCTTTACGAACAAGCTACGCATCTTTTTTCATCTTTTATTTTGTTCATGGATAGTTTTTGATAGAAAATTTGTTGAACTTGTGAAAAAGATTAACGAGAACTTTCGGAAAAGGATTGGTGAAATCACTGCCAAACATTTTTGAACGAATCTTTTTGGTATCATTGGTTTTTGCATTAAAAGTTTAGTTAGAATCATATGCTCATGTGTTAAATATGAAGTTTAAATCCTATTAGTGTTTATTTTCAGAGTAGATATGCCAAATTTGTAGTTTTCTATCATAACTATCTTAAATATTGTAAATACAAGTTTAGTTTAAAGATAAATGCTAAGCTCACATATTCAAATGAGGATCTATATATGAAACATAGAGATTTAGTATAACTTTTACACAACAGTTACGGTCAGCTGATAGAGCATCCCAGTAACGCTGAAGAGCAGTGCTTTTGCACAACCAGTTCGGCTGGTGTTGTAGTCTGGTAGATTTCTTATTAAATTATAAATTGTATATGCATTTAGGTTAGGGGAGTGTTTTCAGTTTGTTTTTCAATATTCCAATTTAAAGGTTGGTTAAAAACCGTTACCTTTGTTATGGTTACCTGTAATAACATTCAAGTATTGGCCTACAGTGTTATTATTTTACTGGAATCGATTACTTTATATGTAGAACCTTTGAGATATTATCATCAGTAACATCTAGTGTTGAAAGATTCTCCTCTTGCTTAGTAATTCCATAATTTATTAACATTCCAGGGTCACTAGATAGATGAAAATTTCCATTTCCAAGTATGAGTATTTTTGTAAGGTAGTATTTTACATATCGTAAAAAGCACATCACATTATTTAGTACCTGTTGAGTTGAAGTGTCATTCCAGTTGAAAAGCGAACTCCATGTTGGGAAATTTTGTATTCCAGAAAACCTCCCCCTATTTTAAACACGGTCTGCTTGTTAATATATTTGTATGTAACGTTAAATTTTAATATTTAATATATTTATATGTTGAAATATTGTTTTGTAATTTACTTGCTTTTCATTTAGTCTTTCTATCTTACATTTCTTACATTCCAACCTACCGTTATTTACTGCAGGTATATTTATAGCTTTTTTACTGTGTTATTGTTTTATAGATTTTATTATAATATACACTTAAAAGTGAGTGTTCTCCCATCTATTTTTTGTAGTTGTTACTAGGTTTTTTGTATGTAATTTTTAAATCACAGAAATAAAGTGAATTTTAGATGTAACGTTTTAATTTTATCTTTCTTTTCTACACAGTTTACACTTTCCCTTCTACCACTCTTCGCGAGTATAATTTTGCAATGTAAAAACAAAATAAATGTTTGTTAGAATGATTCAGTGTTTCTTTTCTTTCTAGGTTAATACCTGATAACTACTTTGTTGGACAAAATTTACAAGTTTTTGTTTGTTTTAGTCATACTATAACAATAACATACAATCTAGCTGATTCTCTGTGATATGATACATATATGGCACGCCCTGTATGTTACCACAGACTGTAAATAGTAGTTTACGCAACGATTGCGTAAAGATAGTGTTAACGACAAGAGTAGAAAATTTAAGGTACAAGCCTTGGCGAGTGCCTTAAAAACTTCTACGAGTGCCGTTAACACTATTTACGCGAGTTGCGTACACTACTTTACCTACGACGGTGTTTTAATTACTAAAAATCACTACTCATAACTTCTAAGAGAGGTTATGTTTTTGTTTATAACCTCTAATTGCCACTGACATTGATCAAACGAAAAATTGTATCACATACTAATTGCACCAATCAACAATTAAATTGGCCTGAACAGCTGATTAGTTGAATTTCGAATCATTACAATTTTGCTTCTCCTCTCTCAATCCTTGAACCTCATTGGTCCGTTACCCGTGTTGTTTGAGTAAAACTATGCTGTTATGAATGTAAACAATGCTGTTATGAGATACTTTTCAATTCTAAGAACTGTACTGAAACGGCTACTTTAAAAAACAGTCGTAGGTAAAAGTGTTTACATCATACTACACAGAAACAGGTACTTTTCCATCTGTATTGATAGGCTGGAAAGTTTCCCTTTACCGTGCCTAAAAACGGAAAAGTAACGTTATGTACTTTAACTGTGCACTTAAAATAAACAGCTAACTGCAATGGCCTTTTTTATTTTCTGTAATATAAAAATATTATAATTTATGCTATGTATTAATAGTGTCTTTAATCAACACTGTACCGGTATATCAAGGGTTGAATCTACAAACAAAAGGTCATAAGAAAAAATTTATTAGGTTAAGCTTATAAACATCAAATAATAGGTTGAATCTTTTTGAGGACACTTATTTCTTGTCAGCATATGCGTAGTGGAGATCTTTACAATCTTCATCAGAAATGTGAACCCAGCCAGTAGCCTTCATGTGGTATACTGAAAAAAAAATTAAAGTTTATTTGTTGTTTCAAATTTGTATTAAATATTTTTTTGTAATAATAAAAATGTGACAAACAACAAATTTATTGCTAGTATGAAGAGACCTTTATTACTTTATTAAATACTAATAGCAAAACCCGGCTTAATGTAAGGGAATTGATACCTCACCTAAAAAACCATGTTGTTTAAACATAAAATTTGTCATTATACTTGGATAATGTAGAGGTTGAAATTGATCATACTCTAACTAATAAACTTATGAAATATCTCCACCCACCTCTGACGATGCCTCCACTGTAAGAGTCTCGGAAGGTAGCGTGGTAGATGGAGCGGCGGCCAAGCTCGTAAGCCTCGTCGTCACTCAGGTCCCAGCGGTAACCAGAGTCCAAAACTCCCAGAGCGTATGTGGACCCTGAGCCCGCTGAAAACACCTTGCCAGGCGTGCGGGTGCCTTCACTGTCCACGTAGTATAGTCCAGGGCCCTGCAATGTCACGTACATTAACATAGGCCTACTCTTCTTTACAATCACAAATAACAATAGCTATTTTAAAAAACTAGTTTGTTATTTAACTTATAGCTTGTAAAAATAATTAACGCTAAAAAAAGAACTTTCATTGAGAAGCATATTCCTCAATTTAAAGAACTGTAGTTGACTCTCTCAATGAGACTCCACCTCTCATTGACTCACCTCAATAAGAGGTAAGTGTTATTTTTACACAGTAGGATACTTGAAATGGCCGGCCACATTCAATGCAAAGATGAAAGAGAAATGGTAAAGCAGGTGCCAAGGGCAGGAGACCATTGGGAAGGATGCGATTGGCTGGTATATACTGGCCGATGAAGTATTAGTTAAAAAAGATAATGGTATTATTTCACCTTTTACCAAAAAGCTAAGGAAACAAAGCTTTTAAGTATATAAGGAACGTTCCTGACTATTACTGCAGAGTAACAGTATATCCCATCTCTACCCTCAATAATCCGAAATAGGCTAAAATAAATTAGTACAGTTTGGTCATTTGATTACAGTTTTGGCAAAAAACTAGTCCGATTCCACAGTCCTTTTACAGCGAATAGAAAAAAATATTCTTTGTACAATGCACTACTAAATTGACTAATTTTAACAATCAATAGCTGAGATTATACAATTATACTAGGATGCTGTTGTCCGAGATGCTAGCATCCCACTTCGAGCCGAATATGACGTGATTTGTGTTGGGCTAGCCAGCTAGCCTCTTGGACTGCTACATATTTTTCAATCCTACGTTTCATATATTTCTATAATAACCTTTTAACATAACTGTTTGACGTAGAAACACTCAGATTCTTTTAGAGAAATATAGACCTAATTATTGAATCCTTTCATGAAGTTATTTTTTAATTGCTATTATTTAAAATTGAGCTTTTGCTAAAAAAAATTTACAATTTTTTTTTTAGAATAGAATGTGATTATGAGGTAATTACAACCACTCACTTGTCACAACCCAACAACTCGTACTTTGACAATTCATAATTATATTGACTCACTCGCTTATCCCAGCCAGCAATCATCATGCCGATAGACAATCCCATGCCTTTGTAGTTGTAGATCATGTTGGTCATGAGTTTGGACGCAGCTGCCACTGAGATACGTTCTCTGTTGCGCAGCTCGTACATGCGACACTGCTTGGTCAACACTCGGTCCCAATACACACAGTCCGCGGCTCCTCCCGCTATGGTGCCCAGCAGGTAGTCGTTGATCTCTACCACTTTCTTCATCGATTGGGACGCTACAATCAGTTTGAGCATTTTTTATTGTTTGTCATATTCCTTGATGGAACAATTTATGGGTAAAAGTAGGTGGAAGCTAGAGGTTTTATCATTTACGTACTTAAGAACTTAACCAAATCACGCCAAAACCAAAACTTTGATAGTTTGACACTTTTTGGACTAAGGGGATGTTGAACTATTGAAATTTCAAACTATAAGGCTGAGTATATTGGACACTCACGGGGAGTAAAATTAAATCACAATATAAAGCAAACAAATTGACTGAATAGTATGTAAAACTTGACAAAAATAAACAAACTTATCAACTTACTCTCTACATACTGTACATTCTTTGACTTCTTACGGTAAAACATACTTTGTAAGATTAGCCTAGCCAAAACTGATTTTCACTGGGATGGTTAAAGTATTGGGGTTTTGCGTGCTCGAAAATAATAATAAGGCACAAGTTTATGATCTCAGCAAACCTGTCATTGGCTGCTGCCGACATGTAACGTCATCACTGCCCTTGTCGGATTACAGGGTGTCTAGTTTATTTCCATTATAAAATTCAAGACTAATTCCAGACTTTTCAAGACTAATTCCAAATTTTTTAAGACTAGTTTTTCCAACAATTAGTGCGTGTTGATACCAAAATGTATCGATTCTCGATTCTTGATACCGATACCAATTTGTATAGCTTAACCAAATTTTCTGAATAATACTACACCAACCCCTGTCTTTGTCATAAAGTAGTATTATGATAATGTAGTGTTTTCAAGTAAAGAAATAATGCAGCAATAAAAAATTCTAACTAGCAAATTTGTTTTTTTTTTATCATGAAATCTTCCCTGTACCGTACGTTTAGACATCATCATTGACTGCAGCGGTTACAGAAACGTGATCGTCGTCGTCCGCAATCACGGCAAAATCATGAACATTTCCCGCGGCCTTGTAGACATCAATGACATCATCGTCGTCTCCCGCTGTCTCAGAAACGTCATCGTGATCGTCTGCGATCGCGGCAAAATCATGAACATTTCCCGCGGCCGTGTAGACATCATCGTCGTCTCCCGCTGTCTCAGAAACGTCATCGTCATCGTCTGCGATCGCGGCAAAATCATGAACATTTCCCGCGGCCATGTAGACATCATCGTCGTCTCCCGCGGTCACGGAAACGTCATCGTCATCTCCCGCGGTCACGGAAACGTCATCGTCGTCGTCCGCGATCGCGGCAAAATCATGAACATTTCCCGCGGCTGTTTAGACATCACCGTCATCTCCCGCGGTCACGGAAATGTTATCGTCATCGTCCGCGATCACGGCAAAATCATGAACATTTCCCGCGGCCGTGTAGACATCATCGTCGTCTCCCGCGGTCACGGAAACGTCATCGTCGTCTCCCGCGGTCACGGAAACGTCATCGTCGTCTCCCGCGGTCACGGAAACGCCATCGTCGTCTCCCGCGCTCACGGAAACGTCATCGTCGTCGTCCGCGATCGTGACAAAATCATGAACATTTCCCGCGGCCGAGCAGATATCATCGTCGTCTCCCGCGGTCACGGAAACGTCATCGTTGCCGTCCGCGATCGCGGCAAAATCATGAACATTTCCCGCGGCTGTTTAGACATCACCGTCATCTCCCGCGGTCACGGAAATGTTATCGTCATCGTCCGCGATCACGGCAAAATCATGAACATTTCCCGCGGCCGTGTAGACATCATCATCGTCTCCCGCGGTCACGGAAACGTCATCGTCGTCTCCCGCGGTCACGGAAACGCCATCGTCGTCTCCCGCGCTCACGGAAACGTCATCGTCGTCGTCCGCGATCGTGACAAAATCATGAACATTTCCCGCGGCCGAGCAGATATCATCGTCGTCTCCCGCGGTCACGGAAACGTCATCGTCTTCTCCCGCTGTCACGGAAACGTCATCGTCGTCTCCCCCTGTCACGGAAACGTCATCGTCGTCTCCCGCTGTCACGGAAACGTCATCGTCGTCTCCCGCTGTCACGGAAACGTCATCGTCGTCTCCCGCTGTCACGGAAACGTCAACGTCGTCTCCCGCTGTCACGGAAACGTCATCGTCGTCTCCCGCGGTCACGGAAACGTCATCGTAGTCTCCCGCTGTCACAGAAACGTCATCATCGTCTCTCGTGGTTTCGGAAACGTCATCGTCGTCGTCCACTATCGCGGCAAAATCGTGAACATTTTCCGAGGCCGTGTAGACATCATCATTGGCTTTTGCGGTTACGTAAACGCGGTAAATTGAGGGTGTTACATAACTTCAACTGAAAAATCAGTAGTCCTAACGAAGTATCTAGCCTATAAGTATAAAAAGTGGATGTTTGTATATATATATTTGGCAGTGATAAACTCAGACACCGCTGGACGATGGCCACAAAACTTGGTACATACATGTAGAATTTCATGGAATAGGTTTATACATCATTAATTTTGTGATAACTTTCAGGGCATACCCCCTGGGACCATCTTAAAGGTAACCATGTCAGGGTTTTGTAAGACTATTTAAAAAGAATAAAGGAATATTATTAACAGCTGTTTAAAATAAACCAACGAGTTAAGTTGGTCAACAGCTGTTGTTAATGTTAAGTTGACCCCCCTCTTACCATCTTAACCCATTGAGGTAGTAGTTATTTTAGCATGCGCAGGACCCTTGGCAGCAATTAATTTCCAGTTTTTTGCAGGCTTTTGGTAAAAAATGTGTAAAATAATTATTTTAAGAGATAAATCAATAGTTTTTTTTTTTAAATTGTAGGTTATAGTATTATCTATCATAAAATATAAAATTATTAAGGTTTTTTTATTAATAAATATTTTTTACAAGTATATATAAAAAAAAAATTTATATTTTTTTGTTTTTTGAAAGCAAAGGTATTTTTTTCAAATTTTTCATTGGATGAAAACACAAATCAATATATTTTATGAAAGTATACATGAAACTCTACATAAAAATGAAATTTTATTTGCCTGGGTACATAAATAAACAAAATATGCAACATCAAAAGAAAACATACCTTTCTCAATTTTGGTTCCATTTTGGTTTCCACGGTGATCTCCACATATTGCAATCTCCATACAGTATCTTGAAAGTTTTTTGCACTCAAATTAGTTTAATTAGCACTAAAAATGTTATTTACACTATATACATGTTGAACTGGGGCTTAAAAGTTAACTTTTGTGTGAAAGTCCTTGAAGCACTTTTCGAGGTGCAACGGAACTTGGCACTTCTCACACATCCATGGTGTTTCTGATCTCTTTTTGTGGGATGTGCACACTTTGCATGCTCTTGTTGGGTGACTTTTATTTGCTGTAGGGGGTACCTTCACAGGGAAATGGGCCCACTGTTTGGATTGTAGTCTCAACGGCGATGCGGCGATAGGAGCGCGCCCTGGTGATGTTCGAGCTGGAATTGGCACGGTTGTCAATATCTGTTCCACAAAATTCAAACGAAAATCTGTGTAATGCATGTTTTTGATTTTGTTGATTTTCTTGTAGACGCAGAATGCATTAAATAGGGTCATATCCATCAAATAAAAAAAAATCTTCTTATATGCTTTGACGGCACGCCGCATTATGGGAAAACTAGACAGGACTTGGTCTTGCCGGTCAACCCCCAACATACCTCGATTATATTCAATGACACATTTTGGTTTTACAATGTCAACTTCCACATTTCCTTGTTTCACTTTCTTCGAAACTGTCATTTCAATGTCCTCGTGCTTAGTTGACAACATATAGACATCCTTCCTATCACTCCATTTGACAGCTAAAACCCCTCTACCAGACCGTTTGATTGCTTCTCCTTTCTCCAGTTTAGCCTCCTTGAGTGCCTGAGGCATACACCTCCTGTTATTCAATACTGTTCCTACAGCATGTGTGTCTTTTTGGGCTAATTTGGTGTATAAGAGAGGGGAAGAATACCAGTTGTCAAGATATACAGTGTAACCCGTATGCATAAAAGGTTGCATCAAATCAAGAACAACAGCCTCGCTTGCCAAAACATCCTTTTCTTTATCTTCGCCAACATAAATTTTAAAACAGCAACAATACCCCGAAGAAGATTCACACACCTTGTAAATTTTCACACCAAATCTAGCCCTTTTTTTGGGGTTGTACTGAATTATGCCGATTCTTGCCCTCATTTTCAAAAGGGTCTCGTCGAGAGCAATATCTCTTTCCGGCTCAACCATATGTAAAAATTTGGTTTCTAAGTAATTTATTACAGGCCTGATTTTTTTCAGCTTGTCTCGATTGACTTCGGTCTCATCTGAATCGTCGTAAAAATGTAAGAACCTCGATATACTTGAAAATCTCTCATATGACATAGTGTTTGAAAAGATAGGGGTTTCAATGATTTTCCTATGCGACCAATACTGTTTTATATCAGGTTTTCTGACTTGCCCCATATTCACATATAATGCAAAATAAACCTTCAATTCATCCACAGTTACATTGTACCATTTGTCATCAGACTTGAATTTTTTCCTGTCTGGGGTTGCTAAAAGCTTACGCGCATAATCATTAGTTTCAACACATATCATGTTCCAAAACTCATCCCCCGCAAACTGCATAAAGGTTTGCAGTTCTGTTGGATTTTCCCCCAGGGCCCGCAAAGAATGCACATTTATACCGGGTACCCCACGGAAATCAATCTTTTTGGGTATGTTTATTTCATCAACCCAAGGCCAGTCGCTATCTTCAAACTTCCGTTTCTTAGCCTTTGGTGGTTTAGTTACTGTACCGGTAATAGATTTGTTAGGCCTAGGTCTACCTACTTTACAAACCTTAGACATAGGCCTAGTTAGAGGCTTAGTTTTTTGGGCTGGATTAGATTTTTTAGTAACCTTGGGCTTAGGCCTAGTTGGTTTGGATTTGCAAACTTTACTTGTAAGAGTTTGACTACATTCCTTAGGCTTAGAACTTGAAATTTCAGAAAACTTTCTCTTTCCTAGGGTTGATTTGGGTTGTTGTGCATAAAAACTAGTACTCGGGACAGGATCAATGGATTGGTCATAAAAACTAGTATTAGGGACAGGTTCAATAGATTGGCCTTCATCAAAAACATTTTGGGAGGCAGAGTCATCTGCTTTGTTTTCATTGTCAGTCTCTAGGTTTAGGCCTAGCTCTAGCTCATTTTCATTCTCGGGCCTGTTGCATTCTATACCTTGTTCATTATGAAGATTACCTAATTCTAATTCATTACCTGAATTAGGAAAATTATCGTCGTCAAAGTCGTAAAATAACATGGGAGATTTCCTTCCGTGAGATGTATCCACAAGATAATCCACTGGTGTTTCATAATTATGTCCGTGCTGGATTATTTCATCATCGAATCCATCATCACTAACATTATCTGAACTTAGATCATTGTCACTGTCTAATAACCTATCTAATTCAGAAGTACGTAAACTTTTATGATCCATTTTACACAATAAACATAAACATAACCATAAACACAAACAAAACACTCGAAACCGGCGCAACAGATTACTCGTCGATTACAGTCAGCTGACGCGGTGATGGGTCACTAAAAATAAATATTTTCCAAGACACAGAATTACCAACCGGGCAAAACTAAATATCCTAATACAGCTAAAAGACAGTCAAAGAACATGCCAGAGCGATCTATCGGAAAAATAACGAACTACGTCGTCAAACTATTGTGCAATCTGCACATCGAGTCAGACTCGTGTGTCGGCATTCAGTCCCGATCGGCCGCATCGAGTCAGACTCGTGTGTCTACCCCAATGGGTTAAAGGTACCCTAACCATGTCAGGGATTTTGTTAGACTATTTAAAAAGAATTAAAGAATATTATTAACAGCTGTTTAAAATAAACCAATGAGTAAAGTTCTATGATGTTCAACAGCATTAACAAGTTACAAAGTTTACCAACAGATTGCAGCACTATTATTTTTCCCCTGTTGCAAAGTGAAAGCATGCGGTACAGCAACTAGACCGAATCAAATCAAATCAAATAAAATCAAATCGTTTATTTGCACATTAACAGAATAACACCCTTAGTTTGACTTCAGTAGTCCCATTGTATGATTAGCTTCCATGATGAGGCTATATAAAAATGCATTTAATCCTTGATAACTAACAATACGGAATAATAATGTAAAAGGTCATGTTAGTGAAGTCACAACTTCAGCCGGTTCATAACAAAACTCAAAAGTATGTCGGGCAAAGCAGATGGGCAACAGCTAGTTATTTCTAAACAAGTTAGATTGAGTACCTAACTTAGGTTAACTTACAGTTTTGTTTACAATTAAATGTAACACACTTTAAACAAATTTTGTTTGTAAAACTTTACTTAGGCTATTTACCATCTACCGTAATAAGAAAATTTTTTTATTATTAGATTACCAATGTAACTTCCTCCGGTAGCTCGGGAGTCAACGGCAAGTACGATGCCGCCTTGGTACATGAATCCCAGAGTGGTGGTTCCATGTTCAAAATCAATTCTAAGCTTCTTTCCATCTGGCCCAACAATAAAATCTGATAGTTTTTCAGGCTGAAAAATGAGAAGTAGCATCAAAACATATTTTTACTTTTTGACATTCATTTAAGTTTTGTGTTCGGGAAAGAGTTTAAAAATCATAAATATACATTTCTCAGGTCACAACCTTTGGTGGATGTTGTTCAAAGGTTTATTAAGGACATTTTCCATCACGATGGTAAAAAACAATACACAACGTTTCGGCAGCACAACTTTTCTTTGGTGAATTTTGCTTAACTTAAGCTTGACGATAAATTAATTAGGATCTGAGAAAAACACCTACAAAAGACCAGAATAGTTGTTTCAAATGTAGGTTTAATTATAATTACCGTACTATCTTCAACACAAACCTTAACTTAAATACACTGGTCTGTATCTTAAATGTTACCTATTAATTATTATCCTATGCATTAAAGTGTCAAATTATTTAACCCTAGGAGAGGCAAGACCAATTTTCAGTATGTGCTTTGTGGAGTGGCACGCTTATTTTGGTGAATTTGTAAGGGTTTTTTTCAAAAATCTGTAAAAAATTAGTAAGTAGAGAGAGATAAACTAGGCCTATTGAACCGTGTCCGTATATTAATTTTGTTCGTAATAGTCAGTAGAATTCAAAAATAAGAAAAACTGGTAGGCCTAATAAGAACCAATTTTTTTTAGATTTACTAGCAATAATACAGAAAAATTGGAAAACGTCAATTTCTTTGATGGATCCAAAAATGTCCTAAACTAATAATAGGCCTAAATCAATATTATAATACCCCCGCTGCAGCAAACCTGCAGACTTAACGAATTTCCATTTGCCTGGATCGATTTTCAATTAATCTATTAAATTAACATTTATGTTTAACGAGTACCTAGGTTAGCTGCTACAGGGAAACTAATAAAGTGTGTTTTTTATTAAAATATCAATAGCTTAGGATGAAATAAATAAATCTGCTAAGTTTGATCAAAATATATCCATAAACAAGCCAACTACAACATATTATAATATTCTCCATAAGAGTAACATGGGAATTTTAAATTAAACATTTTTTGAATTTTCACCGTAACCAATCACTGTACTAAAACACTATGATATACTAAATTATTTGTTTTTGTAAGCTCTTTAAAAAGTTTGTTTTTTAAGGGTAAAAAATGAGAAAAACCCATTTTTACCCCATAAAACCCCCCGTAAAACCCCGTTCCCATGGTCCCATCATGCTGGTTCGCGAACTCATTCAAGTTTATCCCGCCTTACACCTTCAAACCTAATTTTATCAAAATTGGACAAAAATTACTCAAGTTATTGTGCGGATGGACACACACACACACACACACATATATATATATATAGGTCTATATAATATAGACCTATATATATAGATATATATATATAGGTAGGCCTATACTTATATAAAAATTTGAACGAATGGTGTTTTTGCCCTCTGGGGACATCAAAATGAAAAAGTAAATCGGTCCCGGGCCTAGGTCTTACCATGAGACCTATGGTAATAGCTACTTCCCTATAGGGAAATTCGCTAAAACCTTACATTTTAGAAGCCAATAACATCATTCTAAATAAGAATAAAAAAGATCAAGTTTTAACCCTTTGAGTGCCAACGTCCAGGGAACCGGACGTTTTTAAAACGAGCCAAAAGTGCCGACGTCCGGCCGACCGGACGTTTTTAGAACGAGCCAAAAGTGCCAACGTCCGGCTGACCGGACGTTTCGTAATGATCGAACAGTTGTCATAACAACCGAATGGATACTCGGATTCTTTTAACCCATATATTAACATTGAGTCGAAAGTTACTAGATGCGATACATCGATTTTCGTTGGTCGAAATATCGAAAATTCGATTTTTACGAAATTTTAACCTAAAAATCGCTAGATCGCGCTCGGCATTTTAAGCGCGACCTTCGAGAATAATCATCGGCATTTTTTGAGCGTTACTTTTATTTCTCGCCTGGCACTCTAAGGGTTAAGTAATAGAATAGTTTGTTTTCACATGAGAAGAAATGTAAACAAAAACAACTGATCAGCTGTTATAGGATACACAAATTCACTGACTTTTTATCATATTTTGGATTACACATGTGTAAATATTTATGCGAAATAATGCATAAATATTAGGCCTACACTGTAAAATTACGGATAAAACTCACACTTTGTCTTGTTATTGTACAAAAACTCACGACGACACCACCATTTTAGGTTAGTTGATGACAAGTGTTACTGTTCTTTCAGCTTTGAAAAATCCAACACTTCTATTTGTGTGACCAGACTGATAACATTGAATTATACTTTTCTTAGTTTATAAGAGCTTAATCTTGTACTTTTCAAATTACTTACATGCGTTTCAGAGATCGACAATTTTTGTCAATTAGCCACACTAGCATCACGTAAAAATTGGCTAATTACAAAAATTTGTCATCAGCTGTTGGAATGTAAGCTTAGGACATCATACTGTATACAAAATGAAAGTTTACTTCCTCCTCGTTGCAGTGGTATCACTTGTTTTGTTAGAAACAAAAATTACGTCTGCTAGGCCTATGATTTTTTTTTAATTACTCATCTTTCACTATTTCACAACAAAACATGGCGGTTAGATCGATTATTAGGCTAGATTGATAAGGGTTTTTATTAAGGGTTATTCTTATAATAAAATAAAACTTCAGAATCTCATCTTTCCATTGGTAGGCCTACCCTATAAGAGTTTATGTCATTTCACTTACAATAACTAAGTTATATGCCCCCTACGTAAAACGCAACAGGAAAAATGTTACGGTAATTGACAAATTTTGTCGGCTGCCACTCGTAGGGTTAATGTGATTAGGGAGTACCTAGTTTTTTTACCCCCCCCCCCCCCCCCCTAGGACGCTAGGCATGAGCCCGGAATGGTTTTTAAAATTGCTCCAGGCTATACCTAGGGGTTGCAGCACCGTATCACTTAGATAAAATCCATTGGTGACTTGGTGGGATTTGAACCCGGGACCTCAGGGACCGAAGACCCACGTTCTAACCACTAGACCAGCTCGCTCCCCATAGGGAGTAGGTAGAGTGTAGGTCAGGTGGCGACTGAAACTTAGAAGGTTTTGATTAGCGTTATCTTAGGAGCCTACTGGAAAGACCTAAGTTAAAGCTAAGCCTACTTACGAAGCCTAGGCCTAGCCTACAATAACTTAAAACAAGATTGATCTCAATTACAACGCAAACCAGTACCTAACTTAGCAGTCTAATCCTATATACGTAAGATGGGATTCACAGTCAAATAACTGGCCTATAGCCATGCAAAGATAATTAGGCCTAGCCTAGAAATTCCTTTGGGTAGACTTCTGTAGGTATCTGTTGGCACAAACAAAAGAATGAAAATATCGATCGATATATCGAATGAAACAATCGAATAATCAATATTTTCATTCGGTTGTTTGTGCCAACAGATACGGAAGTCTACCCATTCCTTCTAAACAAGGGAAACAAAACCGGATTTTAGGCTTAAAGCTATGTACTTACTTCACCGAATGGTGGCAAAGCCAGCACAGTGTGATTTATGAAATTAGCACCTCCACTGATGTCAAAATGTATATCATCCTTTGTTCCCCTTCCTTGTTTCTCAGGGAAAAACCTGTCCATCCCACAAATAAGATCCAGAGCCATTTTACCTAAAAATCAAGTAAACACCAATAAAACTTTACTTCGTAATCGTTGACTGTTAAATTTGTGTTCACACAAAATTTACCTTAGGTTACAGTCTTAAATCAGTATTTTAAGTATTTTAAGGGCAAATTTGTGTAAAATTCGAGTTATAACAAAAAAGTTCATCAAACTAACCTCAGATTTTCGAACTAAACCAGCGGAATGGAGTGACAAACAAATTTAGACTAAGAAGAAGAACAAAAACACTAATTTTTTTATACATCATGCATTCAAAACTGGTCATGGTTTGTTTCCAGAATTCCAGGAGCTATTAAGAACACTGTCTCAAAATATGATCATTGATATAGAATGTGAAATATTATTTTCCTCAATGATCAGTAGTTGTTCATGGATTATTGAATTACTGTTATATATCATTAATTGTAACATTACCAAGGGTTAAACCTTTACTAAAAACACAAGAAATACTAGTAAGCCGGCTTTACACTATGTAGCAAAACAAACGTGCATGAAGCAAAATGCTGTACAACCCACGATTACTAGAAATAGTTATTTGTGCAACTAGTGAGCAAAGGGAGCAATTGACTCACTCGAGAGAAATACTTACTCACGAGCCGTGGTTTCTCGAGTTAGGCAATTGCACTTTGCACTCGAGTTGCACATAATATTTTTCCTACAGTTACCATAAAACAAATAAATTGGTAAAGAAACGTGACATATTTTTACACAGAAGTGAACTTTTAATATGGCATTTAATGATACAACAATACAACAGCTGACCAGCTGATTTACAGCCAGTGCTGCCAACGTATTTCGCGCGCATACCACCTTGTCTGCATGAGCGAATTGGCCACTTTTGCTTTCTCAAATCATTAAGAGAACATGTACATTGTAAGGTAACTGTAGGAAAAAAGGTTTTTTCTAGTAATCGTGGTACAACCATAGACTAACCAACACAAGGGTTGGTACTTGGGGGAGTATGTTTTATCTATGGTACAACATTCCAATTCGGAATGTTTTACTCCTGTTAGATGTTACATGTAGCAAATGTTATATGTTACATTTAGCAAAATAGTTTACATATAGCAATTGTTATATGACATTTAGATTTCTTGAGTGCTGCATACTATATATGTAGCAAGAACCAAGAACTTTGTCCATTGGCGAAAATGTGCGGAGACTGTGATATTGGCCTGTCAAAGGCAAAGGAGGCCGGAGGGAATACTCCTTTTATCTATGATAAAACCATAAAGTGGAACCATACTCCTCGTGGAACTGACCTGTTGAAAGATCTTGATGCAGATGATGTAACGAATGTCCTTCATTGAGGCGTGAGATAAGATGATAAGTTGTGACGGTAGTTTTAAAAACTTCTTAGGAATGACTAGTGAAAATTTTGAGTACAATGCCGGCTGTTCGTGAAAAAAATAATTCTGTCCCTGTCCCACACACTATCACAACCTTCCATTGCAAACAACAATAATTACAAACAAAAATAACAAACTTTTCACAAATTCACAAAATTTTCTCAAATCTAAGAAAAAAAAAAAAAAAAAAAAAAAAACTTAAGTCCTTAGCACACGACTACCGGTACCACACCAAAACCCTCAAATTATCCCGTTTTTAAACGCTCACTCTCCCTTTAATTTTTGGCAAAATTGTATGATTAAAGTGTCAAATTACTGTAAATTTTGTAAAGATTTCCAGAATAATTTCCTTTGTTCAATGGGCGGATAGGATTCGCCCCATTTCGCATACTAATTTACATGTATTTCTTATGGAAGGAGTATTTTAAAAAGATATTAAGTAAGTAATAACTCATAATCTGTGTAACCAAAATAAACACATTATATACTTTTCTTGTAGAAAATTTAATCTTCTTCAATTTGATAATTTAGTATAATATACAAAAAAAGTTGATAGTTTTCAAGATATAATAAAAAAAACCAAAATGCGTACCTTTACCCCCTCCACCCCCCTGACTCAACACCTAAGAGTCAGGACTTTTGGTATGCTAACACCCTAAGCCCCCTGAACAAGTCTCCGAAGGAATCGTTTAGTTACCTGCTCACAGACTCTATAACCACTTTTGGATCATTCATTGACTGGACTACTTTTGCTATGTAACATATAGCACGTTTTGCTACGTGTAGTGTAAACCCGGCTTTGCCATGCACTATTTAGCATTTAGCTGGTGATGGACACCAGATTATAAATAGAAAATTACGGTTATTGCATCTTCAGAATTGATTTGATTTAGTGTGTGTGTATCTACGCCAGTTTTTTTTTACGTTTTGAAAGGGACCGGTCCAAAAAACCCTGGTCTTGTTACTATCTAATATTCTAACGTCGACCTTTTTGTTGGATAGCATAAATTTTTTCATATCCTAATGACAAAAATGGCATCTGGGTCTGAAAACAATCTCGTTTGGAATGAAACCAGCAACCTTCAGAAGAAATGCGAGCACTATAACCACTCGGTTACCCAGACAATAAATTTACTTTATTTTTGGTTTCGTGAAACCAAAATATTTTCTAGTTTAACCTTTCTTCAATTGAGTCCAAATCAACGTTTCTTCGACTTGACTTTAACATGTATTAAATTCATATAAAGTTATGTCTTTGCTGGGTGGTGCACTGGGCATAAAATTCAATCCAAGAGGGTTAGCTCCATTTGGTTGACCCTATGTTCACCCTATGTTCAGTAATCATTAGTGATGACATACTACAGTAGTTAGAATGTTATTTTGTGCAGTTGAACTATTTTTTGTGTTGTTTTTCTGTTGCTTTTTAAGTTATTAAGTTCTGACACCACTTACTTCTAGGGTTTCTTTACCTTTTCACACTTTTTGAAAGACAAATAACGTACATAGACCACAACAGTAACTCCTCCATTGCGAGGCATTAACACACCTATAAAAACCTCAGATGTGGAAACTGAGTTGTAAAGAACTGAACATCTAAACAGCACAGCCAAATGCCTGGCAAAACGTAGCGATTTGTTTGCATACATGTTGTAGGTTTTATCCTAGTATGTAAACCTGCTCTTAAGTAACTTAAAACTGTCTTCAGCTGATTCTAAATGACGATAAATTTACTGTTTAAAGGAAAATAATTACGCTAATTAACTATTGTTGGGGACAAACGAGACATAGGTACAGCACAGGTATTTTTAAATACACCAATACATTTTAAAAGGATTTATTATTAAACATTTGAAAAAAACTGTAGTAGCGGTAACTGTGGGATAATCTGGTACAACTTATAGGAGTATAATTGGTGCAGTTTTAACAATGACATATTGCATTCAAATCAGGTTGAAATCACTTCAACACACAATGGTGAAAATCCTTACATTTTTTGTGAACAAATTATAATAATCTAAAAACTACCGTAAGTATCTACTTAACATCACCTTTCTGATCATAACATCATAATTTAAAAAATGGCAACTAAACTATGACATTAATTATTCAATGTTACAAAAGAATGTTTTACTAAATTTTAGTGCATTCAATTCTAGGATCTTTGCTAATACCATTTTGAAGAATGTTAAGTAAAATAGAATAATTTTACATCAATGTTAATAAAAGGCGGTTGGCTCTGTTTAAAATGTTTATCATATCATCATCATATCTTTAGTTTTAATAAGTCAAAACAAATCAATATGATGAGCATTTAGATACAATTGAAAAATTATTTAAATGCTACAGACACCAACCAGTAAAAAAAACATAATTATTAATTTATTCATCTCAGAACAGTAGAAAAAATTAGGTTTTAAAACGGACAACTTGAATAATATTTTAGCCCGGAATTGAATTATGTTTATATATTTTCTGTTAAAAAATTGTTTTAAAACAAACAATATCAATAATATTTTAGTCCATCACTGGATTAAGTTTATGTTTTCTGTCATTGAGCATAACAATCTTAAATTAAATCAAATTAAGTAGATTGTGTTCACCAACGGCATAGAAACACCATAATTACTGGTATATCGAAGAAAACACTATGAATAATGAAGTGAAACTATAATTAATTATACAAACCAAAAATATGCCATATATATATATAGATTGATATTTTGCCAGGTAACAATATTGTAAACTAACTACTCCTATATACACTTTTTATTTATATAATACAATTAATTGTAACAATACTGAAGGAAATGAATCTAACAGAATGGCAAAAATAAAAATAAATAACACAGATTAAATCTCTAAATTATACTATACGAAAGTAACAGCCATTGTAAGTTATCATTATGCTAGGAAAATACTTTAAAAATATATTTGTCTAAAGGAATATTAAAAGCCTAAAAAAGAAATGTAAATATATATGACTATATGACTGTATGAATGATGTATGATGTATGGTAGGCTGTGTGACTGGAAAAACAGTAATGTACAAACATTATCTTTCATTAAATCAATTAAATGTAATTGTCTCAGCTAAACAATTCAATTGTCTGAAAAAGAGTTTGCTTATCTATAGTAAAACTGGTAAAACTAACAACAAATATATTTTTTAAATTTTTTTATAAGTTTTCCTTTTGAAATGTTGAGGAAACAACAATTTAGGCTACATAGAAATCAAACACTTTCCACTACAGTTTAGACGCTTATTTGCACAAATAATTTTTTAACCAATGAATTAAAACATCACGTTTTTGTCTGAGAGTTATAACAATTTAAGACCGGGCATGAACACCTCTCGAACAACACTGGGATAGTTAATAGGAAACAAGAAGGAACATAACATATTCCATACAACCCATTTATAACACACAAGCACGGGCAATACAAATTAATCCTAGACCTAACACAAAAGGCATAATATCATGAGAACTGGTAGGGCAATTTACAATGGCCATCGTAACCAAACAATACTAAGTTTAACATTTGATCACTGTAACAGATAACAAGCACTCCATAGACTACCTAAGTAACACATAAGATGTGTATATTAAAGTACTAATCTTAGTATCTTTTTTTATCTTGTGTGAGAAACAAAAGGTTATTAGGTGGACGTAGCAGACTTACACGAGAGTAAGTTTTGTGAGATCATAACCAACTTTTAGAAAGACTGTCACGAGCTTGTCTCGACGGTTTCCACGAGTTCCTCAGTTCCGTTGGTGAAGATGCCAGATTCTCGCAACGAAGACAGTTTGTCCCTCGCTTTGAAGTGTCTTGGCTGGAATAAAAAAATTGTCGTTAGATTTGGATCTCATTGAGTTTTCCAAGGTAATCCACCTTGGAGCTTATCTTAACTTGTTTCATGGTATATCTGGGTGACAGGGCTAAACCAAATTTAGGCATACCAGAGGCAAAATAATTGCATGACTGCAGCAATGCAACTTTCACCAATACATTTTACCAATCATAAACAGTAAATTTCATCAATACTTTTGTAAATTGGTAGGCCTTATGTGTAGTACAAATTTAAGACCAAACGATATACTTATTGTTTGTTTGAAAACAATGTACAGAGTAGAAAATGCAGACGTAATCGTAATATACAGAGTAGAAATTAAATGTTTGATTATATTTTGTTACGACTGCAGTAAGATTGTTTAGTTGTAGCATAATAACAAGTATAGACAATAATTGTTCCAAATTGTGACCAGTGTATGTTTGACTCCATAAAATTGACAATATTGTTATATTTTTATTTTGAATTTTATTCAATCCAGTATTATCAGTTCTTCTTGAAGACATTTTCTCTTGTTAAAAAAGTTACACTTTTTCCATGAATAACTATTTAATTCTAATGAAGTTCTTGGAAACCCCCTTTACTTTATCCATCTTAGTAAACCTTGTCACCAAAATCTATTGTAAATAGTGCAATTAATATGAATTAACTAATAATTTAAATTTTAAACTATGTTTTTAAAGTTTTGTAAGAGAAAATGATAACCAATGTCCAATATAGTTACTATCAATGTAGCACATAGAGAAATTAGACACTTGTAAGACAAAGGGGCGTAAATACATATGATAAGCCTATGTACATAAACCCCTTCGTCTAGCAAGCCACGAATTAGTCTAACAAATTAGTCTAGGACAAAGGTAAATCGAGAACATGAAAAGGGATGTCCAGTGAATAATATACTGATGTACTAACCTTATAGTTTGTATTTCTCCCCTCCATGCAGCATCTGGGACATTCCCAACTGTTAGGTAGATCTTCGTCTACAATTCCAGACACATCAGGGTACTGTAAAGGTGAAAGATTATTGAAACAGCATTATTGATTGATAGTTATATATTTTAAAATAATGAATGAAGGATATTTATTGGCACAAAACATAAAGAGTAAATTACGAGACTTCGGCCCACTTACCGATGCGGCTATGCACGTTGGATGCACCAGGTCGTAGCAGATGGCACACTCCATGATGGAGCTTGGTATCAACTCCCGAGTCTCAGCTTCTATCCTAGAATGGTCGTTCTCCCACCCGTCTTTACCACAGATCAAACACGTTGTGTTGTTCGGCAACATTGGCTGTTATGACAGACAGAATTTAAACATTGACATAATCAAAGGATAAAATTTTACTTTGACACATTTTACTTTATAGTTAATACAACTTACATTATGAAAATCTTGTTTTAATTACTTTTACATGAATTTTATGACCCTACATAAATAATAATATTAATTACACAAAATATAAAATCTCAAAACTATTATGATGTTTGAAACTTATTTTTAAATGTGATTCAGCTCTTTTCAGTTATAATCCGGCTAAATTTAAGTTCTAAACTAACCTCCAACTAATCCAAATGAAATTTATTTCAAACAAAACAAATGTCTAGATAAAATTGAATTTTTTTTCTTGGACAAGTAACATTGTGATATTTCAGTTATTTAAGTTTCCTGTCGATTATTTGACGATTGTAGGTTGGTTAGATTGAATAACTTACAATGGCTACAAAAAGGTCTAAAAGTTAATGACCATTGACTTTTTAGTTAACAACTGACCTGAAGGCATTGGCGTTGGGTGCAACTTTGCTTGGACTTGCCCGTTCCACCAAACTTGATCATGTCCTTGCAGAAGTTACATTGGCCACAATCATTGTTATTGCAAGCCACGCACTTCTTGCAGCGCGTCCGTCGTCGTTTGGGTGCGGCTATCTTGGGGCTCTTCACAGCCAACTTGCCTTCCTTGTCTTTCTTCGGCTTTGGGCCTCTCTTTAACTTGACTATCTTGCGTTTCGTCTACAAGAGTTACAGTTATTAAAGGTAAGCAAGTAAAAAAGAGTCATTACAGCTGCTGAAATAAAGCGGTTTTAACACCTGTATTACCCTTGACTATTGTTGTTGGTTGTTGGTTCACAATCATGAAAAATCGCTTTAATCGGTTCCATGACTGTGAACCGAAACATGTTGCCACTGCAACCATATTGGATAAATAATAACACAGGTTTTAAAACTACTTTACAGCAAATATTGGTGACCCGGAGGCCAGCTTTCTTAAAAGTGATATTAAATTAATCTTAACATGAACTAAAATGTCAGACAAATAACAAATAATAAAAGGAATAATAATGTCAGATAATCTTTTCCCAATATAAAAGGAATGCCATTTAGTTATCTTTGCTGTAGAGGCAATAAGTGGGCCCATGTTGATATTAATTTGTTAAACTGTCTTACTATCACGTCATTATACATCACTTATTCCCAAAAAAACCCCATTAAAAATTTGAGATTAAGGGTGTAACATAGAGCACAACCGCCTATGTTTTCACTAATTTGTGGAATACAGCAAGCCACCCTGTTAAAAGAAACAAACAACTTTACATAATACACAAAAATTAGAATATTTTTACTATCTCTTAACAGAATTTTCAACCAAGCTTAATCAAACCTTCCTAATATTGACCATATATGTTCAAATTACTAATTAGCAAAATTATTACCATGACAGCCTGTGTTGCCTTGAAGATGGCACATCCAGTGACAGCAGACGCGGGACTGTCGTTGCGATGTCGCTCCACCAAGATGCGAACGTCCTTGATCAGCGACACCGGGTCCTCTATCAACGCGGGCACATTCTTCTTGGTTGTGGGCAGGAAATGCAGATACGACAAGATAGCCTTGATTCCTCTCAGTTCCTGAAGAAATATTGTAGTGTAAAAGAAAAGTTTCCACACAAGCAATATTTTTTTGCAGGAAAGCGATCCAAACCCTTAAATGTTTTTGGCTATGCCGGGATCAAACCCGTCCCTAATGCACCAATAATAGAAATGACAACCACTACACTAGCTCCCAACACCCAAATTTGACTGCTTATATCATATTCAATAGAAAAATATGGGAGGAACAAAAGTCTGAATGATATCTAAACATGTCTATTATAGTGATTTATGATATCTTTTGATGGGTACAATTATTTATATATTCACTTTCAAAATCAAGAATGGTACAAAGAAGTTACAAAATAATCTTATTGTACTAAATCTGATAATATTCTAGTAGACTGTATTCTGATTGGCTCAAGGAAATATAAAGTTAGGTAAAAAAATGTATTTATTTTTACCAATAAGCTAGTTTATTTTAGTATAGTTTGACAATGTCGCCCGTTTTGTCTGGCTGTGCCAGAGCATTAAAAAAAATGTTATGTGACAATAAAAATGACTTTGATATTGAAATAGCGGTGTAAATAGCCTATTATAGTATAGGTAGCATCAGCTCAACTGTATGAACTAAAAACAAAAGTACAGTGGAACCTTGATAAGAAGACCCTCGATAACGAGCCACCCTTGATAACAAGTACAATTTTCAAATCCCCTTGAAATTATTTTACCGCTAATCACATGCTAGTTAATGCAAACCTCAATAAGAAGTCAACCTTGATAACAAGTCTTATATAATAATACCCATGAGAGTCTTCTTATCGAGGTTCTACTGTATAATTAAAAATTTCTGGATTTTACCATCACTAAGTACCACAGTAATAAATATATAGACGGGAATCTCTCACACTGAATCACACATAACTACAACATTCTCACAAACTGCTAACCTGTATAGTGAGGTGAACATGTTCCTTGGCAGGATTGGACGGCGTGTCCTTGATATGGGAAACTCCCAGTAGACAGTGAACATACCTCTCTAGCACATACCACAGCATCTCTGTGAAGAATGGGTAACGGAACTTCTGAGGTACCTGAAACAATAAATGCCATGTTGTCAGACACGTTAACAATTACTTAAACACTTAAACTACACCTGAAGCTTTATAATTTTATCAGTGAACAGCAAGAAACGTTTTTTAAGTCCAGTTGGGTGAATGCCATGGGTGAAGTCAAGTTTTATGCATTGACGTTTTAATTTTGGATTCACAATGTACGGAAAAATAAAAGTTTTAGTTTGCCTAATATTTTTCCTCTATAAGAATTATTAACTAAATTGAATTGATGATCAAGTTGATTGTAGTGTGACAGATTGCAAACAAATATATACGCTACAGTAAACTGCAATTGTTGCAATTTGTTTCAAATACATCCATCTTGTAGATGACTCCATTATCAGTTTAGTGTGCTGCACACAGCACGAGACTTGGCTGTCCAAAAAATTGTAGAGGGCTTCATTTTACATAGTGAGATTTAACTTAAATGAAACAAACGAAGATGGGACATCACAGTACTGTTTAACATTTTTCATCTATCCCACCTTTACATCCTTCCAGCCACATTACTTCAGGCTAAGCCTAAAGCGTTGTGGAATTATCACACATATTAGTTATTACAATATTGGTTATTGCAATTTGCAATATTGGTTATTACAATATTGGGTTATCACAAATGCATTGGTTATTGACAGGATTCGAACCTAGGACCTCGGGGACCACACCTCATTCCCATGGACAGGATTTACAATAGAAATATATAATATAAGTCTCTAGTCATTTAAAATTGGAAATTTATGATACAATTAAAAGAAACAACCCAATATAAGCTTACATGAGTGGTCTCCTCCACTTGCGCTATGCGTAACTGTGTGTCGATGCAATACGAGTGAAGGAAGTTGCCACCAAACACCATGGAGTCAGAGGGTGTGTACACCGCGTGTATCCAACCCGAGGGGATGAAGAACGTGGATCCTTCGTTAAGAGTGACACGACCACACCACTCCACCGTGTCCCCGAAAAACACATCCCCTTGCTGTCCCGACAACACCCACTTCTCATATTTAGAGATGTTCACGTCTGTGGGTGGTATGAGCCAGAAGATCTGCAAATAAGTAAAACTCGCCTAGTAATAATCTTAAAACTAATTATCAATTTAGGAGTTTTTGTGAGAATAGCAGGCTTACATGAATATAAGAGTTCTGGCAAGAGAAACTAACAAATTTAAGCTATGAACCTGACAAATTAGAGAGCAATTTCAAATAAGGAAGAGAGAGTTTTCTTGAGACCTCCTTGGTTGAAAATGCTGACAGTGACATTGAAATATTTAAAATGTGTGTATATAGTGTAAAGTTTTGTGTCTCGTGCCAGTTTGGACTCTTTCCTATTACGGCAAGCCTTCTATCCTCACAAAAAATCCTAAAAACTTGTGTCTAGGTTACATCTTTAATAGAGGTATGCAAGCCTGAGATTTTAAAAAGCCTCAAGCTTTTTCGGAGCAAAGATTTTTTTTCTCATGAATTTACTTAATTACTAATAATAAGTTAATCAAGTCTAGTAAAACCCCTTTTTTAATGCAATTTAATGTTAAGATTGTACAGTAAATGTTTATATATATATATTTTTTAGATAAAATTATTAAAGAGTAAGCTTATAGAAAATTTCACTTAATTTTGTTTTTATCAAAAGGCACCTAAAATTGGCGTGGCGCGTGGCCATAGACAAAGAATACAAGTGAATATTAAAACAATCAATAACTATCCCAACAATGAAAAAACTTGGCTTTTTTATACAGCGTTTGGCATAGAGGCATGTAAAACTGAGTATGTAATTTAAACTCGAATGAATGTCCGAATTTGAATGAGAAAGAGTCTACAGTACTATCAATGATACATATTCAAAATTGTTTTTATTAGACTGCTAACCTTGCTTCCTTTCAGTATGTGATACCACACTGACGTTCCTCCAAAGTCTATGTGAAAGTCTGTGTAACAGCCTTTCACGGACATAAGGCAGTACTTCTGAACCTTTGGATACATCATGTCTTCTATCGCATTCGTAGACTCTGTCTGAGCCTCTTTCAGATGTCTCGGCCAAACTGTGTCCACCCAATCAATCTGTCTCACCTGTAAAAACAAATATTTATATTGATGTTCTTTGGCCTAGGATCACTGCTTGAACATTAAAATGGTATAAAATTACCTGATTCCGTCTGTGATCCTAAATTTTGTAGTGAGCAGCTACCGGTTTCGAGGTTATCACCTCATCTTCAGGCTGTTTATGCTACTCTTGCGAGCTCGTCGAGTTTTAAAAAAGACACTAAACATTTAAATACATTTACAGAACACAGACTCACGGACAATTAACATAAGACCAATAATTTTTACTCAAAATGTTTGAAACAGACTTAAGTTTTCCTCGTTGCATGGAGAGAAATCTGTCGCGTTCCTGTGTCGAAAATCAAGAAGGAATTATAAATCCTGTCCCGAAATTAAAGTAGCCAACAATCCCATCCATCCCTTTTTTTTAGTATCTCTGATATTGGCACTTTTACACGAAAGAAAAAACTCCATTTAAAGGAGAGCAGTTTTTACTCCTATGTTATAACTTTTGTGAATTTGCCGGGGATAGGACCCATCTAAGTAAGAGAGGCATTTCACTGTTGTTCATTCAAAACAAAATTTCATATTTTGCAACATATTGTAGGCATAACATATTTATTGAATAAAAAATGTATCCTTACTACAAGTATATTAAACCACGCAGAAGAAGCAACCAAATTAAGTTAAAATCTATCAATCACGTTATCAGATTTTTCTTCTTTAAGTTGGATGCTTCATAACCAAATTTACTATGCAAACAACTTACAATCATCGGGGACTGCACGTAGTTGTCTAGTTTGGTATGACTGAACTCCAGAGAAAGAACATTGAGCAGTTTATCTCTGACTGGGTCGTCAAAGTATTTCTGCCACTCTTTCATTGTCATCACAATATTTTTCTGCGTGTTGACATCCATCACATCGATGTGCCGTCTTGAACCTAAGTTTATCAGAAAATTCAAGAATCAATTAAAACTGATTTTTTTATGTTTTCCTCTAGCAACAATGATGACTTACCTTAAATTATCTTGAATTATGAGCAAAGAAAGAAACTGTATATAACCTAACTGCAGGCACAGTTTATGTCTTTAGACACAATAAAAAAGGATATTTTGCATTATTCCTAAATCAATGTGTCAAGTGCCCCTTTTGAAATAAAGTAAGAAAACGCACTTTAGCATTTCCGATAGTTGATCTTAGTTTTTATTCACCAATTCAGTTTTACAAAACCATTTTGTAGGCTAAATTTAAAATGTTTACTAATCAAATAAAAAGCTTACAACAACTAAAACATTATTGCTATCCGGTAGGTTTAATAGACAGGCTACTATTTTTTGTATGTGCCTGTCTGTTTTTGCATCACAAGAAAAATTAAGTTGAAATTTCATGACAAGGTTTAACCACAATTTTCCACCAAGGGGTGTTATACAGTAGACTCCCTCTTATCTGGACACCTTTTATCCGGACATCGGTTTAACCATACTACACTCAGCGGAAATGACATCTCTTTAAATGGAAAGCAAATTGGTTTAACTGGACGAGATCGGAAGTGGGCAGTAGGCTACTGAAACGACTGTTCTCGTGGGAAAGATTTGAGACCAGTGATCACGTGTCTAAATACAATACTCTCCTAAATTTAAGTCGAATATCACAGTAAACAATCCGTTTTAATGAGTTTTTGGGGACGTCGGTTTAGCCGGAAAACCCGTTATCCGGACTGGCCTCGGTCCCGAGGAGTCCGGATAAGAAGGAGTCTACTGTAGGTATATTGCCCTTTTGGTATTGTTACCTTACGGTTTTGCATATGCATTAACAATTTAAATGTTGAGCATTTAGAAATAAATATCAATTATTGATCTTGAATATGGAACTAAGAGAATAACTGCTAGGCTATGTTTATATCTGCATTGTGTATTTTTTTTACAGCGCAACACGTTTGGTTGAAAAGAAACAGATCAAACACTAGTTTTAAAACCATTTGAGATGATAAATAATTTTATTGATCTTAATAAAACATTAGCCTATATATATAAATAATTGTTGTTAATACTAAGTGAGTTGCAGAAGCTTTAAATTACAAGACTTTCTTACCAAATACATTTACCAAAATATTAAACCCCACTGGGAAGCATAGGCACTGTAAACTACCTAAATTACAAATTACAAAAACCTAAATTACAAATTAGGCTACCTAAACTTGGTCGAAACAAAACATTAAGTCTACTTACCAACACAAATCTTGACATCATTCACAGAAAATATTTTGCTAGGCACTAACAAACCAAGATCTGATTTTTCTGTTACAAGGATTGGAGTTTCAAACCCGTTCTGTTGCAAGTATGAAATTGTAAAATCTGAAACAAAACCATACAAAAATTACTCTATTAGAAATCGTCAGAAATTATCGTTAGAGTTGGTTTTAAAATAGCTGAATAAGTCGATCGATAAAATAAAATGCACTGGAAATTAAACTGAGGAAATAAAAAATAGGCTAGTTTGCAACACTCCGGAACACATCATTAAATTTTTAGTTAAAAATTAGGAAATTAAGTACTTGAACAGATTAGTCACCATAAAAGAAGTTTCAGTAAGTTATTTGTCTAATTCTAAAAATGTTATCAGTCTTCAAATGACGGTATCTATTATCATTGAATGAAGTTGTAAAATCACATACAGAACAGAATTTATCTAAAAATAATAAACTGACAGAAAAGAATTGTACATGTTATGCACGGTTGTATTTTTAACTGGCCACTTTAAGGCGAAGACTGCAGCAGGATAATAAGGCCAGTTAAACTGACGTGCCCTTAAATTCATTAAATTTCATGTTTGATAGACTAAGAGAATATGTAGACTCGTTGCAATCGGTCTTGTGATTTGAATTTGAAGCACCAGCACTACTAGCAAAAGAGTTGCTTTGTTATCAAGTTAAGTTGTTTGGTATCCTATGGTTTCTTGACATGCAGAACTGTCTAACAGTAGCCAACTAATTGTTCATATTATTTAAAATCTACTGAATAAAAGTTTGGGCCCAAAGTCTGTGACGCTACCAACTGAGCTACCGACTCACCAAAAATTCCTATCATATCAGCAAAAAATGTACTGATTGAATTGTATTTATGTTTATATTTAAGCAGGTATGTGCAGATATTTTCTTGGAAAACAAATATTCAATCTACCTTTTCCTTCCATTTCTTGGATAAAATCTCGATCAAACTTTACAGATTCGAGTTTTTCTTGAAGGTTGAAAGTGTGTTTTCCCTCGATGTCTTCTTCTTCACCTAGCACCCAGTCTTCTGAGTAAAGCTTTGTATCTCGCTGAAAACAGGTTTTCAATATAATGGTGGATTTTCAACAAAATTACAGGTTACTGGTTGTGGAAATGTCCAATCCATAAAAGTAGTGTTTGGGTTTGGGTCAGTTTTTATTTAAATAAATAATAAAAAATTAAAAGTTAATTATCACCATTGATAAAACAGTCCCTTAGTAGATTACTCATCCTTATAGAACAGCTGGAGCCACTTTTATTGTTTGTTCTGTACGGTGCACTGTAGAGGTTGTGTTTTGTTTACAATTTGTTTCTTGTTATTTCAGTCATTTAAAACCTTGTTTAAACAAATAAAACAATCTAAACATAAACAATAACTCGTCCCCTAGTTATACAAGCAAACAGCAAAGCACAAATTATTAAATTAACCCTAAAATAATATAAACAAAATTTTGTCAACAGTAGCCATCAGTGTCACCGGACATGAACTAGACTGGAAAAACGAGCTTCAAATTTACAATGGGATGACAAGTCTATGGTTAGTCAATGTTATCACAAGTCACAGATTGTAATGTAAATTGTTATAGCTTTTGTCAAAGAAATAATGAAATAGACTACATAGTACAACAAATTAACCATGGTATAATTTTACCTTTAGCCATAAGAGCAACCCTGATAAATTTTGAATGAATGAATGAATTAAGTGCTTTATTTTAAAATAAACATTCCTCTCATAAACATAATCAAACACTTAATAAACAATGGTCTACGACCGTCTGTTTGGTTGGCACACCTGGAAAACACATTTATGAAAATGAAGTTGAAACAAAATACACTTAATAACACAAATTTACATACAATTTTACATCCGTTTTAAGCAAAACTAAAAAAAATACCTTTTTCATAACATTGTTTACATAACTTTTATTATTTTATTTTTAAAATTATTAGGTTTTAAAAGCTTTACCCATAATGAAATCTATTAAAATTACTATGAATATTCAAGAAGACAGGCTGACAAGTTGTTTGACATAATTATTGTTTTGCTATAATTTATGAATTAGAAAGAGAATAAAACAATTTTGAATTTGGAAAAAAATTCACTTGATTTGTTCGTAACTAAATTCTCTAATTAACTCCCACCTCCTTCTCCACGCCTCTCTCATAAAGTTTGCTAATTTACGCCAATCCCTACCATTTATGTATTCTATGTCTTCTCCCCTGATCAATTTTAACGGACAGCAAAATTTAGGTTTTTAATTCCATTTATCAGATAAAAAAAGAAAAAAATACCCCCGCCGCAGCAAACCTGCCGACTAAGCGAATTTTCATTTGTCTGAATTGATTTTCAGTTAAATATATTTTAATAACATTAGGTTTAACGAGTACCTAGGTTTGCTGCTACAAGGAAACTAATAAAGTGTGTTTTTGAGTAAAATATTGATAGCTTAGTACAAAATAAATAAATTTGCCAAGTTTGATCAAAATATATCCATAAATAAGCAAACTACAACATTTGACAATATTCTCCATAGAATAACATGGGAATTTTAAATTTACAATTTTTTTAATTTTCTTCGTTACTAATAACCGAACAAGATACTTTTATATACTAAATTATTTGTTTTTTTAAGCTCTTTAAAAAGGTCTAAAGAGAAATTGGGAAATTTTGTGTTTTGAGGGTCAAAAGTGAGAAAAACCAATTTTTACCCCATAAAACCCCCCGTAAAGCCCCGTTCCCATGGTCCGATCATGCTGGTTCGCGAACTCATTCTTGTTTATCCCGCTTTACACCTTTAAACCAAATTTCATCAAAATCGGACAAAAATTACTCAAGTTATCGCGTTCACGGACGTATATATATATATATATAAATCTATATATATATATATATATATATATACATATATAAAAATTTGAACGAATGGTGTTTTTGGCCTCTGGGGATATCAAAATGAAAAAGTAAATTGGTCCCGGGTCTAGGTCTTACCGTGCCACCTACGGTAATAGCTACTTCCCTATAGGGAAATTCGCTAAAACACTAAAATATAATAATTCTAAACATATGTCATCGGACTGAAAGTTTTTTTACATAATTGTAATAAGTTACCTAATTTAAATTGATAATTCATGATATTAAAACTTACCCTCCTTTTTTTGGGTTCTGGGGAACTCATGTTGAAAGTGTAATTTAGCGATGTGTTATCTGAAACAAAAGAAACATGGTGTTTAAATCTTCACTAGCCAAAAATAAAAGTAGGCATAGGTTATAAATCAATTTTACAGGCTGCAAAAAACCAATTTAACATGTTAAAAGTGTTTATTTACATGTTTCTTATTCAGTAAATTATTGATAACAAGTAAATTTTACCTTAAATAGTAATAAAATATGGTTTCACTAGCTCATTTAAATCACATAAAAGATGCCGTCACTAATTAATTTGTGATAAAATGAAAGTGACAATAGGAATTATTATTCTTATAATTTCTATCTTCTACAAGCCATATTAATCAATGTCAAACCAATATTTTAAAACGTAAAAGGTATGATTACAATAGTTTATATAAGTTAGGCCTATGTAGGTTCCACACAACTGAAATGTTCAAGTATTAATTAAGGCGAGGGGTGGATTGACCAAGTATCATCTGTAAATTTATGGGCAATTCTAAAAATAAGTGGAATTTCTGCCTAAGGTTTTTTTTTGTAAAAATGTTTATATAATTTACCTCCATGGAGGTTACATTTTTCTGTTCAGTCACTTGTAAATCCTAACCTATAGATTCATATACATCCAGAGCTTATGTTTTCTTTTCTGAAAGCTGAATACAAGCTTTGAAAACTAAAACTAAACAATAAACCAGAAGAAATTTCCAAATAAGAAAGTTTTATCCAGTTTGGAAATAAGAAGCAACACTGAATACATATGAACAAGAGGTTCTACCCGCGAATTCACGGGTGTACAGAAGCCACCATTAAATTAATTTAATCAACTTTGACTTTATATTTCATTTAAAGGGCCCAAGTTCAAGAAATTGTCATTTGAAAGGGTGTTAAAAGCAGTAGAACCTTCATAGCTTACGTCCTAAGTTGGCCGAGGTGGGTACAGAACTCGCCGCTATCTTTCACGACATCTACTTTAATACTTTTCCACTTTTTTAAATAGGCCTACGTTTCAATGAAATGGCTAACTGTTAAAGATCGGTGACAACCTCTTCGAACGAACAACATAAATGGTTTGTTAATCTCATATTCATCGTGTTTCGACCACCTTTAATCACTCACTTGTATCAAACAGCTAGAAATAGCTTCACTGTCCATTCACCGCACCTCTTTTAAGAACATGAAAGTAAATAATAAAATAAATAAACAAAAATGTAAATAAACTATATTGTCAATTGCATTGGCCAGCTGTTGTTCATTAAATTAATCAAATAACGTTATCTTCCTAAACATGCTAGGCGTAACCCTTTGGAAATCAGCCAGTGGGGCAGAGCCCTTAGGGAGTTCGCCCATATCAATACTTTTCGGCAAATCTACAAACTCTTTTAAGCTTGCCATCTGTCTATATTACTTATTATTTGGTAAATCACTTTAAAAATATAATCGATTTGAACGGATTGTGTTTTTGGCCTCTGGGAACCTCAAATTGAAAAAGTAAATCAGTCCCGAGTCTAGGTCCCTAAACTTATCTACCCCAAGTTTTAAAAATAACTTACCCGGGTATTTTACATCTAGGCTATCTCTAACTTAGTTGTGAGTAGGCTACCGGTACTAAAATTGTGCGGAATTTCACAACAAATTTTTATTAAGTTACAATCCAACAACTAAGTTAAAAAACTCGCAAAACCCGCCACCTGTTTGTAAAGCTGAAACATTTTGTAACTTAGGCCTAAACTTCACTTAACTTACTTGTAGATTTATTCAACTTAACTTATGTGTAGCTCACAAATTCCTTTTTTTCGCCTACTTTGTTAATATATTACTTAATGTTAGCCTAGGGGCCTATTACATCTTTATTAGGCCTACTTAGGTTATTGTAATCAGCTTAAACGCCAGCATTGGTTTAAACTGCGTTGGAGAAACCGGGCCTTAGCGTGGTGTTTCTTGGGTTGGATAAGGTTAAGTTAATCTTCCTTTTTATTTATATGAATATAACATTTAGGCTATTTACGATATGATGGTTAGGCCTCTTGAAAGTAGAGTTGTCATAGCTTATTTGAAACATGTTTTGTAAATAGGCTATAGTGGATTTGGATTTCAAAGTTTCAATTTTGGTTGAGGGGGTCTTTTAGGCTAACTTACTTGTCTAATAGATTTTACCTGTTTAACTCGAGTCTTTAAATGGGGTTTTAAATATCCAGGATTTGTAAATACTTAAGATTATGGCATCTATCATCATGTCAATTAAGTTCACATAAAAACGAAATTGTATGATGTAAACTAAACAAAACATACTTTATCCCTAGTAGGCCTAGGCCTACCAAGTCCTGTTTTGTTTTGGTCAACAATTAGTTTCTAACTAGGCCCTAGTTCCCTTTGGATTAATGCATACGCCTAAAACTAAAATTACACACAATACTTACAAATCGATTTCTAACTTTTAACTTTAATTGAGCATTGTCAGCCTAAGGAAAATCTTTCCTGTAGTAATGTTTAATAAACTTTAATAATAATAGTGTGCACACACGTCAAAGGAAAGGTTCTTGTTTTGTAAATTTGCTTACAAAAAAATTACTTCCGAAAACCGTGATTGGTTCTTTATCATCTTCTTATTCTTGATTGTGGCTCCTACACAAACATACCCTACCGCTCGCTATACACCGAAGTAGAAATTCCGCCATTTCTCAAGGTGCACAATGAACGTAACCCAGTTGACTATAGAACATGAATGTAAATTCATGCTACATCATGAAGCTGTATTATAACATAAGATCAAGTTTCAAATTACTAGCCAAAATCAGGTTAATATAATTTTAAATTATTTTGTCTGTTTTTACTGTAACAACTTCGCAACAGTGGTTCATTATTTTTGATCTGACTTATTGAAAACATTCTACATGCTCAAAAATCAATGGTCTGGATGACTAGTCCTTCGGTTTACTCTATTCTGTCTATTACATGTCAGACCCAGACGTCAACGATAGACGACATTATCTGTTTAATTCTTGTTTGGATTTGTGTTTTGTGTTTTGTTTTTCACTGTCAAGTCACAGAAAATGAGTGTTAATTTTTAACTTACAAGCGTTCGTTTTTTATGGATATGTTTTAAAAAACATCTTAACATGTATTTAATTTGTAAAGTAGATCTTCCTTAACAGTTGATATTTTCTCCAGTCTTTAAAAACAAATTTTACCCTAAAATTAAATCTTTTAGTCTTCATGTGTTGTAGGTTATGACTCTAACCTCGCCCAGAAAACTATCCTCTTATAAATATAAATTCGCAATCAAATAGGTTCCAAACTTTTGAAAACTTAGGGCTAGCGACTTTTTAACAATAAAAATATGACTATGGAAAGGTTTAAGCTTTCTCATATTTGGCAGTTAATTCTTCCAGTCATTATGAAATGTTGGGCACTTTCAGGAGCAGCTGTTTTTACTTTCCTGCTGGTTTATTGGGCCTATGGAGGATTTCTAGCTTTATCTCTGTTGGGATTTGCAATAACAGGTAAATACCACATAACACACGTTCACTAACTTATCGATCGTCAACTATAGTTTACACCAGACTTATCAAATCACTACCCTAACCTGCGGGCCAGGTTCTCGTTTTGGACCAAGCTTATTGAATTAAACATACGTAAAGCGCAACTTTTTCTTATCAAGTTTCTATTAGATTTTCTTATCAATTAGGGTCTAAGTTAAACAATATTTATTTAACTTACATGATATAGCAATAAGAAATTTAATCATGTAGGCCTAATTAAAAATAATTGTTAGGTTAAAGACTTACATGTTTCACCCTTAGTACGGCATCGTCAGGGTAAAAAAACATAAACGACATTAACTTACCGTACTGTCACAGGCACCCAATAATAAAAATAACACAAACAAATAATTAGACAGACCTATCACACAATGTGGACGGTTCTGGCGCAGGTAAGTTTAGTAGACTGCAGCGTCAGACACCTTCCTCCTTGTTGCCCATGTTGTCGGTCAGGCCCAGGTTAAGGTCAGGTGGTCGGTTACTTTGGTTTATTAAAACAATGAAGATAGAGTGGGAACGGAACTGCAGTTTTTCATTGAGGATATGCCCACTGGCGGTGTTGTCGTGGTATAATTTGTAGGTGCAAGAGGTGAGTAAACCTTTTTAAAATGAATTAAATTTGGTCTGGGGATTGTCATTCATCCTATGTTTATCTTTTTCATTGCAGGTATTTTCTATCACATGCAAGATGCCCTGCTGTACCATCCAGGGGACACGTTCCAAAACCGACTCTTTGTGCACACACCTACACTCTTGTCCCTGCCATATGAAAATATTTTTATAAGAAGCATTGACGGAACACTCATTCATATGTACTTCATTAGGCAGCCAGAAGATAAAGCCTCTCACGTCCCAACAATTGTGTTTTTACATGGAAATGCTGGCAATGTAGGACACCGGTAATTAATAACATTTTTTCCTGATAGCCTGTTTGTTAAATTGAAACAGGAACATTGTGTACAGTTCTACAAAGAACCTATGATGTACTATCTGATGAAATATTAGTTTGATTTTCATTTAACATTCAGTTGATACCTGAGATACCTCAGTTGGCCTGAGATACCTGGCATCTAAAATCCTCTATACTAGGCTATATTATTTGTTGGATGAATGTTTGGCCAAGAAGCTGAATTCATACTACAATGTAGCTTATAATGGCAGTAGCTACTGTGAGTATTATTACTAGAGCTATGTGTTCCATTCAAACTAAATTAAATTAAATACAACAAATTTAACGCCTTTTACGCAAACATTATTTTATTGTCCCGGGTGATTATAAATTAATATTGGGGTTTTAACGCTTTATAACTTTTCCTACTATTAAACATACTGCTATAAATAACACATCAGATGAAAAAGTAGCTCAAAGAGTTTATGCCTTACAATGACACATCATTTGACAAAATCGATCCAGTAGAACGGTAGATTTAATTGTAGGCTACAAGTTAAAAAGAAATCTCCAACTTTTAACCGTTATAAATTTGGAGGTTGGTTTACGTTTTTGCAAATACCTAGCTTTTAAATGGCGAGGAAACTGACCAAACCTTTATTGAGTATTTTCAAGAAATGCATACCTAATAGTGCATAGTATAAAATTTAATTCTCTTTTGAAATTTCCATTTTGGTCGATTTCCTCACCATTTAAAAGCTATATTTGCAAAACATTAAGCAACCTCCAAATTCATAGTGTTGACCTTTGAACAATTAAATCTACAGCTATACTGAATCGATTTTGTTAAATAATGTGTCGTTGGAAGGCATAACCTCTAAGGGTTGCTTTTTCATTTGATGTGTTATTTATAGCGGTAAGTTTAATATTATAAAAGTTATAGGCCTAAAGGGTTAAAACCTCAATATTCATTTATAAACACCCAGTACTTTTTAGTATGTTGAATTGCATTCCTCATGCAGAATATTAAGAATCTTTTGATTTTTTTTGTGTCTGCTAATCAGCTTAGACCAAATGCAAAAAATAATGATATTTGACAATACTGTAAAAAATGCAATCCTGGAGGCAATGATGAATAGACAAAGTATTACTCTTTTCATATAAACTAGCGTGTGATTTTGCAGCAATTTAGATGATAAGTGTTTTCAAAGCTCAATGCCAACTCAGACTTCACAAGAGTTTGCATGGGTAATTCAAGTTTAATAAGTAAGAACTGGGAGATTTTAGCAACCATAATAACTTTTCGCTTACAAGATAATCTGGAAAATCAAGCTTACGTACTTTGCCTTACTAGATTGCGTAATGCAAGCGGCCTGTATCACAATCTTCACTGTAACATACTGATGCTGGAGTACCGAGGATATGGTCTGTCAAAAGGGTCGCCCTCAGAACAAGGTCTCTGCATGGATGCCCGAGCCGCCATAGACTTTCTCTCTACTCGTTCCGACGTCAACCATAAGATGGTTGTTGTTTTTGGACGCTCTCTAGGTGAGTTTCATACTGCACTACAGGTATGGTTTTTAATAATTTATTTCAACACGTATGTCTAGTTATCTAACCTTCTGTAGAGCCTCTTCGATGGCAATATTAAATAGAATAGGCGATAGTTCGTCTTCTTTCTTGACACTTAAGTTTAAGTTTAGGTACCTTCACATTAAGTTTCCTCAAAATAATTTAACTGTTGTAGCCACTTTCCTTTGTAGGAGGTCCTACTGCTTTTGCCATAAAGATTTGTCACGCAAGAAGGTTTAGTTAATAATTTTTGTATGTTGGCAGCCTGTAGTCTGGGTTCCTAACTTAGATTTGACACATATATTTTGAGTTTTACTGTGTTTTTAAAATTTGTTTAGTTCTTTTATAAATTTCCTATCTATCGTTTAAGCCAATCGATGTTGGGTACCGGTACTCTAAACCTATCTTAGAGAGTTACAATTGCTATAAATCGATTTTGTCCATGCCAGGTGGAGCAGTCGCCATAGATCTGGTCGCTAGGCCAGAGTACAGTGCTAGAATCTGGTGCGTAGTTCTGGAGAATACCTTCACGAGCATTCCAGACATGGCTTACACCCTCATCCATTCCAAATTCATCAAGCATCTTCCCCTGTGGATTTTTAAAAATAAGGTTTGTAAAAAGTTGTCCATGAACCCTGTTTATTAATTAATTGTTTAATTAACTAATTAAGATAATAGGAAAAGCCATTTTTTATTAATTACCTAACTTGATCACTTTTTAAAATACATAAAGGAAAGAAGAAACAAACTAAAAAATGTAAACAATTGATTAATCCTAAATGCAAGCCTAATGTCAACAAACAAAAGCTCGCAGGTATACTCGTTGTGGGTTCACTGAAACAAAAACATAATAGTATTGATAAATATTGCTGATATACTCTGACAATTTAGTGACACATTCCAAAAACAACTGACATCATTTTTCTTACCCAGTGGTGATTTGGTCAACTACTAACAGTGGTCAACACAATAGTATAGTCAGGCTATCTGGCAAGTATAGCCAGGCTATCTGGCAAGTATAGCCAGGCTATCTGGCAAGTACTCTAATGATGCGCAAAGGGGTGATGTATGAAGTATTTTACTGCATTCACTCCATAGTGAATTGATATTCAACCTATTCGCATTGCAGTTTATGTCCAAGCGCAAAGTGCCTCATGTGCAGATCCCTGTGCTGTTCATCTCCGGCCAGGCAGACACGCTGGTGCCGCCGGCCATGATGCGGGAGCTGCACAAACTCTGTCCCAGCCCTCACAAACAGCTGGTATCGGTAGAGGCAGGTACGCACAATGACACATGGGCCTGTCCCGGCTACTACGCCAGCATCGCCACATTCCTCACCTCCGTCCACGCCATGCAGCCCAACCCTCCTCGGCCGCCCTCCTGCGTGCTGGCCGTCTGACACATGCTTCCACCCGCTGCTTCGACTGTGATAGCTCTCGTAAATGTGAGATATTTGTGAAATGAGTATGAGGTTTTTGGGGATGAAAGATTTTATGGTTAAAAAAATCATGGTTTTAGCGTGATGTGAAATTTTAAACTTTTTAGTATGCCTACAACGAATTGTGGATTTGTACATGATAATTAACTCAAATGAGTTTTAAGTGACTTTGTCCAATATGAGTAAAATAATTGTGTTAAATTTGGGTCTAAAAGACAAGTTTTACCCTTTAAGCTCCAAACGATATACATCGAACGTAAGATTAACAAAACTTCCCCATAATAGTTACATGAGTATAAATCATCAATAGCTGAAAGCTATTACTGACATAGTATCAACCTAGGAATTAAAAACTTACACTTGGGCGTTAACAATTGCTATTAGTAAAACAGACTGATAAATCAGATCAATGGCCAAAGATGTCTCTCTTGACTCGGAGACAACCGTCGTAGGTTGAGGGCTCAACTCTAGTCTCAGCTATGTCTAGTGCGTAACTTACGAGTTCAACTGTGTTTTACAGAGCCAGGTGTACATCGAAGATGCTTTTAAAATCAATTTGAGTTTCACGTTCTTAAGATTATGAAAAAACATAATAGGCATAAATAAATCATTGATTAATCCGTATAATTTTAAGGGCATAACCTTTTAAATTTGTATGCAAACTTTGTAATAGAATAATTTGCAATTTTCAAATGTGCGAAGGAGTGTTCCTTGTGATTCAGGCAGCCTATTTTAATGCAGGATGAACCTTAGTGATAACAACTTGCTATCCGGATTTATCTTGCCAGGTCCGGTATCTTGTTAGACAAAACATTTTTACTATACCTTATCAAGAATCAACTGTAAAACATGAACAAATATACGTGTCACTTTTACTTTGTTTATCCAGACCATTAACATTTTTAAAACTTTTATTGTAACTTAAGTAAGTAGCTTTCAAGCTAATTCTGATCAAGTTGAGTTCTAAAATTAATATTTTAAGCTCAACTCTTTTGCAAATTGTTGATCACCAAGTTATAGTTTATAAATCTGCACTCAAAATTCATATCTTGGCTTTTTATCAATTTTGAAGCTGTTTTAAAAAACTATAGTTTATCGATAAAATGGAAGTAATAACCATCACAGTTATTTACAAATTATTATTGAAAAATAACTATTAACTGACTGTCTGATTTAGCTATTTATTTTTATGGGCTAACACCGCTAAATTGTACATATAGCTAGTTCTAAGCAAAATATCACATGTAAATAATATGTATGGTTTTGTTACCTTGATTATTTTAACAAATTGCAATGCTATGTTTTAAAAGTATTGCGACAATAAAATTGATATATTTTAGATGTATTGCAAGTTTCTATGTCCTAAATCTTTTTTAATATTGGGTGTTTAAAATACACATGGATCGATACCCTTGGATGGCTTATAAAACATCTTGAGCTTGAATTAAATAAATATGTTATATTGTATATTTTTTACGTTAGGGGTCACTATTACCATAGGTCTCATGGTAAGAACTAAACATGGGACAGATTTCCTTTTTGGTTTTGGTGTTCCTAGAGGCCAAAAACACCATCCAATTATTTCATATATATGAAACGGGGTTTTCCAATTTTTGACCCTCAAAATATAAAATTTCTTTCAATTTCTTTAAAAGAATTCTTCAAAATTAATGTCGGATGTATGTAGTTTTTTTTTTTTCAAAGCAAAGGGAAAGGGAAAGAGACTTAGAAGTATATTTTGGTCCTTTATTAAAACAACATTTAAAGTTTCAAGGAACATTGATACAAATACTGATATTTCATCTTAAAATAGTATTTAGTAGGCCTAGTGACTAAATTCTGTGAAAAAAAAACAAGCTTACAAAATATTAAAATCACATAATGAAAACTTATGGTTTCGTACATTTAATAAATAATAATAGTAAGGGAGAAAAATATGAAAAATTGTAAGTTGTAAGCTTTGTAGCAATTATAATAGAAATAACCACAAAACACACATTATTATTTTATACAAGAAAATAATCTAACACATTTGTGAAGCTATAAACTAACTTTTACTGTGTGTTCAACATAAACAATATTCAAATACAATTTGACTGATAAACAATAAATAATACATACATATTTGAGGAACTTGTAAATTTCAATAAATTACGAACTTTGTTCATTTTCTACTTAACTAATAAGTAAATTAATGTTTGAAACCATTTACGATAATGAATATTATTAAGTATTTCTGGTGTGTTACAAAATCCAAACCTCTTTGATTAAGTTAAAGTCGTTACACACTGGTATAAAAATAAAGCATTACATGATTCAATTAGGAAATGTGCATGTTTTCCTGAGTAAAATGACGGCACAAAAAAGTGGTGTTAAAATATCTTAGTGACAAATTTATCTTCTTAGGTTTTTTTACAAGGATGGATTTCTTCAAGCTTATCTTAGAAAATATTGGAGCCCAGGAGCGAATAGATACACCTATTAAAGGCCACAATACATAATCCTATTGGGCTTTTTTAATTATATTTATTTATTTATTGAACGGCATCCATCATTAAACAAGAATAATATAGTCTTACATGCCAATCGTGCCTACAATAGACTCTTCAATCTACGCTCCAAAAGAATACGGTATACAGGGGTGCCCATCCCCCCCTAGACTCATGACGCACCCCCCCCCCCCCAATTGAGCAACAGCCCCCCCCATAAATGATGTACACAACAAATGAGAAACATTATTCCCCCGCCCAGCACTATTTGTAAAACTATAAAAGAAGTTTTATAATTTTTTTCAGATATTTAAAATTCCAACCCAGTTAATCTATATCAATAAAGTTATAGTTTTGTCTGTACATTGTTCAGAATTATACATATTTTGGGTTATTTATGTTTTATACATTGAAGAAGTTGAAACATGTCTTATCTCCATTTATGTCCGTCTGTCACGGCCCAGAAGGCATTTTATGCAGCCTACTCATGGCCTACTCTAAAGAAAACTAGAGTACCGATTATGATTCTAATGGTTTAATTGTATCCACAGGATTGGCGAGAGAGTCCTTATAGCCATTAAAATATGACATCACTATTTTGGAAATAAAATAACGGACGATCAAAAATACAATTTTGTGTGATTTTTCTAGTTTATTTTCTCCATGTTTACTACATACGTCATTAATTTATGAAATACTAATAATCTGTTAAGAGAACACGTTATACAGGGTGACAAAAAAGTCTGGAAACGGTTTAATATCTTTTTAACTAAATTCGTTAGAAAATTCAAACCTTTTACATCAACTTTTATGTATGAAAACTATTTTTTGCAGTCATTGCCATTATTTGACCTTCACCAGGGGACGGCCCACGAGGAGTAGGTACATAATCTTTAATGTAAGCATAGGTTGATATGCACATCATTTTAAAGGTCTGGTCAAGTGGAGTTCATTGCCGAAAACCGCGTCAAAAAAGGTTCATCTGTTACAAAATGGCGGCAGTTCAAAGTTGTTGCGGAATATACCTGCAGAGGCCTTAGTATTGGTAAATTACTATGAGTATTTACTAAATACTCATAGTCAACATTAGCAGGGAAATCTGAAACCCGGTTAAATTTGTTTTGAAGATTGAATACTATTATTCTATGAGCTAGTTGACTTTAAAATACAGTTTAAGCTCTCAAACTAATGTTTAATACGAGGATTTGCCCATACTAAGGCCTGTGCAGGTATATTTCACAAGAACTTTGGACAGCTGCCATTTTGTAACGGATGAACCTTTTTGGACGCGGTTTCCGGCAATGAACTCCACTTGACCAGACCTTTAAAATGATGTGCATATCAACCTATGCGTACATTAAAGATTATGTACCTACTCCTCGTGGGCCGTCCCCTGGTGAAGGTCAAATAATCGCAATGATTGCAAAAAGTAGTTTTCGTTTTCATACATATAATTTGATGTAAAATGTTTGAATTTTCTAACGAATTTAGTTAAAAAGATATTAAACCGTTTCCAGACTTTTTTGTCACCCTGTATATGAAATTACGAACAGCTGTTTTGATAAAGATTCTTTTCCTAGCTGTCACTGATATGTTTACATAAATGTTCTTTAAGAATACTGTGTAGGCCCTAACCATTTCCGATCACGTTTGTAAGCAAGTCCAAAACCAAGTGAGATTAATAACCGTGTGGCTTTGGCTTACATAACGGGTTTGATTTATCACGAGTACTATATGTAACTGTAAATTAAATTAAATAACTAGCCATCATCCAGGTCGGGAACCAGAGATTCTGTGTGTATCAAGTTGTACTTGAATTTGATTACAGGGAAAAGACCGTGAATCAGTGTACAGGACTGGAAAACTTATCTTTCTATATAAATAAAATTAGAGTTTTATAAGTCACCTCAATTTAAGGAATTTTTTATTGCCAGAATATCCATAACGAATTGTCAGCGTCTTTCTCGATATAACGATCCCCTCTCCCTCCCTTTAGAAACATCACAGCTTCTTTGATGAAAATGAAATGGAAACAACGCTTGCGCCAACAATCGTCTGCTCCGTTATACACTTCTGTCTGCTGTGCGCTATGTTACAACAGATTTCAGATACAACAGCTGGGGAATGATGACGATATAACTGTGATTGAGTGATAACCATGGTAACTTTAGTAAGGCTGTGATTGGCCAATGAGTAGGCCTAAATATGGCGACTTGTTGAATTTGTGTATGTATTGAAGAGAAACCTATAAATGAACAGAAGAACAAAGAAAGAGAATAACAAGATTGTTCTCGTTACATTCTTTTTTAAGAGTGTTTTAATTATCTCTAAATATAATTTTACACTTTTTTATTACTTATCTATCAATTCCTATGCTGTGATACAGCATCGGTAGCCTATCTGTCTATCATGAGCAGTACCTTATAACACACTTTCTAAAGGTTCCTTTAATATTTACGTTATTTATAGCAATGTAATGTTTGGCTAGTGATTAGTTGAGTTTGAGTTAGCTACAATTTTAAACGTTGCCGTTTGTACAACTGAACCAAGATAAATGATTTGAAATTTACAATAATAATGATTGTGCAATATTGAATTTCGTTTATAAAAATGTAAATCGTGACTTAATGGCTGTTTACAGCGTTTTAATGAGTTTCTGTTTTTATACTATATTGGATTAACCTATTTTTCATTCCCCCCCCCTCTCCCTATTAACTCAGGTAATCGAGTATACACAATAGTGTAAAGTATTGTAGCCTATGCTACTTGCTACTTGATTGTATTTTAACTAGCTTTATGTCAACAAAGCGTTCTGCTGTGTGGTGTAGCTGGACGTGTCTGTACCACGCGTTATCTTTTATCTATCACAGCAGTTGAGCTATCCCGTGCGCTCCCTCGCTTAGATCTCACGTCTTGCTAATCTTAAATAATAACTTTCTACACGAATCCTAAACTATCCTAAAATCCTATTTTAACTAATTTAATTCAATAATATAACTATTGTCATTAATTATCCACTTTCTATCTGGCGTTTTCGTAATGTATTTTGGATTTTCGTCACGTTGAACACTGTTGCAATTAGCTTTAGCCCCCCCCCCATTTGAATTTTTTTAGCCCCCCCCAAGAATTTCAATGACGCAGTCTGCGTCACGGCCCCCCCTTGTGGGCACCCCTGCGGTATAGGGCCTAGGACAAATAATCAGTGTGGTAACCTGTATTACTTATCTATCTGCCCCTGAATTCTAAAATTTGTCTAGAAAGGTAGCTGCACCCTATCCCTTAAAACACCATCAGCCACTTAGTTATTCTTACAAATATAATTAAAACTTCAATCCTTGCAAGACCTGGTTTATCGTCTCTGCAGACTTGTGCAGCTGTTGTTGCTCTACTTGGTTCAAAGGTTGTTTCACAACATGGGACACTCCGCTTTCACCAAGGACACACGGTAAAGATAGGAAGACGTTGTGGTCGATTCCGTGGAATCCCTGCGACAAAAATAAACTACGTTTAGACAAAATTACAGTAAAAGCGAAGAAAGTTTGGACATACAAGAAGAAAGAATTCCTAGGAAAAAGGAGTTGATTGTGATAAAGGGGGAAACCCCAGAAAAAAACCATAAGGAAGGTTAGGTAGAATAAGTGAAGGAAGATTAAAGGTGAAAGAGTGTGTGGGTAAGATAAGAGTGAGATGGTAAATGTTGGAGGAACTGTGAAATGATATGAGATTAATAGGTTTGTTTTATAAATGCTTAATAAACACAACAAGAAGTATTTACCATCACACTTTTTCTTGTCATACCAGTTTCTAGAACATGAATTAAATTAACTTTGTTGTTGTTTCCTGTGCTCTTGACATCCAGAACTTCTTCTTCTTCTTGACATGTGCTTCTTTACCCAAAGAACATAGGCAACCACAACTAAGGAATGTAATCTGATATAACACTTTTCTCATATTTGGAACATGGCTTAGTAACGTGGAATATCTTGAATTTTTTTGTGATCAAACCTTCAATTATTATCATTTTCAAAGGAGAGTCCAGTTTTTTATACACATAAATAAACAATATCAGCAATCTGACACGTATGTAAAGCTGGTGACAAATGTTCTACTTGGGAGCAGATTACTAGAGGTGTTCCTCAAGGATCTGTTCTTGGTCCACTACTGTTCTCAATTTACATCAATGACATCACAGAACATATCACTAACTCACACTACATCTGTATGCTGACGACTTACAGATTTACTCCACTTTATTGTAGACGAGATGGATACTGCTGTGCGACTCATGAACATTGACATTGAATCAATAACTCACTGGGCCACGAACAACGGACTTAAACTCCACACTGACAAAACTCAAACAATGATGGCTATCCCAGATTAATGACTAAAATAAACTTACTCACTGCACCACGACTTAGCATTGACGGAAAAGATCTTACCTACTGTGACAAAGTGAGAAACTTAGGACTCATAATGAACAAACATTTGAATTGGTCTGACCAAGCAAATTCCACTTGTAACAGGGTTTTTGGGGCTATTCACACCATCAAACGTTTCGCAGAATACCTTCCACTGAACTTGATAATCATGTTAGTAAAAACTCTCATCTTGACTCATTTCAACTACTGTGATGTGGTGATCAATGACATGGCTAATGAGGTCTCTAGCAGACCTCAGCGAGCGCAGAATTCCTGTATCAGATTCATATTTGGCCTTAGACGATATGACCATGTCACTCCCTATTTTAACCTGCTTTCATTAATGAGGCTAAATGAACTTCGGGAATTTCACACCCTCCGTCTTCTACACTCCATTATCAACAGTAAAATTCCTAAGTATTTATCAGATAACTTTCATTTCATTTCTGACATCAGCACCCGTTCCACTCGTATAGGCTCTTTTCTTTTGTCTACACCAATTCACCGGTCAACACTTTTTAATAAATCTTTCTCAGTGTCTGCAATTCGAATGTGGAATTTTCTTCCTGACCATATAAAATCCATAGAGAACTGTGCAGGGTTTGGGGTAGAGATAAAATCTATGATTTTGAGCAGCAGGCATGAATCTCTGGCGCTGGTGTGGCGGGTTGTTGGCGGCTTGTGTGAATGGACTTTTTGGATTTAAATTTATTTTCAACATGTTTATAATATGGTACTTTAGATCATTTAATTTTATTTATAAAGTGGATACCGGTAGTTTTATTTATGTTTTAGAGGTTAAGTGGTAGAGGACTTGCTAGTCCTAACTTCGCCTCTTAAATAAAGACATTTTTCATTTAATTTAATTTAATTTACTTTCTCTCATTAGCTTGTTAACAACCCTTATCAAGCAAGCGGTAGGAGAAACTGATATTTTATGGAGAAATCACAAAAGTTGCAATAACGTTTGAACTGCAGTTTTTACAGAAATGAGAGTTGTACAATTTTGTTAAGAATTAAATGGGCTATAACATACTAAATTTCAAACTTGAAAATTTTAACGAAAACAAAAAAAAATCAATATTTTTTCCATACACTAGGGGGGGGGGGGAAGTAAAAATATAACCAAAGTACAAAAGTGTAGTTTGTTTCAATACAAGTTTGAGGTAGGTTTACCTTAACATCTGTAGAGACTGCGTGTACTGTGTGAGTGTTGTGGAGAATTGACTGACAAAGCTTGGCAACACTTAGTCCGATTGCCCATGAAGTATAACCCTTCAGCTTGATGATTTCATAGGCACTAGAAAATACATTGTTCATAAATGTAAATTACAATATCACTGGCTGAAAAATCACATTAGATTAGTGACAAGAAAGTCGTTTGAAGATTCAGAGCCACTAAATTATACAAGTGTTAATGACGATACCCATTCTCTTGAAAGAAGTGAACTTAGACTGAATGGCAACAAAATGAATAAAATGCTAAGAAAAATGTCTTTTGTAGAGCTCGTATCTATGTGAGTAGTGTTTTTTATATGAAGTTAAAGTCAAACGCTTTTAAAGAAAGCGGACTAAACCCATTAAATGTTTTGTTAATCTATGCGAATATTCTTATCATGATTCAGGTCCCCCGCTCAATAGTAAATTAGTACTACAAAAGGCTTTTCCACAAGATACTAACCTATCCACCACTTGTTTGTGTATTTTTCCGAAGCTGTCGCTGTCGCTATCGGTTCCGACGTGTTGGTTGAGATCTTTTAACCTCACTCCAGCAACGTTTACACCAGACCAGACGGGAACTGAAATAAAAAAATTAACATCAAATGAAATATAAAATCAATGGAGTGATAAGATGCGCAACATGTTGAAGCAAACTTGATATTGCAATGTACGCTTGAAAAGTAAGCTATAACTAATAATGTGAGTAATTGTTAATCTAGAATCTAGATAGAATCTAGATAGAAATTTGAAAATTCAAATTCAATAATTTTCATTGGAATATTCGTTACAAAACCAAGAAGCAAGATACAGAGACTAACCTGACTTGTTAGTCATTAACAAAGCTACACACAGATCATCTCACTCCAATCTACACTTATCTTGCAATCATAGTTTAAAACATGCACCTAAGTTTGCATCACTATCTTGTAATGACAACAATAAGTATAGGGTTTATGCGACTTATTCACTGACCACTTGAGTCTCCATGCTCTCCGATGATCCATCCATGACAACTCTCAACTGACAGGTTTAGTTTTTGAGACACCAGAAATCTGAGTCTCGATGTGTCGAGGTTGGTTCCTGATCCAATCACTCTGTTCTTGGGCAAACCGCTCAACTTCCAAGCAACGTAAGTCAAAATGTCAACTGAAAACCAACAAAGTCAAGATTTATAATTTACAAGATTGTGTCAGCTAAAAGTTTACCGTCATGTGTTCTTAACACGTTCAATGCGGGTGATGAGTAATCCCGTCATCGCTGACGCTGCCAAGCTGCACGCAACGAGTATACTCGTCAAAGCACCACTACAAAATTATTGCCTCGATACGAGCTGAGCCGTCATCGTCAGATGTTGTTTTTCGTTACGCTGTATGAAGTAGTCCTTTGTGTTTCCTTGGGTGGCATCGTTCCCGTCACGCACAGTTTTTGTTATTTGTGTGTATGTTTTTGTGTTTTAGTGTGTTATATGACGTAAGTGTTGTGCAATAGTGATAATAGATTGATAACTTTCTCACTGAAGATGAAATAGGAGATACGGACAACAACTATTTACAACACAAACCAAGGATTACTTTTGGTGTCACGAGCGTCGTTCTACATGGCAGCCAGACAGGTGCGGCACATGACGAGAAATAACGTCATAGTTCAAATTTGTACGAAATAACACCAGGTCATCATCCAAAACAACATTTGGGAAGTTAATTGGAGTTTTCATATTTTAGCCGTACGAGTGATATAGCCAATTTCAGTGCCACATTGAACGTGTTAATTTACAATAGACTTAGGCGATTTATCCTTATCTGTTTTTATTTGATAATTTTTGCGGGTGATCTGAAGTGGTTTCATTATTAATCATTTCATTATCAAATCAAACACTTTTAGTACATGAAAGCATGTATAAAGTTGAAGTTAACTTTCACTACTGTTACTTTCACTGTTGGACATTAACCTGTACAGTGTACACCCATCTTGATTAACTAATTGTGCATATGTAGACTATGTCCCAAGGCACATCATATACGTGTGTGGTTTTTGCACATTCCATTACATGCTTCGAACACCATCAAAATTCTGTTACTTGATAAACTGCCCCTCAACATAGTTTCAAGGACGTTTCCCTTACCTTGATTTCATCAATCCTTTATGATCGCAGGCAAATTGTGGAAACTACATCAGACATATTCAAGCCAGAACTAAACATTAAGCTTATTGGCAAACTCTTATTAATTTGTCATTGACAAATGTTTATCCCTTACCTGGATTGCTGACAATCAGCAGGATTGTGTTGGGGCTGTATTTGACCAACTGAGGGATGATATGTTTGAAGATATCCAAGTTCCGCTGGACCAGGTTGAGTCGGCTCTCCCCCTCCTTTTGTCTAACGCCGGCAGTCACAATGCAAATCTTGGAGTTTGCTGTGATTTCATAGTCTGCAAAATTGTACAGTGTGTTCAAAGAGTCTTGTTATTGACTAAGGCCGACTTATTCCTTAGACACAGCTTTTAATTAATAGACCATACAGCTAATGGCAACTTAGGGGCCTAAAGTTCATAGTGGAATCCGAAGAACTCAACTGTTCATGGGCCTTTAATATATCGTCATTGTTAATGAAACAGCTGGTATTAGTTAGTAACAAAGCTACACATATCATTTCACTCCATTCTACACTCATCCTTCACTCATATTTGCGTCAAAATATGCACATAGGTGGCATTCCATCTCATAAATGAAAATAATATAATAAAAATCCGCCTTGGCCGCAACTGATACTTTCCTGAGACGCTGGGGCAGGTATGCTTCAAAAGAGAGGTATTTATTTATTCCTTAATACATCCTGATTTCGGTTTCAGATATTTCGGATTATTGATTTTGGTTCAGGGGGCTTAATATCAAACTAAGAAAGTAATCATACCTGTGCTAGCTTCTATCTTGGGACTCCTCATGAAACATGCGCCATGTTGAAGGTCCATCAACTCTCCTTTGACCTTGTCTCCCATCACATCCACTAGAGCTATCTCATCAGTCACATACTGTAAGCATATATGGATTAGATTATGCAACATAGACTTACGAGTGTGCGTATTTTAATGTAGAGCTGAGAAAAGTAGCAGTATACATAACAGGGTGTCCACATTCTGGAAAGTCAGGGATAGTCATGGAAAGTCATGGAAACAAATTTTGGTCATTGAAAGTCAGGGCAATAGGCAAGAAGTCATGGAAAGTCATGGAAATTTTCAATTATGGATGGATTTGAGGGGACCATTCAATGCTCTAGTCAGCCGTAACCCGGACTGTTGTAGCATTTTTCAGGATTTTTCACAAATGCTCGACAATTCAATTTATTACAGTTGTATTATTTTATGAGTTTTCGGTTTGTTTTAGTTCATTTTTGTACCTATTGTACTCCATTGTTAACTTTTATTACATATTTCAGTATTTTCTGCAAAATAACATGTCCAGGCAGTATTATTTGTGTGTGTATGTTATATTATAATTTGCGGGTAAAGTTTGTGAGTCATGGAAATCAATGGTAAATGGTCATGGATAGTCATGGAAAGTCATGGAAATTAATGACACATTTTTTGTGGACACCCTGCATAATAATAATGATGATAGCTTTGTTGTCTTTAGATGAGGTGCACCATGGTTCCATAGACATGACCTTTACTAAAACCCCAATGATCAAGTACAGATATGGCAGTGCTCGATTTACGGTGAAACGGCTTTCCGGCACATCTCTTTCGGAAAGATAAAAATATTGGCATAAATAGGTAGGCCTACTAATCACATTAAATGGTTACAGTTCCGGCACCTCATTTTTTTTTATCAAGCACTGGGTATAGGGTTCAAACGATCAGAAAGCTACTGACCTATCTCAGCGCCATATCCACTCAGCTAACCAGCAAAAACAAACTAAAGTCACTTTATAAGCCCAGTATGTATGTGCTATTATAAGTCCAGACACATAGTCATTGGGGAAAATATGTTAAAAAGTACAGTACAAAAACATTTGGCGCAGTCCAAGACGAGGTAAGTAGAGATTGAAAAATAAAGGGGTCAAAGGATATCTGTCAGGCTGCTTTAGTGAATGGGTCCAGGTTAAGGGGCGCAAGAGGTTTTTTGGTTTGTTGGGGACGCAAGGAAGAAAAATTACTGACGAGGAAGGGGGGCAGGGAGAACAAAATGTATCCATAGTTTAAAAATGTATCCATAGCCGCCATAGTGCATCACATGTAAACTGTGGGCCTGATATAGGTCATAGACTTATTCTGAACTGTCATAGTTGCCAAACCTTGAATCAGTCGGTGTCAATCTCTCTCTGCCCACAAATGAGAAACAACCTAAATACTCTTATTAAGATGGTTAAAGAACTATAATCTCTCCACACTTAAAAATGTGTCCTTGATAACAGTAATAAATAACACATTTTTAAAAACAATTACAAGCTATTTAAGTATTTACCTGTGTGAGAATGCTGAAGGCGCAAGCCATGCCCACTTGTCCTACTCCGACGACAGTTATTTTGTTGCCGGAGCTTTGTGATGGCTCGGCGATCTTCGTCATGAGATCTTTGGCGATCGCAGACATTGCTTCCTAAAGAAAAATGAAATATTATCACAAAAGAAAACCAATGGCACACATAATGCAGCATAGAAGAGGATAATTCAAGTATATTAACTAATTTGGAACCGAGGTTGATTTAGATAATCAAATTGGATGGTAATATATTACAACTAATTTAAATGATACAATAATAAAATTACACCCCATGCTGTAAGAACTATTTAGAGATTTCCTGGCACTGAGATCGTTGGACGCCGATCCACTTACCAACCAAATGTGAGGGCTGTAGAAAGACTTTGATATTGATCATGCCCTTACATGTCCTGTTGGTGGCCTAATTGGAAAACGGCACAATGAAATTAGCGATGCTTTAGGAAACCTTATGGAACAGGCATGGGGAAATTGTATAAAAGAGCCCCCCATAGCAGAGAATGAAAATGTAAACGGGCCTGCAATTAAAGCTGACTTGGCATGTAGAGGGATTATGGGAGACACAGAGGGAAGCAATACTTTATATCCGTGTCGTAGACAACAATGCTCCCTCATTTGTCTCCAAACCTCATGACAATGTCATAAAAACCGCAGAAGAAGAAAAGAAAGTATATGTCACCTTGTGAGTGCCGGAATGCCTATTTCACTCCCCTGATAACATCAGTCTGCGGAATCTTAGGCAAGAATTTCAAACACTGATAAGAGCACTGGCTGAGAGGTTGTAAAAAAAAGGGGCAAGCCTTACAGTCTGGTTGTTAGTATTAGAGTGAGATTGACTTGCTCAATTTTAAGGGCACCGAGCATGTGCTTGAAAAGATTGAGAAAAAGTGGAGATCTGCTTGAGAATTTGAAGATGGAGCAGGCATTCAACATATTGAAAGAATCCAAAGTTTTAGTAACATTTGTAAATCTAGATTTATTGATTTTGTATTTATTAATTGAAATAAAACATTGTTTATTCATGTTGAAAGAATTACGTGTAACGTGAGTTTAATTTTCATATTGTACTGAAATAGATTAAATAAAAAACAAAACAAAAGGCTTACAACAGTAAGGATAACATGTTTTGCTTGATACTTAGTCCTACGAGAATCAAAAAAGCGAATCAGAATTTTGAATAACAGGAATTTTAAAAACAAAAGTTTGGAAAAATTGACCAATTGACCCTTTACTGTAGTTCCCGTCTGGTTTAAACAAAGAAAATGTATCCATTGTAATTTTTATCAATTTACTTAAGTTTGTGGTTGACAATATTTATGAAGCCATACTGATGTTAACAAATTTCAAATTGTTTCCATTTAGAATACAGAACTTAAAAAGGCATAACAAGAACTTGGCCATGGCAATCATTTAACTGCAGACCTTCATTCACAGTTAAGAATGACACTTAGTTTCTCTGTTAGTTAAGTTCTCTTCAATCAGGCTCTCAAACTGTCTATACATCCTCCATTAGAGTCCAAGAATACTTAAAATCTAAATATATCTTGTAAAGTGAGTTAAGGTGAGTTTCACTTCCTGGAAGACAATGCTTCAGGCTGTTACTGTTTAATAATAAAGCGATATAATGAAACAAAAATGTTGTGAGGAAGATTATAGTCATCTTTGAACTTGCAATATATAGATATATGTTTATTACTCCATTTAAGTTTGTTAGACATATTTTTATTTTGTTTTAAAACCAAAAATACAACTTAAAATTTTGTGGATTTTTTCCATTTTAAATTATTTGCGTCTCAAGGTCAAAATCAAATTTTAAATTTTATTTGTCAATTTTATGTTTTATTGAAAAAATACTCTTCTGTGTTTTGTGCTATTTTTGTAATAAATTCCATAACATTTTTATATTGATATAAATGTAACGTTTAATGTAGGCCTACCTACCCACCTAAACCCCCTACCCTCCCCACCACCTACGGTACCCATAGTGTTTTATCTAGTTTCCCTGTGTTGTGTATTATTTAATCATTGACTTTGCAGGATTTGCATGGTTTTACAAAAAAATATATATATATTGAAAATGGATATTCTGAGTTTTATACATTTAAATATTTTCCTTATAGGTATTTATATAGTTAATTAACTTATTGACTGCAAAGTTTAGTTTACTGTTTACATTCAATAGCTGAGCCGCTTGCTTAATGCTTTTAGATGAAGGATTTCACAAGGTTGAAGTTTCATTTATCCAACAAACTAATTAGTATCTAGGTAGAAATGGTAGAATTATATTCATAAATCATTAACTTTATGGTCGAATATGTATTGCAATATTGCAATATATTTAGGCTATTACTTACTGTATATAGAAATAATATTCTTCTTATCATTGCAAATATTAAATTACAAGAAAATATAGGTATGTACTCTAGTAAAATAAAGAGTGAAGGTTGTGATTAAATTCCATGCAGTGTTGATGAATTCGTAAACAAATCAATGTTACAAACAGCTGTTACACAATTTTAACAACAATATTTTTATCTAGTCTAAGATGAATCATTCCTGATTTGATTTTATCATCTGATAGAACTCCCCAATATGAGACCACATTAAAACAAAACAAACAAAAAACTAATGCAACTTGTCATCAATTAAATGAATGCCGCAAAACTTACCTATGTCAAAATAGTGTCTCTAAACTAACACAAACTGAAACTATTGACAGCTGTACTGTGAAGAGTGTGAAGGGGATACAAACACAACAGCTGCTGCACAGACTGACTGGCTCCCTCCCCCCCTTACCGCATCTTCCCCCGTCCCTTCCAGCAGAGGTCACCTTGGACGAACCGAATTGTTACAGGTGATTCAACAATGGAAAAAATCGAGGGTTGAAAAATAGACTCAGTGGAACTCACAATAGTTAGTTTAAATTGTGCAACATAAATGATCCAAAGTGTTTTACTTCACCTGAGATTTTTTCCAGTGCCGCACTGTCTTATCTCCAGTATCAATACAGGTGTTGCGCATGCGCCAATCAACAATAACCTACTTGTTGGGTCACCTTACCCCCCCCCCCCTGAATATTCCCCCCGAGACTTCCAGCACGCGTACTTGACTTTCGGCCGTTGACCTGAATGTTATGGGTCTGTAAATTGTGCGAAATTCAGAGCAGGATTTTGCGAATTGGTCGTAAAAGTTGGGAATTACGAGTGTGCTCTAAATAGACTGAAGTGGGTTGTGTTTCGGGGTATTAACTCTTTTTGTATCATCCAAAACTAGATAAATATAAACTATTGCAGTTTGAGATTGATTCGGGAAAGAAGGATTTATAATTCTCTTAATTAAACCGGCTTCATCTACAGTATGGGATGTGGAGTCTACTTACAGTATCCATGTATAATGTCAAGATTCAAGAACAATTAATATTATGATTTAGAACAAGAGCTGCAATTTTAAACAAATACAAATGAAATCACATGGAAAAATAAATAACACAAGAATGTGACAGGAAAATGAGTCAGCTCGATTTACAATATTATCAAAACGATCCAATGAGTCTTTCCGTAGATTATCTTTGCAAATAAAAAGTTAAAATAAAACTATATATGTAAAAGTGTATCTAAAATTTGGTACTGTATCTCAAAAGTGGTGCGAAGTGCACAGACTCATTTGTATGAGGCTATGACTGAGGTGTACAAAAAATAAAAAAATACGAGGTGAGATCTCAAAAAGGATTCTCACACAAAACTGATATGATACTACTTATCATTACTCAGTCTCAATTCATGCACAAATATAATTGGAAACTATAAATTATTGAAGTGAATTTGTCTGCTATTTTGAACATGCGGACTGAAATGGTTCGTAGCTATGAGAATGGTAAATATCAGTAACAAATTACTGCATGTAAAACAATGTTGATATATGGTGTTGCAAGATAATAAGTCCATACGTCCTTAATAACAATTTATGGTTAGTTTCGAAATCTGCAATCATCTTATCGTTTAACTGCTTGCGTCATCAAGAAAAAAGTATCCAAGTAGAAAAAAATTATGACTACCCCATGTGCATTGTGAAAATCGTCCCACGTAACTTATCCCACAAAAACGTCTGAATATCCAAACGCAATACGTAAGATACAAAATCAGTAATAAATACATTATTGCATTTGAAACATTCCCATCTCTTCTTTAAAGATAAGTCCGTAAGTTCTTAACAACTTATTTATGGTCCGTGTCAAAATTTGTTATCGCCTACCGGTATCTTATCATTTATGGTTGTAGATATTGATTCTTTTCCGGAAACTCATTGAGTACAAGAAAATATGATTCCTGTCGAGTGATGATGAAAGTTTTTCATACGCCCCAAGCATATAATCGATGCTAATACTGTCCATGCATCCCCCAAGAAATCACAACATACATGCGCCTCCAGATGAACACCTGATCACGTGAATGTACCCTTACTCATGATGAGGCCTTCATGATAACTTACCGCTTTCGAAATTATTGGAAAACATATCACAGTCAGCAAAATCGTAGCCACCCCCGTCAGTTTAGGTTTCATGATTTTTCTGTTAGAATAATTCGGTGTTTTCTCTGCCTGAAGAGGATATTTGATTATTTACAAATTCACAGCTTAAAAATAATTTAATGAATGAACAAATGTTGAAAACAAGTAAATTACAACTAAAGATAAACAACAAATCAATAATTAATAATCCTCCAGTAAAAGTGTAAAGTAATTTGAATTTTTCCAATGTTCAAGGCTATGTTCTAAATTATAAACTTAACGTAAATAAAGTTTACCTTATATTGGACTTCGGATGTCCAATATTGAATTACTGAATGCCTTATATCGAGCATGTTCGATGTCCTAAACACTTTAAAGAAATTAAAGGCTCGGACCGATTTTCTTTCAAGCATTTACGATACGCTTTAATAATGGGCGTCCATCAATATGGGCAAGGGGGTCTAAGCCCCCACCAGACACTCACTACCTTAACAAAATATTTATACATTTAAAAAGTATAAAAAATAACAATTAACAGTTACAATTCCATCAATATGGTCAAGGGTGTCTAAGCCCCCCATGAGACCCTACCTTAACAAAATGTTTAAAAATTTTAAAAAGTATACAAAAAACAATAACAATTAACAGTTACAAAAATGTGTAAAACCAACTAACCATTTTGAACACCAATGTTATAGATTTTCCAGAGGAGGGCCCCTGGACCCCCTTTTTTCCAGAGATATAGACTACCCTCCGGTAGCTCTAGCCACCCTTATGGAACAGTTAGATGCACACCAATACTTTTACGTCACTGGCTGACATTAAAATAAACGTTTGATCAAAATTCTATAAAATGCCTAAATAAAAGCTTTAGACTTCGCTCTAATAAAATAAACGGCCAAAGCTAAATAGTTACGTGATTCCTAGCACATCGACGAGCTCCCATCCATTGACGCTGCCAATAATAGCGACGTCTTTCTGTTTATGGTAACTATATTTAGCGCCCACGTCTGTCTGTGAGATAAAAAACTCTCTTAATCTTGACAAGAGTTAATCCTAAAGATCATTGTTTTGGTACTCTATGATTCTAATGGTATATCCAATAATGCAAGCCTCCTACTTAAGCTATGTGTTAACGACATAGAATCCATAGCATTGTATATACACTCCATAGTGAATTTCTGTATGACTTTTGTTAATAGTGCGAGTTCTTCAATATATCGAAAGTTCTTTACATTTGAGAAACGTAAATTCATTGTTTTTAGAGACATGAGCACACAGATTAAAGTAGGCTTCGGATCAAGGAACTTTTATTGGTGATTAGAATGGTTTGAATACGAGCCTTTAGGATACAAGTTTAGGATGGAGTTGTCTTCACTAAATCCATCGGGCCATGACTCATCATTCCCCATACTACAGTTATCGTTTTTAATTGTTTTAAACGTACCATTTCAATGTCCGTGTTCGTGTATAACGTACTTAGGTACTTTATGTGTATCGTCGACCTTCTGATGAAGTGAGTGTGTCCTTTGACGCCTGATGATGACTTCGTCGAAAGCCAAAACTTCCGACACTAGCAAAATTGTTGGATAACGAAATTATTCAGACGAAGTTAGTCCATTCAAATGTAAGCAGGTGTGAAAAAACTTTTGATTTTACAAATACAATGAGAACTTAACTAGAAGCATTGGTCAAAGAATTATACTTCTCTGTTATAAGTATCCAAAGTCAATGTATCGGCATACCGTAGCGTGCATCAATTATTGAGCCGCTGGATTGAAGAGCATTGTTGCAGCCCGCCCATTGTTGTTTCAAGGCCAATGCGTTATCGACTATCGTCTGACAGTTCGATGCTAGAGCTGGATGATTCGTGATAGGCAAAATCATAAATTTAAAACCAACTAGGCCCTAACGCTTCACGATACTACACTCAAAAATATTTTATCAAGCTCGTCTAGATGGGACTTCAGTCTCTAAGGTCCCCGAGTACAAATCCTACTGATTATCAAATAAGCACACATAGTAAAGTAGTTGCATTACACGTTTTTCTCACTGTCTATGGTATTCTGCTCTTCCAAGCATTGTTGAATGTAACGATAATAAACAAAACGCTTCAAGCAAATCGTTGTGCAACATTTCAATGCTGGATCAGTGTGCGCCTAGCCTGAGTGTCATGACCTGGGTGCGAGTGCCTCCACTAGTGCAGTCAGTACTGCAAAATCGACGCGTTATTTCGTCATATTAATATATTTTTTACACAACAACTTAAACCCAACAATGTAGCCTATACTTTTATCCATCCCGTGTGATGTAAAAACTTATAAAATTTATGAAACAATTGTTGCGGAGTAAAATTTCAGGAAAAACAAAGCTGGGGAATATTCATTAATAAATTGTCCTATAACGACTTTAAACGTTTGGGTGTACCATAGATTAAAAGAAGTAGACATACTATACTGTCTATACTCCTTTTATCTATGGGTGTACTCAACATTAGAGTTTTATCTGTCAAATTAAACTAATAAAACTTAAATTGTTTTTTATCGGTGAAATGTATTGGAGATCTTTGTCAAATCATATTTTCACGTGAGGATAAACAAGGGACAGTATAATTATATATTGTGTCTTTAAAGACTTTTTGGTAGTGTTTGGGAGCCTACACAAAAAAACTTATAACTCTAAATTTTCTCAGTGCCGATACCGTATGCATACTGTATTTTTATAAACCCATTTGAGCTATGTAAACCTATGATACGATAAAACAACCAGGCAAGATCAATTTAATTTATATTAGTCACAGAAACCCCGTGATAAAAATAACTATCCTTTTTCACTACACTTTAAATGATTTACTTGGTTGGTATGTAGTAACACACTACTCTGTTATTATAATTAATTCCATATAACCTAAGGATGTATTGTTTCACTAATGTTATTCAACCATGATTAAATAGCTACATGAATGTAAAAAGAATTTCCACCAGTCTTAGAATACCGTATTTATTTCCTTTACTTTCCTTTTCGCTTATGTTTTATACCACGGAATCATTCGTTCCTAATTAACCTCCAATTCCAATAATAAAATTATAACAGAAAACTAATTTACACCACAGAAAAATAAAATATCAAACTCTACATATAACCTACAATCTTGTTTTTCACCAATTTTATCCTACCTCTACATCGTAATGGTTCCCGTTCCCATTGGACACACTGTTGCCGTTCATGTTGATTGTTAATCCACAACTGTCACTAACACAACCACACACACACGTACGTACACAGCACTGGTATCACAAACTGGTATGCACTGTCGGCGTCGGCTTACCACTACTGGGTTGGGTTTGACGAGCAGACTAGTCTTATATACCAATGACTCATATACTGGGATCCTCGACCTGTCTGTACTGTAGGAATCGACTACACCACAACGGTCAAAGTTTCATCATGCGTTAGGTCCGGGGTAAATTGATTTGTGGGTAATTTTAAGGGAATTATGCTAGTGACAGCGGTTGGTATGTTGTGAGTTTGTACTATGCACGTAATGTTAGTTGAACTCTACATGGACAATTTAGTAACTAGTGATCTTGGACGATTCTAATTTTTGGGGAAGGGCCAAAAAAGGGGGAAATAACCCCCCAACAATACAAGCATGTACAAGAACATTTTTCCACCCCACTGTGTATACTGTATACATTTAACATATTATGATGAATGTTAAAGCGTGGGACTTCGACTTCTAACCTGGATGCCTAGTAAAAAGTAATGCAAATTACCACTGAGTTTAGCTATGGTGTAATCCCGTGAGGTTCGGAGCCATATTAAGCGTTTGGTCCATACACCAAAAAGAAAGAAAAGTAGAACGCAGTATCTCGGTAGCTGTATCCGTGTTGAGATATATCTTACTCAGTGAAAAACCCACTTGAAAGAATGTACAGTATAGTGATTAAAATTTAGTAATGGGGTGGGGAAATAGTAGATATTCTAGGTTAGGATCATTTGCTGGTTTTTCGTTCACATAAGAGAGAAAATTATAAAACTGTTATACATAGTCACCATGGATAAAATTAAAAATTTAAGCCACGTGTTTAAATGACCAAAAGGGTTCTAACGAGGTATTTTGGTACACCATAAACATCTAGTTATTTAGTTTCATGATGTTTTAGTCCAGGGAGCTGAAACTCCACCGGACTGGGGATGTTCTAGGACCATGTCCTCATGGTATGGTCGTTATCAAGTGTTATGTGGTGGGTAATTTAAAGACAGAATGGGTAATTCATCTGGGAGGAGGGTATTTTCAGCCGAGAATGTTAGCAACACTGTTGCCCCACCTGCGTCAATCACATATGATCGCTTATCATTAAATCGATATTTTGCTGATAAGATATATTTAGAAACACGGTTACAATGCCCCGAGACAATCTTGATAGTAGGAACAAATTTTGCTCATTTTATAAATAAAAAAATTATGTAAATATTACTTTAGAATTCAAATTTTTAGTCAGGAAAATATTTGACAGGTGTGCGTTTTTTTACGACAAACCTTCGATTAAAAAAAAAAAGTATTTGTTACGTACATTTTCCCTACAATAGGGAGGCCTACGATTTTATTTGGTTTTGTTTATGTTTACGTTTTGTTGGTACTTCAACAAGTATTGTTTTAATGGATTAATAATCTTAAATATACCTCGTAGAACGAAACTGTGCAGAGTACAAACAGAAATGTTTTATTACATTTTCCATAGTCTGGAATGAAAATTATAATTGTAAGATTAGGAAAATATGGCGTACGATTACACTCATAATTCGTTTTTAGAATGAGTGATAAGTTATGTTTCATACATTTTATAGCAATCCTATTTATTATATAACACTGTACAAAATAAACTATTACAAATTTTGAATGGCTGTTACACCAAAAACACAAAAAATGCAAATGCAATAATAAATCTTATTCCGTCATATTGCGTGAGATAGGAACAGTCACGTTTTATCCAGGAATCACATCGTCTGATGCAATCCTCTCCAACGACGGAAGTACCGTAATCGCCACTCAACAAATTCATAGTCATAGAACCACAATTGAAAAGTAATCAGTTAGTTAATCTACTTCAGATGAATATTTATGATTTGCAAATATGTAACTAGAGTTATTGTTGTGGAAGGAAACCTTTTTTTACTCGAAATTGAGACTATGGTGATAAATACTAATCAAATTTATTTTGTATGATGAAGTTCGGTACATTATTTAAGCGTATGGTATGGTTACCAACTAATTAGCTATATGTAATTTAACATGCCTTCCGAACTTCCCTGCCCCCACAACGGTTATGCTTTAGAGCTTATGTATTATATGAGTTAACACGTTCAACGTTTGAAGACGCGCACTGGCATCTACTCTACACAGAGATCAACAATACCGTCAAATCATTGTTACAAATCTTATTCTTCCAGTCACCAATCAATATGTCGAAACGTTGAAAAATCTTTCCGGACTACATACTATATAAACCTTATTTCCAGCATAAACCAATTTTATAAATAAACCAATTGCTGACACTTACTTTGTTTTCCAATCCTATTATAAACATATTTTTCTTTCTTCAGAGGCTGCTATTCATTATTCTCAGGTTTCAGATGTGACATAATAATAATGTGTTTTCTTTTTCTTTTCAAGTTCTAGAAAATCTAAATTTTGATTTGGTTTCATTTATTCATAGTCTTTGGTCTTTGGAAATAAAAGTCTAGATAGATTTGAACCTAGAAATGTTGCAAACTGTATTATAATTTTATTTTCAAACTTTCAATCTTCAGTAATTTATAATAGTTCAATTAATGTTTGTTATTTTAATTTTTTGCCCATGACATGAGGTAAATAACAGCTGGTGCTGAGCTGACACTATTTTAAAGGTCTTTGCCAAACTGAAATCGAGCTTATGTTTTTACACGGTCAATGCTCCTTGGCTGATGCAATGTTGAGAATTGTTCTTCATTATATCACTTTGCGCTTAGAAACCTTGATATGTGCATTTGGTTTTATTTTAATTTGTTTACAACCTCCAAATTATTTTTTAACTACTTACTTGTTAATTAAATTAAATATTAACTAGGTGCCGTATGGCTTTTTACATTACCCAGAAATCGATACTTGCACGATGTATATTGAATGCGAATCATGCATTTTCGTCTATAATATTGGTAAAAAGTTAGAATACTAAAACAAATTTATTTTCAACACACGAGACTTGATATTCCAGTTAGTTTCTTGGAAAATTTACGACAAGGACTTGAAATCCAACCATGTAAAACGATTTAGGTTCAAAATAAATACTATTATAGCTTACGATTGTTTATGAAATTAGTTCACATACATCGGAATCTTTAAAATAGTTCTAAACAAATAAAATACTAAATACTCATTACTCCTGAAGACAGTAAACCTATACACTACCAGTAGACCAGTAGAGTTTAGCTATGACAGTAAAAGGAATAATAAATAGAAGTTTTTTTTGGAAAATAATTATTTTGTTTGAAATTCAAAATACTATAGTTCAAACCAGACAATAAAACTTTTAACACAGATTATTTGTCTGAGTAAAAAGCCACAGAGAAGTAAAATAAATATTGAAAAAAATATGTATAACATTTAAATTACTAGATATATGTTGTAAAAAATATATATTAAGATATGAAAAAAATATTTTACTTCTTTGTGCTAAAGCTTTATTCCGTTGCCCGAATTATTCTCAACGCTCACTGCTTAGCAGGAAAGAGTAGCGGATTGCATCTTTACTATAGAAGGCGTTTCTACATGGTACATTAGTTTTATTTACAGTTATAAAAACAACTATTATATAAACAACATACAATAAATTACTGTCCAATTTAAATGCTTAAGAGTGCGTTACATCCCTCGTTTAAATTGTGTTAGATCTTGTCATGGTTGTCAACTAAGTACTTAAGACAAAGTTATAATAAGTAAATGTTAAACAGCCTTTTTTGTTAAGCTTTTAATAACAAAGATATTGTGTGATAGTTTTTGTTGTCAATATTTTTGATTTATGTTTAATAATTGATTGTCCAAATGCAGTCCAAGGTGGAAGAAGAACCATAGCTAAAAATTAAAACTCATAAATTATTTTTTCATCTTTTGTTTATATTTATTAATAACATAGCAGGCTAATTTGTTTATAGAGTAAAGATACATCTTGGATGGAATTTATTTAAATACATAAATACAACCGTATTTAAAATTGTAATTGTAACAACCTAGAGTGTATTCAAATAAATTTTCAGATACATTTTGTTAACTTTAAACCCCCATAGTTTACATAAAACATCAGTTGTCCTAGCCGCGCTTTTCTGTGCTATTTTTGTTTAAATTATTTATATAGGTTTTTTACGGAATTTTTAATACACAAAATTGTTTTTGTTGTTCAAAAATGTATTAAACCAATTGAAGTTTAAGCCCTTTGACCGGTTTATATTGATTTGCTATATATTCAATTCGCCATAAAAAAGAATTGTTCCAGCTTCACATATTGAAGATAATCAGGAATTTGGAAAACGTAATCGTAAATGTATACAGTGGCGTATCCAGGGGGTTCTTCGGGTTTGAACTCCCCCCCCCCCAACCTTAAAACGTATCCCGTACTCCCCTTTATCTAGATTCCCAGATCCCCCTTTAGGGTCATCCTAGTTACGCCTATGAATATATAACAAAGTAATACGAGAAATCAATAAATGTTTATCCACAGAGGCGTTTTATTCACACACTAAACGTAACACACACAGGGACGTAATATTTACACACAACGTAACACACACAGGTACGTAATATTCACACACACAACGTAAAACACACAAGGCCGTAATATTCACACACACAACGTAACACACACAGAGACGTAATATTCACACACAACGTAACACACACAGGGACGTAATATTCACACACACACAACGTAGAACTCATACAGGGTACGGTCACAGGGACGTAATCCCTTCTCCGTGGTGTATCTTATGTTATAGATAGTTTGCCAGTTAACATGTTTATTGCCAATTTTCACAGAATTCACCAAATACTCGGTAAAGGTCGGATAATCTTGGCTTGTGACGCAGGGGATTACGCAAATCACAAGCAGCTTCTCTCTTTTCTCCGAACGATTGTATTTGTATTCATATTAAAACGCATATTGCGTAAGATAATCACATAACTGGAAGTTCTAGTTGGATCCAAGGTTTGTATTTTTGCTTTCAAATAAAACTGAAATGTTGACATCAGAACAAGTGAACAAGGGACGAACATTATTGGGTTTGAGGTTAATAGATGAGCAAAATTTGACTACGACAATTAAAGATAGTAAATAGTTGAGACAAAAATTACAAGAATAACAGAATATCCCAAATTTGATAATCAGGGATTCTGTACCATGCCTAAAATGATCCAGGCAATGTTTGAAATATAGCTCGTATATTTTGCCTAGTCGTTTATAGAATTCCCGTTAGCACTACAGGTTTAAAGCAAAAGTTTAAGTATTAAATATGTTGTTGTAGGACTTTTTTAGACTTTTGTTTTCTTGTTTGGCATACACTCGTCTGATTCAAAATAAACTAACCTACCTAACCAAACCATATACTAAATATTTCATTATTCTAAAGGACTTTTTTGGATTTTTGATTCCTTTTAGGCATTAGTCAAACCTAATTTAAAAAATTACCGACCAAACCAACCATACACAAAATGTTTCAATATTGTAAAGTAAATAGTTTTTGAACAAATATATTTATTTTATAATTTGCCTGATACATGTGTGGACATTCCATAGAATACCTAGGCATTATACAAAATGCCTAGCCAAAATATATAAAATCCGATCGTTACTATCAATTAATTTCGTACAATGCCTAAACGCTTCAGGCAATGTATAGAATCCTTAGTCATACTAGAGAATTTCTACATTATGTACTTTACCTATACACAATTTAAATTCTATTCCCCCAATAAACCTCCGTTTAGTTGTGCAAGGCTTCCAATTTCATCATCCCACCCATGTGATTGTAAGCATGCATGGTCTAAAAGTAATTTGTAAATTATACTTTAAGATCTCGAGGAACTTTGAAATTTAATTTATGACTAATAGCTCGTGAAAACTAGTTATTGGACATAGCTGTCACTTCGTACTTTGAATCTTCGAAGTATTAAACAGGATAGATAATTCAAATATATAATAAAATTGTCACCAACATTTTTGAATTTAAATTTTTATCTTTGGAAATGAAAATATAAAAATAAAAATTCTAAAATAATGGTGAAGTTTTTATTTTAAATTTGAATAAAACCCAATATTACCAGTTCTTGGTGAAGAAAGGATAGGTAATATTGACAGTAAAGTCAGAGCACTGTCATTGAATTGAGTTGTGTCATAAATGTGTCGAGTTTCCGGAGTTCTAAGGTTCTAAGGTGGAAAACTTCTAAGGTTTCTGCTAGAAATACCCGTGATTAAGTCATTATTTTATTACTGTCATATATTATGTTACAACATCATATATTATGTCCTTCGTCAAGAATTTTTAGGCATGGGCGTTACATAATGTAGTACAAGAAGACTTATCATCATCTTGTAAAATATGAAACTTGTTTTTATTTGTGTTTTAGTGCACTAAATATATATTTTTTAAATTTTAGGATACATTACGATTTATTCTTCAATGTATTTTTTATTATACTACTAGCTGGCCCAACAGACGTCGTCCTGTCCTAATGTGGTTTTATGTCAAATGATGGTTCATTTTCAAGAGCTCGTTCGCATGGTTCAATCACGTCCTGGTTGAAGTTCGTTCGCTACGCTCACTCACCTTTAGGTTGGAGCTTGTTCGCTGCGCTCACTTGCCTTCAGGTCCAGATTGAAGTTCGTTCTCACTCACCTTTCGGTTGCAAAATAGCTGTTGTCATAAATAAAAAAAATTATAGTGCTGCATCCAGTTGGTAAACCTATTAACTTTTTAACGCTATTTAACATCACAGAATCAAATTGTTTAGTTGAACCAGCTGTTAAGATTCTTTAATTCCATTTAAATGTGAGTAAACCTACTCATAAGGTTAACATGGGAAACTCCAGAGCCACTGGGGCGGAGCCCTTTTGACGGATCTGCACCAAACTTCACACAAACCATATTTGAATAATGCTTAATAATGCCTGCAAGTTTCATTACAATCTGTCGAACGGTTTCGGAGTCCATATAGGACAAACAGACATACATACATTGGATTTTATAGATAAGAAAAAGCATAACTTGATCAATACAGTAATTAAATTGTTTAAAAATGTTCAGTTAAAGAAGGCGAAGGGAGCGGTGTTGGACTTTGCCCTAAACACCAGCGACTAGTGCTAGACACACATACCATTGAATGTTTTCTCTGTGAACACGTAAACTTTATTAGTAAATTAATTTGGAATAAAAATGTATTGCATACAATAGCATCTCGTATCAAATGTCGTAGTGCCAAAACCGAAATAAGAACTAACGGTACTCATTCTGTTCAACTCAACTGTGTAATATTTGACTGAAAATAAATATTAGCTACATATGGTCCGTATAGCAAGGGATCTCTACTTGAGTATACAAAAGTCAATAGTTACACCTATAGTGAGTTACATGTGTATTAGTTATATAACTATATAGGTCAGTGACTGATTGTCACCCCCCGGTATACAGATCTCTCAGTAATTGTATATCATTTAAACCGTACAGAATTGACATTTCCCTCATTCTGGGAATTGCGGTTTCTCTTTTGAGCGCGTGATTTTCTTTTCAGTTCGACTTTCCTCATTGCCTCTGCAGTGGAGCTCTTGTGTTTATATTTCGCTTTGCTTTTGTGATGGTAAAGAGTAACGTAAACGAAATATTGGCGTTAATAATGTTTACGTTTAATCAGTGCTTTGTATAGAGAAACTTAGACATGAGTTTAATTGTTGATTCCTATTTATGCGTCCAGTCCATATTGAGTGTTATGCGCACGAGATAAGCCAATGAAGGATATAAGGACGAGAACCATCAATATGCAGTGATTAGTTGTCGAAATAAAATAACTATACTAAGCTAATCATTACATTTTATTCTGCTTCTGTTGACTCATTAAGTTTTTCGAAAGTTACTTCGTGTTTCATCTCGGCCAATTGAGACTGGACAATTTCCTTAGACCATTAAAAAGGTACAATTTATAAAGAGAGGCTTACATCAGTAAAGGCAAGAACCCCTTTGGTCACAGAAAACATACTACTATAACCTATAATGTATACTATAATGTTTGGTTGAAAAACAAGCACTTAGTACATATGGAACTTCTTCGCTATTATTTTCACCCCACAGCTATTGAATCATAGGACACTGAAGTAGATATCCAATTTGTATAGTACAGTCAGTAGGTATATTCTAAGTAAAATGGTCCCACTATTATAGTATTATGGATAAACTGTAGCCAATTAATAATTATAAAACAACGACTGCGCTGCAGTCTAAAGTTATATTTTTTCTCTGAGCTTTGCCACAAAATGATTCATTGTGTGTCATAATGATGTTGTGATTTAGTGCCCTTTTATTTAGGTTCGATTAAAACGTTTGTTTGTTCGCCAACCAGTAATCTTCTTTTGAATTTGAAAGAAAATTTTTTCTTTTAAAATAATTGAATTTGACTTTAACTACGTCCATTTTAATTCTACAGTCATGTAAATCTATGCTTCTAGCTTCTTGCATAGGCTGAAGCACTGAGGACTGAGGACGTGCTAGAACCCAGTCGGCGCATCACCCTCCATCAAAAGCCAAAGCCAGGACACTGGCCATTGGTAAATTCCAAAAGACCAAATCTCTTTCGCGATGTTGCAGACGTCATCATCCAGTATCCACCTGTGGATGACCTTGATACCTGTTCGTGGTTGCTGGGAGGCCCGCTAGGGTCGCTGGTAGCAGCCAGTGTCTGTCTGTCTGTCAGTGTGTTGTGTGTAGTGAGTGCTGTGAAGTGCGGTCCGGGACCATGACGATATCTTACTCCAGATTGGTTGCCAATGGCAGCAGCTTCGGCTGTTTTTGGAGTATACTAACAAAGTAAGAAGTTTTTCCTAACTACCCATTTTTTAAATAAATATCTGATTGGTTTTTTTTGTTTAGTATGATTTTTTAAACTAAATGTCACCTACGTGTGTTACTTTTAAGGTATTAAGGATAAAACGGCTGTCCTTAAGGATTGTAAAGAATAGAATGTGCCGGTGTTCATAGTTGGTAATTTTTGAGGATATTTTTATTATTTATTGTTACTGACTATTGCCACCTGATTCTCGTTTCGATATCTTTAAACGGTTGAACTACATTTCAATGTTACCGTACAGTTAAAGTAATACACCAAGAAAGCTAGAAGATTTTTATCACTTAAAATGTAAGCTTTGATTATATATTTTTTGGATGACATAGTAAAAAATTGTTTTTAGGGGATGAAGAACTTTTTACGTCGTTTTAGAGCGTTTTACGCCGGGGATGATCTATTAAACTGTCCATCAAATATTTGATGAAAATCTATGCTATCACTTGGATTAAGCCCAATAGTTTTGTGAACTTCGATATCAGTTTGTAGGTTCTTGAAAAAGATTGAGATCCAGAAAATATATGTGGTCTCCCAGTTGTGATTTCGTATTTGCTATGTCAGCAAATTGTATTTACAGCGTTTGAGTATTAAATGGTATTAATTACGAGTTAAATATTTCCAATAGAGGTATTTGGAGTGGATAACAGCTTACTTGAATTGTCTGCTAAAATACTGTGTATGTGTTTAGTTATGTAAATACCCCCGCCGCAGCAAACCTGCCGACTAAGCGAATTTCCATTTGTCTGAATTGATTTTCAGTAAAATATATTTTAATAACATTAGGTTTAACGAGTACCTAGGTTTGCTGCTACAAGGAAACTAATAAAGTGTGTTTTTGAGTAAAATATTGATAGCTTAGTAGAAAATGAATAAATTTGCCAAGTTTGATCAAAATATATTCATAAACAAGCAAACTACAACATTTGACAATATTCTCCATAAGAATAACATGGGAATTTTAAATTTACAATTTTTTAAATTTTCTCCGTTACTAATAATCGAACAAAAATACTTTCATATACTAAATTATTTGTTTTTTTAAGCTCTTTAAAAAGGTCTAAAGAGAAATTGGGAAATTTTGTGTTTTGAGGGTCAAAAGTGAGAAAAACCAATTTTTACCCCATAAAAACCCCCGTAAAGCCCCGTTCCCATGGTCCGATCATGCTGGTTCGCGAACTCATTCAAGTTTATCCTGCTTTACACCTTTAAACCAAATTTCATCAAAATCGGACAAAAATTACTCAAGTTATCGCGTTCACGGACGTATATATATATATATATATATATATATATATATATATATAAGTCTATATATATATACATATATAAAAATTTGAACGAATAGTGTTTTTGGCCTCTGGGGACATCAAAATGAAAAAGTAAATCGGTCCCGGGTCTAGGTCTTACCGTGCCACCTACGGTAATAGCTACTTCCCTATAGGGAAATTCGCTAAAAACTGATATTCTTTGTGTAGTTGTACGGCATTTACCGCGAAATGAATAGATGGACAGACATTAGAATCTTGCCTGTTAATTTAATGATCTTCTGTCCTACGGACTCATTAACTGTTGGTCTTAACTTATCTGTACATGTGTTAAAATATTCGTAAACACTAGTTGCTCTGTCCAGTGTCCATGCACGCAACGACGCAACGCAAGAGCGCGCCGCGAGATAACGCAGAGATGTGGTTCTTTACTGCCTCGTCCAATGCGAACAACTGGATGATTGGGCACTTTTTTATGTAATTATAAATTGCATCAATGTCCATGTCGCAAGAAAACATACTTATATTAGTTTTTGTACCAATCGGGACACAAAATGCTCCTTCCAAACTATATGGTTGTTATGGTTATGTTATGTATCACCTAATAATACATAACATTTTTCTACAACTTCAATTGTTGCGTTTTAAACATAGAAAACAGAATTAATAACTATAAACAATTAAAACCAAATTAAATTAGGTTTGGACACTATCCCTCATCATAAGAAAAACGTAGGCTACTGTCACTTCGTAATGGTGCAAAATAGATATTCTATGATAAAAATGAAAAGGTTATCTAATAAGAAAGTAAACAAACAATTATAAATAGAAAAAAAGTCACAGCAGGCGCATCTTCAATATTTTAAATGTGATTAAATACAGCCCTTAAATTGAGGTTAGTGCCTTATCGAATGAGCATTTAAATTATTGAGGATTTATACAAAATCTGATATTTTTCGGGGAAGTTTCACATTAAGGCCACTCCTGAGACTAAAGGGGGTCATACCCCTTTACCCCCTTCCCCCTTAACTAAGGGTGGAGGTTTTTTGGGGTTAAAGTGGGTTCACCTTTCATTTAAGTATGTGGTTTACAGTTTTCTCAAAAGTTAGTGATCTTATTGGCTTTATATAAAGACGAGGGGGACCCATGTGAAAATTGCCTATTTAAAATCGTTTCCATTTAAACTGTTTCGTCTGTCTTGTTTACAATCTGACTGTGGTTAAATGTTCAACTGAACGATCAGCTGTTAGATTACAATTCAGATTCAAACCGTTACAAAGAAAGTTTGTCAGCAACACTGGATCTTTGAAAGTGAACTCTAGAAATAATTGAAACGTAAGGGATCTGGGGTCAAAGCCCTTCTACCTATTTTGTTACCATTCGCAGGGGCGCTGGTTCATAAGCTTTAAAATAACACATTTGTAAAAATCAGTTGAGTAGCTCGGCTGAAAAAGAGGTGTAACAGATGAACCGCAGATTGTAATAAGTAATGTAGATCGATGGTTTAAATTTATTATATAAATAGCTTTAGAGTTATTCATAACTAGTTGCACGTAGGGTTTTTTATGCTCAATTCGCTCGAGAAGATTAGAGAGTAATGTAACCTGTTATGTAACTATTTACCAATTCCACCTGTGTACATATGTTCCATTATGAAAGTTGGCAATATCAATGTTAGTATTCGAACAGTAATAAAAGGCTTATGTAAACATGCTCTAGAAATTTGACGTTACCATTGTCTCTGTAGGCCTACTAAACAGAATAACAAAGTTTTGAAAAAAAATTGCTACAGCTGGTCCATATATATAGATGGTCTTCCTCAGTATCGAATAGTCAATCATAATTCTATACTCGGTTAACAATATTTAGGCGGTTTGAGGGGAATTTCCCCCACCATTTTTTTGCACTTAAATGTATGTTGCTTAATCAGCTTATGAGCAATTATTTTAAAGGTAAGGATGGAGTGAATTGGATAGATTTCTTCCCCTAAGACCACCTAAAAAATGTGAACGAAGTTAGCCTTCGCAGTTTCTTTCTTTTTGACTATATGACTAAGCTAATAGACTTAAGTATCAAAATGAAATGTCCGTTGGAATAAAATAAAATAAAATGTCTAAAAGCAATGGTTTTTTTTCAAAAATATACTCATGTGGGGCACCATGTTTTCTATTTTTATTTACTAAAGTTCAGGAATATTTTTTTTTATTTTCCCAATAGTTACTTTTATTGTTATAGTACAGTAATTGCTAACACAATTTCTTATCCCATTATCAAATATGAAACCCCTTCCCATGGATAGAAATCCTATGAAAGGCAGAAAGGTCTCTAAATTTCAGCTGGATATTTTGAAATTTGTGTCGTAAATTTATTCCCCTCCCAATGTCGCAACAACATGCCTACATAGACTGAATTTCAATACACTTTTTATCGAATATATAAAAGGTTCAAATTACTATATGAGCTTTAGCTATTTTGTCATGGCCATTAATAATTACCGAATAACTAGGCCAAGTAATCTGTTGTAATTCTACAATTACTTGAGCATGTTCCAATCACACAGTACAGGTATTGCTGACACATAATTACACTTGCACCACAGAGCAAGGACTAAACATATCTGCATTACAGACCACGGTTACGTAAACACACAGAGTATATTCTTTGTACCTGTCAATTATTATGCATCGATAAGAGTCAATTACAATGTATTTCCTGCATACGTAGCTAACATTTTATCCATATAATTAACATATACATTTCTCTGTAGCAGGCTGTATCACTTTTATTCCGGAGATCAGCAGGTAGATTTCGGGACCAGCCGAAACATCGCTTTTGTTCCGCGGACATATCTCTTCCACGAAAGGGGGCTGCAATCTCCCTCCCTAGAATCCTCTGTTTGGCCCTCCTAATTCTTTCTTTCATGCGGGCTTTAAATAAAACTCGTTAAATTATCATTTTCTCCTTAACAAAAATATCAATAATTTAACCTTACCTAACCTAACCTTTGAAAGAAAGAATTAGGAGGAGAGCGAAAGAGAGGATTTGGGGAAGGGAGAGTGCAGCACCCTCTCTCGCGGAACAAGAGAGATGTCCGCGGAGAACAAAAGCGATGTTTCGGCCGGCCCCGAAATCTACCTGCTGACCCCCGGAACAAAAGTGATGTGAAGAAATTGTCCTTCAACTGCGGAACAAAAGTGACACACGCCTGTAGCAAGCCCTTTTTCAGCTGTCCTATTATACCAATTTCACGATTAAGTTGTAAATTAAAACCTTGATCCATCGCTCATAAGAATGAAAATGAAAAAGACCATTTTCTTAAAGACTTCGCCCCCCTTGCGTTTTTCCTTAGATAACACGGTTAGTCTATGGGTTAACAAAGGTTTAACCAATATCTAGAGTTCACCTTCAAAGATTCAGTGTTGCTGACAAACTTGCTTTATAACGGGTTAGTTAAATATGAATTGCAATTTAACAGCTGATCATTCAGTTGAATGTTTAACCCCAGACATATTGTAAACAAAATACGGAGGTAACAGTTTCTGAAAATGGACTTTAGCAACTTTTTGCGAGAATTACAGTTAGATTGAGGTAGGTAAATCACTCTTTAGTCTTTATTGTGTAGATCTAGATATTTGAAAAGTTAAAGGGTATTGCATTATTATTTCTACCTTACAATTGTTATGAAATCATTAAAAAGTAAT